TTGATCCTCAGTTTGGGGTGTGCAGAAGGCAGGCAATCACTGGTTCTCTCTTATCATTGATGTTTCTATTTCTTTCTTCTCCTCTCCCTTCTTCTCTAAAATAATTAAAAACATATTTTTAAAAAAGTGTTAATTTTTTGGAAATTTTAGTTTTCCTTCTATTAATTTCTAAAATCATTCCATTGTAATAAGAAAAGATACCTTATATGATTTTAATCTTTTAATATTTATTCAGATTTTTTTGTCTTAATATGTGACCTATCCTATAGAAAATTCCATGTGCACTTGAGAAAATTGTGTATTCTGCTGTTGTCTAGTAGAATGTTATATATATAATATATATATATATATATATATATATATATTATATATATATAAATTTAAATTCATCTATTTCCTTGTTAATATTTTGTCTGTTTTTTCCATCCATTTTTAAAGTTGTATCAGTATATTGAAGCCCCCTAGTATTATTGTAGAGCTATCTATTTCTCTTTTTCATTTCGGTTAATGTTTGCATCATACGTTTTTGAACTCTGATATATATATTTGTTTAGAATTATTATATCTTTTTAGTGAATTGACCCTTTTGTCATCATAGACTATCCTTCTTTGCCTGTCATAGTGGCTTTGACTTGCAGCCCATTTTGTTTAATATTAGTATAGCTATGTCTGGTACCCACAGGAGCACTTACATTTTGTATGAATCTGTCTGGTAATTACACCACCATTGACCCAGACACATGTGGTTTGGACTCCTACACTGCATAGCAGAAGACAATGGTAAACCACTGCTGCATTTTCTTCTTATTTTTTCCATTTTATTTTACCTTGAAAACCCTATGAGGAGACAGTCTAAAATGAAATATGAGATAGTGCTGAAAGGTGGAGAGTTCCAGGTCAGAGAGTACTCAAATGGTTACTTGGGAAGAGCAGAGGACAAGTACGAATAGCATTGTTGCTAATAACATAGCTAGACCAAAGCCAGAAGGACGTCTAGTGGCTGATGTGCACAAAGGCAAAGGAAAGTACAGTGCTGTACAACACATTCATTTAGAACATGGAATGTAACAAGTATGAACCAAGGTAAAATGAAAATTATAAAGGAATAAATGGCACATCTAAACATTGCAGTGCTTGATGTTAGTGAACTAAAATGGACTGGAATGCAACATTTCCAGCCAGACAACTACTAACTGTTCTACTCTGAACATGACAAACTCAGAAGAAATGGAGTAGCTTCACTACTGAGGAGAGCTAGAGGACAGGCATTTTGGGGCTACACGTAAAGTCTGACCAAGTAATATTGATGAGACTTATAGGGAAACATATTAACATAAGGCTCACGCAACTGTGTGCTCTTAATTACATGCTGAGGATGAAATTAGAAGCTCATGCCAATATCCAAGAAAATTTTGATCACACTTTAAAACAAAACATGCTGATAATTATAGATGATTGGAATGCAAAAGTAGGAAATGAGGGGTCAGAAATGAAGCAGGAAATTGGCTTGTGAATTTCTGTGAACCCAGCAACTTGTCCATTACAAACACATGGTTCAAACAGCTGAACAGAAGACTATATATGGACATCACCAGATGGTTAATACAGAAATAAAAAAGACTATGTAATTAGAAGCAGGAGATGGAGAACAAGAACTAAAACAAGAACAGAAGCAGATTGAGGCTCTGACCACCAACTGTTAATATCAAATATTAGAATAAAGCTGAAGAAGAGCATGAAATTATACTTTCAAAATATAATGTAAAAAACATACATGATGGATTTGAAATCCACATTTAAAAAAAAAAAAAAAAAGACGGTTAAACTTGATTGACTGACTACCAGAAGAAGTGTGGACTAAAAGTAGAAATATTATTAGGGAAGATGAGGTATACTGGAAGGAAAAATCAAGATGCATGAAGGAAAAAACACTAAAAATTGTTAAAGACAAACAAGAGACTAAAGTGAAAAGGTGGCAAAAGCAGACTGAGAACCCTGAATATAGTTTTTTAACCACTGTCATGTAGAGGTAAAGGGAACTATTTCAATAGTCAATGTAAGAAGATAGAAGAGAACAATAAAAAAGGAAAAACAAGTGACCAGAAGAGCCTACCTAATAAAAGAGTAATATGCAAATTAACCATTACTCTGCTTCACCAGCCACACCCACCAGCCAATCAGAGCAAGTATGCAAATAAGCCCAACCAAGATGGCTGCAGCACATATTCTGACCAGGAGAAATTAAAGGGAAGGTAGAAACAGTATACTGAAAAATATGTACAGAAAAAAGTAGAACATAGTTTTGAAGAAGATTCTTATGAGAAAGAACCTGCAATTCTAGAAAGTGAAGTGAAAACTTCGCTGAAAGTATTGGGAAGAACTAAATTACCATTAGATGGAATACCAATATAATTATTTCAAGCTACAGAGACTCAATCTGTCAAGGTCCTAACAAGAATATGTCAGTAAATATGGAAAATAAAGTAATGCCCTACAGACTGGAAATGGTCAACATAAATCTCAATTTTTAAGTAAGGAGATGCCTAAGAATACAGTAACTATAGAACCATTACCTAATTTCCCCACACAAATAATGGTGATGCAGCAAAGGCTTCCACCATATGTAGAACAAGTGCTGCCAGATGAAGGTTAGTCTGTGTTTTATAGACTACAGTAAAGCCTTTGTGTGGATCATGAAAAGCTGTGGTTTCTCTGAAAGAAATGGGCGTGATTTCAGCACTTGCTTGTTCTGATGCATAACCTCTGGTTGTGGACAGGAAGCCACTGTCAGGACAGAATATGAAGAGACAGAATGCTTTCCTATATTTGCAGACAAGTGTACATTTTATCTCCCTATTTTATAAATCTGTACAAGAAAATATATGAAAAACTGGGCTAGACTCAGTGTAAGAAGGAGTGAAAATTGGTAGAAGAAATATCAATAACTTAAGATATGCAGGTGAGCATCTTACTGGCTGAAAGCAGCAATGGTTTGAAATGACTTATGAAATTGAAAGGAGAAAGTGCCAAAGCAGGACTGCATTTGAACTTCAAGACAAAAATCATGATTACAGAAGAAATAACATAACTTTAACATAGACTGTGCAGATATTGAAATTATTGAAGCTTTCATTTACTTTGGTTTAGTCATCAATTCAAGTGGAGATAACACCCAAGAAATCAAGAAAAGGCCAAGATTCAGAAGGGCAGCAATGAAAGAATTAGGAAAGATCACAGATGTATCATTAGAGACCAAGGTTAAGATCATACACACCTTCATATTCTAAATTACTATGTGAAGATGAGAAAGCTGGACAATGAAGAAGGCTGATAGGGGGAAAAAGATGACTAATTTGAAATACAGTGTTGGGGGAGAGTTCTATGGATACTCTGAACCACCAGAAAGATGAACAAGTACGTCCTTGGGCAAATTAGGCCTGAAATAACGGCTGGAGGCAAAAAACGGCAAAACTGAAGCTATTCTGTATTGCTAATATCATGCGAAGGCAGGATTCTTTGTAAAAGTCAATAATTCTGTAAGAAAAATAGAAGATGTACCTCAGTGTATGCAAATTAACTGCCATCTTTGTTGGGTAAATTTGCATATTTGCTCTGATTGGCTGGTGGGCATGGCTGGTAGGCATGGTTTGTGTAGGAAGTGGTGATTAATTTGCATATTACTATATTATTAGGTTAGATTTTTGCTCTTTTGTATTTTCAAATAACTTGTTTTCAAGTTTGCCAGTTCATTCTTTTCAATTTGAGTCAGCTCTTTACTTTCTCTAGTGATTTTTTCAATTCACTGTTCCTTGTACCTCTACTGGGATGTGTGTCTGTGTCTGTGTCTGTGTTTTCTCTGCTTTCATTCGAGATTTTGTTGTTGTTGATCTAACTTACATATTACATGGTATAAGTTTATAAGGTGTGCAACATGTTGATTTGATACATTTATATACAGGTGGTGCAAAAGTAGGTCTACAGTTGTGAGTGGGTGATTTTGTATATTCACAACTATAAACCTATTTTTGCCCCACCCTGTATCGAAGTATGTAGCTTTGGCTAACACCTTTACCCTGCTACATAATTATCGTGTGTGTGTGTGTGTGTGTGTGTGTGTGTGTGTATTATACCTTCATTCATCTGTTGATGTACACACTTAAGTTGATAACGCATTTGGCTGTTTGTGGATAATGTTGCAATAAAATGGGAGTGCAGGTATCTTTTTGATAATATGTTCTCCTTTCTTTTGGATCTATACTCAGAAGTGGGATTTCTGGTTCATATTCAACATTTTTCTTAGTATTTGGCTTTGTTTAATTTGATTATGATATGCCTAAGTGTAGATTTGTTGGAGGTTTTTTTTTTTGTTTTTTTTTGTTTTTTTGCTTTGTGTTTTTTGAGCATTCTGGATCTATGGTTTGGTGTCTTTATCATTTATTTATTTTGGAAATTTCTCATTTATTAGTATTTCATTCCCCCCCCCCCCCTTTCTGGTATTCCTATTATGCATATGTTACAACTATTACAATTGTCCTACAATTCTTGGATATTCTGTTTCATTACTTTTTCTTTTATTTTTCTCTTTGCATTTCAGTTTGGGAAGTTTATGTTTCTGTATCTTGATGATTTTGGATTTAAAAATTTCTTTCCAGTTCATTGCGAGTGTATTTAAATACAATTCATTTTTTTAATGTCTTTTTTGTATATCATATTACCTTGCTAGATTCTTAATTATTTGTATAGTTTTGATTAAAATGTAAAAACATGGAACTACAACTTCAGAGGTCATAACTTACAATAAATGACATTTTAGTTAAGCATACAATCTTAGACTAGTTGAAGAATGAAAGTGAGCTAATACAACTATAGTTGAATTCTGTTTTATATACATCATTTGTAATTAGTTTTTTTTAATATGATATTTTTAGGATGAAGTTTACTTAACATTTAAATTAAAAATATTTGAATATTTCAATTTTATTTTTAATAATCTTTTTTAGGAGCTGTGGTTTTGAAGAACCTTGAAATTAAAGAAAATGCCCTGGTAGGTTTTGACTGTAAAAAATTGATTGGTGCGTTTATAGACTTTTTCCTGATTTACTTTGTTACTTTAAATCATTTAATTTTGAGAAAAAATTTTGGAAATGAGTTTTGTAAAGTGAATTTTCTCTTTTAAAAGCACAAACTGACTAATTTTCTCCGTATAAAAATACTTCTAATGTTACTTTCTATTTGATGATATTTTTTAGAAACATTTATTAAAGTATAATTGATCTGTATGTTTTTATTTTCCCGGTCATCTTCAGTATTTTATACCATTTTAATTGTTTTTTTACTATAGAATTGAGTGGCATTAATTACAATTACATTTATAGTGCTGTGCAATCCTTATCAGTATCTGTTTCTAAAAGTTTTTCATTATCCCAAAGGGAACTTTGTAGCCATAAAAGATACAACTTATTAGACTTCCCTATAGATTCTGGTAACCTCTAATGTATTTTCTATTAATTTGCCTATTTCAGGTACCAGCTATAAATGGAATCATGTTATTTTGTCATTTTTCTGTCTGGCTTATTTTCTCATTGTAATTCCTTCAAGGTTTATCTATGTTGTAGCATGTTTTAGAACATCTTTCCTTTTTATGGCATAGTAATATTCTATATGTATATGAATTTTTTTTTTTTTTTTATTCATCTGTTGATGGTCACTTGGATTGTTTCTGTCTTTTGGCTCTTATGAACAATGCTGGTATAAATATTGACATACACATATCTATAAATTTAAGCATTGAAGGTAAAGGGAACGTGTAAGTTAACTTTAAGCCCTTTAAATAATTCTAGGAAGAAAAAAGTAGTCATATGTTGTATACTAATAATTTATATCTGTGTATTTTTTATAGAGTCAACTGGATGTACCATTTAAAGTTAAAGTTGGTTATATAGGTAAGCTTTGTTTATTTGTATATTCCCCTTGCTGGACATGCAACCAGAATAATATGCTTAGTATCCTTATAATGTGATATTTTTATTTTTATTTTATTTTTTTAATATATTTTATTGATTTTCCACAGAGAGGAATGGAGAGGGATAGAGAGCTAGAAATATCGATGAGAGAGAAACATCAACCAGCTGCCTCCTGCACACCCCCTACTGGGGATGTGCCCACAACCAAGGTACATGCCCTTGACCGGAATCGAACCCGGGACCTTTCAGTCCGCAGACTGATGCTCTATCCACTGAGCCAAACCAGTTTCGGCATAATGTGATATTTTTAATGTTTTTGAGCATTAATTGAAAATAACCGTGTGTTTTTATCTAGATGGAGGTTAATTTTATGACAAAAATATTATTCGGTCCATATATACTTTGGCTAATATGTATGAAATTATATGCCTTATTAGATGTTAAAAATGAGTTATTTGAGAGCCATTGTGTTACTAGAAAGCATTAACCCCTCAGTGTTTTAGGTTTCTGACTAGTTATCTTTGCTATATTCTGTTTGCCCATCGGTATGTGGTATAAGGAGTAGGGTCTAGGTCAGCCAGCATGGCTAGAGACCTATCAGATACTGAGTTTCTACTCTGGAAGTTTTTCTAGATTACCCTGAATATTGAGCTAGTTCTTGACCTGTATTATTTTTCTGGTGCTCATACTTTACATTTTTTCCCTCTTTTAAAATTGAATTTATTGGGTTGACACTAGTTAACAAAATTATAAAGATTTCCAGTTCATAATTTTATAACATATCATCTGTACACTCATGTGTATTGCTTGAGCAAAAACTAATTAGAATATGATGTTTTAAAATGCTTAATAAAAACTTGTGTTTGATTTTTTAAATTATGTTGGTTTATTGTTTTTTAACTTTATTGTTTAAACTAGAGGCCCAGTGCACAACATTTGTGCATTGGGGTTGTGGGGAGGGGAGGTTCCTGAGCCCTTTCGCAGTCAGGACCCCTTGGGGGATGTCTGCCTGCCATGGAGGTAGGAGGGGCTCCTGCCACTGCCTCTGTGCTCACAGGCTGTGAGCCTGGTTCTGGCTGAGCAGCGCTCCCGCTGTGGGAGTGCACTTGACACCAGGGGGCAGCTCCTGTGTTGAGCACCTGCCCCCTGATGGTTAGTGTGCATCACAGCTACTGGTTATTCTGCTGTTTAGTTGATTTGCATATTAGCCTTTTATTATATAAAATTACTGTTAGTTTGAATAATTTTCAAATATTTCCCATAATACCAGATATATTTGTGTGTAATTTTCTTATGGTGATAATCATTCAATCTATATTTTTGTACATACATTCCTGCACTGCATAATGACATTTTGATTAACAATGGACCACTTATATGATATGGTGCTATAAAATTATAAGGAGCTGAAAAATTCTTACTGTCATAGCTGTTGCAACTCAAGGCTTTACTGACATGATTGTGGTAGTGTGGGTGTAAAACACACCTATTGAACTGCCAGTATAAAAATATGACACATAAAACTTCATATAGACAATAAATGAATTGTTACTATTTTATAATATGTACTTATTATAGTATACTTTATATTTAAAACATTTTAAATTCTCACCTGAGAGTATATATTTTTGTGTGGTTTAAAAAATATTTTTATTGATTTTTTTTTTTTTTTTTGAGAGAGGATATCTTTTTTATTGATTTTTACGAAGACAGGAGGGGGGGGGGAGAGAGAAAGAAACATCGATGTGAGAGAGAAACATCAATCAGTTGCCTCCTGTACACACCCTGACCAGGAATCGAACCCACATTCTTTTGGTGTATGGGATGATGTTCAAACCAAATGAGCCGCCTATCCAGGACTATACTTTATATTTTTATTGTTATTTTAGAGTATACTTTTTCTACTTAAAATACAACATTTGCTATGCTACTCCGGCAGCAGCCTCATATGTCTCATATTATTCAGGCTCCTGATTACATTATTTTCTCTTGTGCTTGATTTAATTTTGTGTTGTTTTGTATAGTAACCTTTTGTACAGGTTTGTAGCCTAGAAGCAGTAGGCTATACCAGTGGTCGGCAAACTCATTAGTCAACAGAGTCAAACATCTACAGTACAACGATTGAAATTTCTTTTGAGAGCCAAATTTTTTAAACTTAAACTTTATAGGTAGGTACATTGTTATTAACTTAATTAGGGTACGTGGTATTTTGTGGAAGAGCCACACTCAAGAGGCCAAAGAGCCACACGTGGTTCGCAAGCCGCAGTTCGCCTACCACTGGGCTGTACTATATAGCCTGGCTACAAAGTAGGCTAGACCACTGAAGTTTGTGTAAGGGCACTCTATGATGTTAGCACAATGTCAAAAATCACCTAACGATGAGTTTCTCAGGATGTATCCCCATTGTTAAATTGTGTGTATAATCTCTTCATGTGAAAAATAAACACTTAAATAAACTAGGTAATATTTTTTAAAGTATAAGGAAAGTACTTCTTACAGAGATTTAGAGGAAAAATGGGGATATTCTGTGTTATAATAAAAAGGATTGTTGGTTAATGGAAGAATATTAGTATGTTTGTGGTACAGATGGCCATAAATAGAAACTTATAAATATTTAGGATATTATTTAGTAGATTTTCCAACAATGTTGATTGATACAAATAATTTTAAATTTTCACCACAAAGCCTTATTTTTGGTTGTAAATAGCTTTCTATAAAGTGACTGAACTTGTAATCTTTTCTAATTCTGTCAGAAAATAAGCTGATAGTAAATGTAGTTTAAATGAATTTTTTGTGTTTTTTTCTTTTTTTTTTTTTAATGTAGGTAATCTTAATCTTAAAATTCCATGGAAAAACCTCTATACTCAACCAGTTGTAGCTGTACTGGAAAACATTTATTTACTCATAGTGCCTTCTTCTAGTAAGTCAAATTTTAAACATTATAATTTAAATTACTCTTTTTTGTAGATGGAAAATCTTTATATTTTATTAATTCAAAATATTTTGGGGGAATTTTTTTGTGATTTTTAAAATAAATACATTTGGTGGTAGGTAATTGAATTAAATTGTTTTTCACACTAAGTTTTTACAGACTTGGAATTAGTGATTATTTTCTTGTATGTTTTTTGGAATGATGAGTATGTTTAAATTTATGGTAATTAATATTCTCCCTTTTCATGTTTCCTTTAGTAATAAAATATGATTTTATAAAAGAAGAAAAGCAACTTTTGGAAGCAAAGCAGCAGGAACTAAAAAGAATAGAAGAAGCCAAACAAAAAGTAGCTGATCAAGGTAAAGAAAACAAAGAAGAATTGAAATAATAAATGGGGAAAAGAAAAATATTGATCACAATTGAATATTATTTTTATTTGGAAGCACTGAGATTACTTAACAAACATGAGAGAATCTTATTACATGTAGCATTTTAATGTATTTAATGTGTTTTATCATGCTTATAAAAATTCTTACCTATTAGACATTTATCTTAGGGCAAATAATATACCTAGCTTATAAGGGAAGGGTTAGTTTTTAACTATTATACAATAATTATGTTTTCTTATCAAGTATGTTTTCTTATCTTTCTAGCCTTTTCCTTCTTGTTCTCCTTATAACAGGTCTTTTGCATATGCTGAGTCCCTTTATATATTTATACTTTTCCAAATCTGTTTATTTATTCTCTGGCTTCACATCCTTTCCTATTCAACATAGACCAAATGGTCCATTACTTCAATCCCTCCTTTGTTGGTAGAAGAGATGTCCTGCAGAAATCTAATTCCTTTCCACTTGTGCTGCATGAAGCAGCAGCAGCTATTTTTACTCAGACTCTAACTTCTCCCTTTAGTGAATCTTTCTTCTTAATATGCAAATGTACTGTAGTTTTTCTTATCTTCTAACATAAAATCATTTTCCTAACCTAGTCATGTGTTTATCTTCTCTGTCCTTCATTTAGAAGTCAAATGTCTTAAAAGTAAGATAGATATATACTGATTTCACTGTCCTTGCCATGACCCAATATTAAATTTTTACCTGTTGACAGTTCTTTCATATCTGTGTGATCATTCATATCTACTTATTCTCTGGGTGTTTTTTTTTTAAATAGTAACTTTTTTTTTAAAATTCTTTATTGTTCAGATTATTACAGATGTTCCTCTTACTCCTCCTATAGCTCCCCTCCACCTGATTCCCCCCCCACCACCAAAGGCCCTAACCTTCCACCTCTGTCCTCATCCATGGGTATAAGATTTTTGTCCAATTTCTTATCGCACCCTCAGACCCCCTTTCCCCTAAGAATTGTCAGTCCACTCCCTTTCTATGACCCTGATTCTATTGTATTCACCAGTTTATTTTGTTCATCAGATCTTTTATTCACTTAATTTTTAGATTCACTTGTTGATAGATGTGTATTTGTTGTCACTTTGTTGACCATAATTTTTTATCTTTACCTTTTTCTTCTTCTTCCTCTTCCTAAAGAATACCCTTCAGCATTTCATATAATCCTGGGTTAGTGGTGATGAACTCCTTTAGCTTTTTCTTATCTGTGAAGCTCTTTATCTGACCTTCAATTCCGAATGATAGCTTTGCTGGGTAGAATAATCTTGGTTTTAGGTTCTTGCTTTCATCACTTTGAATATTTCTTGCCACTCCTGCATAGTTTCTGTTGAGAAATCAGCTACAGTTGTATGGGTGCTCCCTTGTAGGTAACTATTTTTCTCTTGCTGCTTTTAATATTCTCTCTTTGTCTTTTGCCCTTGGCATTTTAATTATGATGTGTCTTGGTGTGGTCCTCTTTGGATTCCTTTTGTTTGGGGTTCTGTGCACTTCCTGGACTTGTAAGTCTATTTCTTTTACCAGGTGGGGAAAGTTTTCTGTCATTATTTCTTCTAATAGGTTTTCAATATTTGTCTCTCTCTCTTCTAGCACCCCCATAATTTGGATGTTGGTATGCTTGAAGTTGTCCCAGAGGCAATCTTCATATTTTTGGTTTCTTTTTTCTTTTTGTTTTTCTGGCTGGGTGTCCTTTGCTTCCTCATATTTGAAATCTTTGGTTTGATTCTTGGAGTCCTTTGGTCTACTGTTGAATTTCTGTATATTATTCTTTATTTCAGACCATGTATGCTTAATTTCTGACTGGTCCTTCCCCCCCCCTTTTTTTTTTTGCATTCTCATTAAAATCCTTAAAGGTCTCATTAAGTTCCTCAGAGGTTTCTAGAAGATTCTTGTGGTTTTGAACTCTATATCCAGTTATCTGCTTTCCTTCATTTCTTTCATTCATGACATGTTTCTTTGATCCTGCATTTTGGCTGCTTCCCTGTGTTGATGGAGTGGCTTTATATGGTAGGTGACCTATTGGGCCCAGTGATTCAGCCTCCCCAGTCACCTGAGGGGGACAGTCTTGGTGCTCCTCTTTGTGGGCTGAGTGCACAGTCTTGTTGTAGTTAAGCCTTGATTGCTGTTGTTGTACTAGGAGAAATTGAACTCCAGGCCAATTGGCTGTGAGGACCCACTGTGTCTATAATGGAAGAACTGCTGTGCTAGAGACACCCTTATGGGGAAGGACTTGCTTCAGTGGGGCTTTGGTGCTCCCTGAGTCTGCTTCTTGAGTGTGTCACTTATGGATGTGAGGAGTTGAAATCTGGTGTCATCTCACACTGTCCACTAGGTAAACTGGCTCCTGGATCTCTAAGGAGTTGCAGGTCAGTTACTGTCTGAGGCCACCCAGCAGGAGGTACAGCAAGATCTGCAGATTTCTCCTCTTTACTTGGGGTTTGGAAGTTTTGGAGCTATCCCAGCTGCAGTTTGTTAGGTTAAGCTGCGATAGGGCAGGCCGTTCATATGCAAAAGCTGCTGCGCTCAGTTTGGGTGGGTTTGTAAATTAGGTAGGATAGGGTCTCAGGGAATCACCAGGATGTTGCAAATAGCAATGGCTGCAAATCAGCCCTCTCTGTGTCTCCGCATTTCCATGTCCCTGGGGCCCGTGCCCCAGTGCAGTAAACAATGATTCCGGAGCGCACCTCTGCAAGAGGGCCACCTTCACTTTCTGACCCAGTGGCAGACAGTCTTGCTTCTCCCCATTGGAGTCTGAGTCCTCAGAGTCTCGCTGGAAACTGGAGTTCAGAGCAGTTCGGAGCTTGTATCTTTCTTTGGATTGAAAAAAAACAGCGCACCTGGTTGCCAGCCCAATTCTCACACCCCCGAACCTCTGCTTTCTGTACCTGTGCATGTCCTACCCGGTCTTAATGCTCTTTTCTCTTTCCTTCTAGCTGTGGAACTTCTACTCAGTCAGCTTTCCCATGGTTCTGGGTGATAGACATTTTGTCTTTTAGTTGTAGTTTTGGTATGGTTGTGAGAGGCAGCAAGAATAGGTATATACCTTATGCTGCCATCTTGTTTTTTTTCTAAATAGTAATATCTTAATGGCAATGAAATGGTATCATGTAGTGTAGATTTGCACTTCCCTAAAAACTAATATTTGAGCATCCTTTTATGAGCTTATTGGCCATTTAAATATCTTGGGAGAAATATCTATTCAAGTATTTTCTGCATTTTTAAATTGTGAGTTTTTTTGGGAGGGTATGTGGTCAGAATTCTCTGTATTCTGAATATTAATCCCTTATTAGATATGTAATTTGCAAATTTTATTCCTTTCTGTAGGTAGCATCTTTACTCTGTTGATAGTCTACAAGGCCCCAAATTTTAAAGTTTTCATGAAGTTCATTTTGTCTGCTTTTCTTCTGTTGCCTGTGTGATTGGTATCATATATAAGAAATTATGGTCAAATTTAGTTTCCTATGTTTTCTTCTAAGAGGTTTTATAGTTTTATTTCATACAGTAAAATCTTTGATCTATTTAAGTTCATTTTTGTATATTGCTAGATAACGGTCCAACTTCATTCTCTTGCGTATGAATATCTGGATATACAGTTTCAAGCATCGTTTCTTTAAAAATACTGTTCTTTCCCATTGAATAGTCTTGCACTCTTCTAAAAAAGTTACTTGAGGGTATGTGAAGATTTATTTCTGGGCTTTCTAGTTTATCCATTGGCTTATATGTTCTTTATGCCAATACCACCCTGTTTTGATTACTGTACTTTTGTTAGAAGTTTTGCAATTAGGAAGTGTGATTCTTTCAGCTTTGTTCTTCCTTTTCAAGATTGTTTTGATTATTTGAGATTCCATATGAATTTTATGATGGATTTTTTTTTTCTCTGCAAAAAAATGTCATTGATATTTTGATATGGATTGTTTTCAATCTGTAGAGTCCTTTGGGCAATATTGATGTGTTAACTATATCAAATCTTCCAATTCATGGATATGGATGGCTTGTCCTTCTACATAAGTCTTTTAATCTTTTCCTAAGTATTTATTTTTGATACTATTATAAAGGGAGTTATTTTTCTAATTTCAGATTATCCATTGCTTGGAAATAGATATGCAAGTGATTTGTTTTTGCTGGCTTTGTACCTTCCTACTTTGCTGAATTAGTTTATTCTAACAATTTATTTTTGTGTGGAATTATATAGGGTTTTCTTTATATAAGATAATGTTATCTGTGAATAGAGATAATGTTATTTTTTTACTTTCCAATTTGTATGCCTTTTATTTATTACTCTTGACTAATTACTCTGACTAGAATTTTCATAATATGTTGAATGGAAGCGGCAAAAGTGGGCATCCTTACCTTTTTCCTGAACTTATATGTAAAGCTTTCAGACTTCACTATTGATTATGATGCGAGTTTTCACCTGTGACCTTTATTATGTTAAATTAGTTTCCTTTTATTGCTAGTTTATTGAGCGTTTTTATTATGAAAGGGTATTGACATTTGTCAAATGATTCTTCTTAATCGGTTGAGATGATCATGTATTTTTTTATTTTATTTTGTTAATATGGTATATTAAATTGTTTTTCATATATAGAGCCATCCTTGCATTGCAGGAATAAATTCTATTGAGTCATTGTGTGTAATTCTTATAATGGGCTTTTAATTTTTATTTGTTAACATATTGTTGAAGATTTTTGTGTCAGTATTCATTAGGGATATTGATCTGTAATTTTTTTGTGGTATGTTTGTCTTGCTTTTGTGTCAGATTAATTCTGATCTCATATTGAGTTTGGAAATATTCCCTTTTCTTCAGTTTTTTGCAAGTGTTTGAAAAGGATTGATGTTCTCTTTTAAATGTTAGGTAGAATTCACAAGTGAAGCCATGAGGTCCAGAGCTTTTTTTTGTTGAGAGATTTTTTATTACTGGTTTGATCTATGAATTATATGACTATTCAGATTTTCTGTTTCTTTGTGATTTTGCTTTGGTAGATTTTGTTTTTCTAGGAACTTGTCCATTTCATCTGATATTACAATTTGCTAGTAAAATTTTTTTCATACTATCTTATAATATTTTTTTTATTTCTGTAGAATAAGTAGTAATGTTTCCACTCTCATTTGTGACTTCAGTAATTTCAGTCTTCATCTCTCTTTTTTAAATCTAATCTAATACACACACACACACACACACACACATATTAGGAAAATATAGCTTTTATTGGCATTTTTAAGTGGAGGAAATAGGGGTAGTAACTAATGGTTATTAAACGCATATTAAAAAATTAGGAGCCTCAATTTTTTATTCTTTCTTTTCCCCTGGAAAATATTGAAACTGGAGATAGTAAATAGGTTTTAGAAAAAGAAACACCTGATGAACTTCCTTCATCCTTGCTGTAAAGGAGAGAGGGTAATATCTTATATCTTCTTACTTTGTATTCATCAGGAGAATCATATTCAACTATTTTATACACCTAATCACAGACAACTTACGATGTTATCTCTAATTTTAAGGGAGATTCCATCTTCACTGCTTTCTCTAGCTTTTTTCATATAAGCCTATTATAATTCTTACATAATAATCTTCATTGTTGTCCATATCTTTATATACTCAGATATAATTAACAGAGAAAAGTTTATAAAATTTAATGCCAATAAATTTTGCAAGGTTGGCTTTAGTTTCCCTGAACAAGAAACTAGTTTTTGAAAACTACTCAGTTGACTTTGAAAATCTTTTTCAAAATTGGGAGATTTTTGAAAAGCAAATATACAAATGTAGATTTTTTTCTTTAACAAGGTTAAAATTTATATTACCTTAATATGTGGATATTTATATTATAGAATATATTTTTCATTCAAGTTTAAAAAGGAATATTTGCCATTCTAGAAAAACTCCTGGTGGAAAAACAAGACACCTTTACAGAAAAATTAATTACTCAGATTATAAAAAATCTTCAAGTGAAAATTTCCAACATCCATATTCGTTATGAAGATGATGTAAGTATTTTAACAAATGAATCTTGTTTTTATATTTATATATTTATTCCACAATTTATGGAAATCTGCTCTGTAGCAGCCCATCTATTAGCGACTCACAGGTTGAAAATGGCTGCTGTAGAGCTTAAGACCATTGGAAAACAAAGATATTTACATTACAATTCATAACAGTAGCAAAATTACAGCAACAAAAATAATTTTATGGTTGGAGGTCACCACAACAGGAAGAGCTGTATTAAAGGGTCGTGGCATTAGAAAGGTTGAGAACCACTGAGATACTTGGAAGTGAAGGAATAAGGCTGAAAATGACATGACCTTTTTTTTCTATAACTGTAGTTGTAATTTGCAGTCTTTACTGCCTTAGTTACAATTCCCTAAAGCATTCAAACATCAGATAATGAAGGAAAATACATATCTTAATACATGTGATAGATGGGATTATGAATTTAGCTATTATATGGTTTTAAGACACTTTAAATTATACGATATCTCCTGGAGAGAGCACTGGTCTAGAAATCAGTAGAGCAAGATTTAACTAACTGACCTTAAGTAGATAATGTATTCTCTCTAAAACATGTAATAATTAGCTTTTCATAGTACTATTATGAGGGTCAATCATTTTTTATAAACTTTTTTTTTATAAAGTATAAAATATGCAGATGTATTATTATTTTAGAACACTAACACTTTGATGCTTAATATTTTAATTAGTATGTATAAGGAAAAAATATAGAAATAAAAGTTCTGGAAAGCATTAAATGTTTTTGAATGTTTGAAGTTGCATTCTGTAACGTAAATTTTGTTTAACTACTAAAAATCTGAGAAAAATGTACTGTGTTTCCTCTTTAGATCACAAATCAAGAAAACCCACTGTCATTTGGTATTTCTCTTCAAAATCTCAGCATGCAGGTACCTTGTTTAAAAATAAATTTAACCATATGTAATTGTGTAGTTAAGCTACAAATTGCTATTCATTTATGCATGCATTAGAAATAGATGTCTATATAGAATTAGTACCTCTAGTACATGGATTGGATTGCAACTGAGGATAGGTAATTTCATATTTAAAAAAATGGTTGATAATCAAATCCTAGTTAAAATATGAGGGCCTATTATTATTTGCTAATTATTGATATTTGATACCTTTTTTAAAACTTAAATCTATCTCTTGTTTTTTAAATATATTTTTATTGATTTCAGAGAGGAAGAGAGATGGAGGATGGAGAGAGAGACATCAGTGATGAGAGAGAATCATTGATTGGTTGCCTCCTGCATGCCCTACACTGGAGATGGAGCCCACAACCTGGGCATGTACCCTGATTGAGAATCGACCCATGAGCTCCAGATTCATAGGTTGACGCTCAGTGTTCAACCTTTGAGCCATGTTGGACAGGCCCATTTCTGAGAAATTTTTAGGAACTTTGATAAGTCATGTAAAGTATAAAGAAACAAACTACCATGTCCTCACCATTATTAGTAATGTGGAATACTGATAAAAACTCCCAGCAAAGTGGGAATAGAGGGATCATACGTCAACATAATAAAAGCCTTAAATGTTAAACCTACCACCAATGTCATAATCAGTGGGCAAAAACTAAAACCATTTCCCCTAAGAACAGGAACAAGGCAGGGATGCCCGCTTTCACCACTCCTGTTCGACATTGTACTGGAAGTGCTAGCCAGAGCAGTCAGAAAAGAAGAAATAAAACGCATCCAAATTGGAAAAGAATAAGTATAACTGTCATTATTTGCAGATGACATGATATTATACATAGAAAAGCCTAAATACTCCATAAAAAAATCTACTAGACCTAATAAGTGAATTCAGCAATGTAGCAGGATACAAAATTAACACCCAGAAATCTATGCCTTTTTTATACACTATTAATGAATTCACAGAAAAAGAAACTAAAAAAAAAAAAAAATCCTATTTACCTTTGCAATAAAAAAATTAAGATATATAGGAATAAATTTAACTAAAGAGGTAAAAGACCTGTACTTGGAAAACTATAGGACATTGAAAAAAGAGAGAGGAAGACATAACCAAATGGAAGAATATACCGTGTTCATGGATTGGTAGAAACAACATCATTAAAATCTCCATACTACCCTAAGCAATTTATAGATTCAGTGCAATCCCCATTAAAATACCAATGGCATAGACCTAGAACAAACACTCACATTGAATAAAAAAAGACCCTGAATAGCCACAGCAATCCTGAGAAAGAATGAAGTTGGAAGGATCATAATACCAGATATCAAACTGTATTACAAAGCAACTGTTCTCAAAACTGCCTAGTACTGGCTCAAGAACAGACATATAGACCAATGGAACAGAACAGAGAACCCAGAAATCAACCCAAGTTATTATGCTCAATTAATAGTTGACAAAGAAAGCAAGAGCATACAATGGAGTCAAAACAGTTACTATTTCAATAAATGGTGTTGGGAAAGTTCGACAGGTACATACAAAAAAAAAAAATGGAACTAGATCACCAACTTATATCATACACAAAAAATAAACTCAAAATGGATAAAGGACTTAAACAAGTAAGTGGGAAAACCATAAAAATCTTAGAAGAATCCATAGCAGCAAAATATCAGACAAATGTCATAGCAATAGCTTTACTTCCTACTGGTGCTAGGATAGTGGAAACTAAGAAGAAAATAAACAAATGGGACTACATCAAAATAAAAATCATCTGCACAGCAAAAGAAACCATCAACAAAACAACAAGAAAGCTCACTGTTTGGGAGAACATGTTTAACAATGCTATCTCTCATAAAGGTTTAATCTCCAAAATTTATAGGGAACTCACACAACTTAACAAAAGGAAGATAATCTAATAAAAAATGGGCAAATGACTTAAGTAGACCCCTTACAAGAGAGGACATACAGAGGGCCAAGAGACATATGAAAACATGCTCAAAGTCACTAATCATCCGAGAGATCCAAATCAAAACGAGAATGAGATACCATCTCACACCTGTCAGAATGGCAATCATCAATAAATCAACAAGTGCTGTAGAGGATGTGGAGAAAAAGGAACCCTCATGCATTGTTGGTGGGAATGCAGACTGATGCAATCTCTGTGGAAAATAGTATGGAGTTTCCTCAAAAAGTTAAAAATGGAACTCCCATTTGACCCAAGAAATCAGAAACACCAGTCAGAAAGGATATATGCCCCCCTATGTAAATAGCAGCACAATTTACAATAGCTAAAATTTGGAAGAAGCCTAAGTGCCCATCAGATGATTGGATTAAAAAACTGTGGTACATCTACACAATGGAATACTATACCACTATTGAAAACAAGGAACTTTTACCATTTGCAACAGCATGGATGGATGTGGAGAGCATTATGCTAAGCAAAATAAGCCAGTTGGAGAAAGATAAATATTACATGATTTCACTCATATATGGGATATAATGAACAACAAGTCGATGAACAAAAATAGATCCAGAGACAAGAAACAACAACAAAAAACACTGAACAGACTGTTCAGAGGGAAGGGGTAGGGGTTAAGAGATCAACCAAAGGACTTGTATGCATGCATTTTATCATAACCAATTAATACGGACACTGGGCCACTGGGGGCTTGTCCTGAGGGATGGGAGTGACCAGGGAGGAGCCAGTTGGAAAAAGGAGACATATGTAACAACAATAACAATAAAAATAAAAGATTTCTAGTGGAACATTAAAAATAGACACCAGGGGAGTTAATTTTTATTAAAAAAAAAACAACTAAAAATGTGGCAGACTTCGTCTAATTTTTCAAATTGAGGAATTTTACAAGTCTAGGAGCACACAGAATTATGAAACATTCGCTTTTAATGGAAAGAAAAATTGGTAAAATTTTCAATTTGTTTTAATACTTTAAAAGAATAAACTTTTAGGAATACTGCTATGCTTTCCTGTATATCCAGAGATAAACATGCTAAGTTTTTAAACTTTTACCTAATATAGCCATTAAAATTATCTATAGTATTTGGTAGGTTTTGAAGTTAGATAAATATTTTATGTGTTTCTTCTATAAGTTCCCCTTTTCTCCTCACAATATGTTCAACATCTATGTTGCCACATGTAATTTATTTCATTCAATTTAACTGCTGTATAGTATTTCCATTACATCTTGCTTTTGTTATATTCATTAGTTTTTGTGTATGATTTTTAAAAAACAACATGGTCTACTCTAAGAAATGCCAAATAAAAAGTTACTCAGTAATGCTGGGTGGGGTAAAATGTCAATGCTCTGTTGGAAAATAAGGATGGAGAATTAGCTGTCGTAGTTAGCACTGTGAAGGCCATTGGTGACTGTGACAGCAGTGATTTTGACCATCACCTTTGCAGGGCCGTGGAAGTTTGTCCCCAGTCCAGATGTATTCAATTTGAAACAGGAATGGGCCCAGCAATCCTTGTTTATATAATACCTTAATCAATAAAGAAATTTTTAAAAAAGCAAATTATTTGGGGAAAAAAAAAAAAGACCTCTGTGATACTATTGCATAATAAAAAGTGAGAACTACCGTTCTAATCCATTTAGTTCTGTACAAAAAAATGTAAACCATCTTTTTAAATAAGTATCTTTATTCTCCTCAGTGGCTTTTTAATTGCTTTTATGATAAAGTCCAAGTTTTACCTTCAAGTCATTTATAATCCTTTTGTAATCTGATTCCAACTCTTTGATATCTGTAAGATATCTCATTTCAACTCTTTGTTTCACATTATGTGAATGGCCCATACTGGGCCATTTAAGTTCTCTGAACATATCAGATGTTCCTATATCTTTCTAAGATGAATAATATCCCATACTGACCTTACAATAAGTAATGTCTGTTCATATGTTATATATAAGGTTAGATATCACTTTCTCCATTTTTAAAAAATAATGGTTTGGGGCTTCTGCTGTGTTCTCCCAGTATTGTATATTCAACCACTATAGTGGCACTTATTTGACTGTAATTGTTTCTTTATCTGTTTGCTTTTCAATCAATAATGAGTTCATTGAAAGTAGAGACTTTCTTGTGGTTCATTTACTTTTTTAATGTTATGTTTTCAAAGACATTTTTAAAAAAATATATATTTTGTTTTTTTAAAATATATTTTATTGATTTTTTACAGAGAGGAAGGGAGAGAGATAGAGAGCTAGAAACGTTGATGAGAGAGAAACATCGACCAGCTGCCTCCTGCACACCTCCTACCGAGGATGTGCCCACAACCAACGTACATGCCCCTGACCGGACTCGAACCTGGGACCTTTCAGTCCGCAGACCGACGCTCTAGCCACTGAGCCAAACCGGTTTCGGCTCAAAGACATTTTTATGGGAAATTGGTCTAGGGAGTAATTTATAGGATTTATCACTCTGCCACATAGCACATGGAAATGACACATTTATTGCCTTTTTTATTGCAGACAACGGATCATAACTGGGTTCCATGTTTACATGATGAAACTGAGAAACTATTTCGTAAGGTAAAATAAACAAATACTATTTTTTGTCAACTCAATGAAGCTAATGTAATATATAATATAGGTTTATGCAAATTGTGTTTACTTGCTTAACTGTTAATATGACTCAATTATTTGAGGCTTCTGAAAATGGCATATGTTTACGATCTTTCAGTTAATCCGATTGGATAACCTTTTTGCTTATTGGAATGTGAACTCCCGGATGTTTTATCTCACTAGTTATCATGATTCATTGGTAAGTAACTTTTTTAATATGTGTATATACACATTTGTTGACATATTTTGTATAATGTTTTATTCATTGTCATTTACCTAACATATGGTAGTCAGAGGTCATTTTATGCAGGCAAAACCAATTAGCAGAATTTACAGCAATAGGTGAATATATGTACCTGTATACAACCGTGTATAAACATACACCTTGCTTTTTAATAATTGACATAAAACATTAGTTTCAGGTGTACAGAAATTCGATATTTGTATGTATTACTAAATGATTTCCACAATAATTCTAGTTAACATCTCTCACCATACACAGTTAAAAAATTGTTTTCATGAGAAAAGAACTTTTTTTTTTCTTTTTAAATATTTTATTGATTTTTTTTTTACAGAGAGGAAGGGAGAGAGATAGAGTGCTAGAAACGTCGATGAGAGAGAAACATCGACCAGCTGCCTCTTGCACACCCCCTACCGGGGATGTGCCCGCAACCAATGTACATGCCCTGACCGGAATCGAACCTGGGACCTTTCAGTTCGCAGACAGATGCTCTACCACTGAGCCAAACCGATTTCAGCGAGGAAAGAACTTTTAAGATTCCCTTAGTAACTTTCAAATATGCAATGCAGTATTACTAACTATAGTCACTATGTTGTATGTTAAATCACCATGTTGTATGTAAAATAAATTCTTATTTTATAACTAGAAGATTGTACATTTTGACTACTATCACCCATTTTGCCACCACCCACCCCCTACCTCTGGCAACCACCAGTCTGTTCTCTTATTTATGAGCTTATTTGTCTGTTTGTTGTTTTTTTTGTTCATTTTTTTTTTTTTAGGTTCCACATAACATATTAGATACAATATTTGTTTCTCTCCATCTGTTTTACTTAGTATACTGCCCTCAAAATCTACCTGTGTTGTCTCAAATAGCAAGATTTCCTTTCTTTTATGGCTGAATGATATTTTGTTACATATATATATATATATATATATATATATATATATATATATATACACCACGTTTTCTTTATTCATCTGTTGATTTGTAGGTTGTTCCCATATCTTTTTTTTTTTTAAATTACTTTATTGAGTTTGTTCCCATATCTTGACTCTTGTAAATAATGCTACAGTGAACATGGATGCACATAACTGTTTGAGTTAGTGTTTTTGTTTTATTTGGTAAGTATCCAGAGTTAGAATTGTTGGGTCATATCGTAGTTCTATTTTAAATTTTATGCTCCATACTGTTTTCCATAATGGTTGCACCCATTAACATTGCACAGGGGTTTCTTTTTTTTCCGTATCCTTTCAAATACTTGTTATGTTTTGTCTTTTTTATAATACTTATTCTAACAGGTATTAGGTGATATTATATTGTCATCTGATTTGCATTACCCTGATGATTAGTGAGGTTGGATATTTTTTTATGTTCCTGTTGGTCATCTATATGTTTTCTTTGGAAAAATGTTTATTCCGAACTTCTCATTTTGTAATCAGGTTGTTTATTTTTTTACTTATTAGTTGTGTAAGTTCTTTATATATTTTGGATATTGACCCCTTATTAGATATATGAATAATAAATATTTTTTCCTATTCAGTAGATTGATTTTATATTTTGTTGGCAGTTTCCTTTGCTACATAGAGGCTTTTTAGTTTGATGTAGTCTCACTTGTTTTTGCTTTTGTTGCATTTAATTTTGATGTCAAATCCAAAAAAATCATCACTAGGACCAACCTCATGGAGGTTACCAAGTATATTTACTTCTAAGATTTTTACGGTCTCAGGTCTTACATGGAAATTTTAATCCGTTTTGAGTTAATTTTTGTTTATAGTGTAAGATACTGGTACAGTTTTATTATTTTGCATGTGTCTATCCAATTTTCCCAAATTTAATCTTTGTTGTAAACTAATGAGATTATTTCTGGGCTCCCTATTCTGTTCCACTGGTCTATGTGTCTGTGTTTATTCTAGTACTGTATAGTTTTGGTTACTACAGTTTTGTAATAGAGCTTGAAATCAAGGAGGTGATGCTTTTAACTTTGATTTTATTTCTCAAGATTGCTCTGGCTATTTGGGATCTTTTGTGATTTCATACACATTTTATGATTGTGTTTTTCTTTGGAAAATGCCATTGGAATTTGGATAGGGATTGCATTGAATTTGTATATAGCTTTGGGTAGTATGGATTTTTTTAAAACAATATTAATTTTTACAGTCTTGAGTGTGGAGTATCTTTCCACTTACTTGTTCTTCAGTTTCTTTTAGGAAAGTCTTATAGTTTTCAGTGTACAGGCCTTTCACTTTCTTAGTTAAATTTATTTCTAAGTATTTTTTTCTTTTTGATTTAGTCCTAAAATGGAATTATTTCCTTAATTTTGCTTTTTGATATTTTGTTACCAGTGTATAAGAAGTGCAACCGATTTCTGTATATTGATTTTTTTTTTTTTATCCTGCATCTTTACTGAATTTGTTTAGTCTAATATATTTTTTTGATTGGGGTCTTTAGGATTTGTTATAAATAATACCATGTCATCTACATTTATATTTATTATAAATAATACCATGACAGTTTTATTTCCTCCTTTTCATTTTGGATGGGTTTTATTTACTTTTATTGCCTAATTTCTCTGGCTAGTGCTTTGAGTACTATCTATCTATATATAAAAGCCTAAGTGACCATTATGACTGGATGACCAGCCATTGCTATGATACGTACTGACCTCCAGGGGCCAGACACTCAACGCAAGAGCTTCCCTGATGGTCAGTGTACTCCCACAGCCAACCTCCCGTGGCTGGTCAACCTCCCATGCGCCCTTCCCCACTGCCAGCTGGCCTCAATTGGCTCCAATCACAAGCCAGGCCAAGTGACCCCACCTGTGCATGAATTCCGGCACAGGGCCTCTAGTGTTAAATAAAAGTAGTGACAATGGATATCCTTGACTTATTCCTGACTTTAAAGGAAAACTCTGAACTTTTCACTGTTGAATGTTATATGAGCTATGGGTTTGTCTTATATTCCCTTTACTATATTCAAGTGTAATTGTACCTCTATATCCACTTTGGTATAGAGAGTTTTAATTATAAATGGGTATTGAAGTTTGTCATATTTTTTATAGGTGTCTATATATAAACATGTTTAAAGATATATCTTAATATTTCTAAGGTATTCTTTTATGAGATAATTATTTTCAACTAACTATTATCCTAACCACTTTAATGTTTTCTTATATCAAAATCCTCCTAAGTTTGAGTTATTTAATTTTTTATAAATTGTTTTTAAACTTTTTTTATTTGCATACAGTAGAATTTTGTCAGATAAAGGAATATTGTCATTAATATAAATAAAGCAATTTATCTTTTGATAGGAAAGCTTGAGGAATGGCATAGTTGATGAAAATATTATTCCAGAAGGTTATGATTTTGGTAAGTATGTTTCCTAAAGTAAAAATTGCACTTTCTATTTTATTTTATTAATAAATTTTAAATGAATATTGTTAATGTAATGTGCCTTTTCATGTTAATTTCTCATGTAAATGTATTTATGATATACACACACACACACACACACACATATATATATATATATGTAAAAGCAAACATGTATATGTCATTCATTGTTGGGGAGCTTTGGGCTCTATATCAAAACCAGGAAAGAAAAATGTCCAACAAAAGTGGTTGTTAATAAATTGTGAGTTCTCTAATAATTGTCATGATAATTTTTAAAGACATTTAACAATTTAATAAGGCTAGATGGTGTAGTCTATAGTGTTACCTTACTTTAAAAATGTATACTTAAATTTTTAAAAAATTTTTTCTAATTTTAAATAGTCTGAAATGAACATGTAGTATTTTAACAATCAGAAATAAGTTATTAAAATATGCAGTGAAAAAGAGTGCTGTTTTTTCTATCCTGAAGGCACTCAATAAATATTAATTGGTGATGGGTAATTTGGCTGACAATGTTGTTAACCATAGATTATTCTTTCTGAAATTATTTCTTTTTTTGGCTTATTGACAACAATATGAATTATAGATAGAAAAAAGATAACAGAAACTTTTCCACCAATTAAATGACAGTTCATTTGACCAAATCATAGCATTGTGGAAATATAGAACTGTAAAAAGAATATGTAAGTCATGAAAATCAGTATTTTCAACTTGATCCTTTTATACTATGACACTCTTGAAATGTAACTTAGTTTAATTTATTAAAATTTATATTCTTTTCCAGTATTTCGCCCCATATCTGCTAAAGCCAAACTTCAGATGAATCACCGAGCTGATTTTGACTTTTCCGCCCCTAAGATAAAACTGGATGTTGAATTACATGACATAGCGATTGAATTTAATAAACCACAGGTATTTTTTAAATGGTATTTTAAATTTTGCGTTATAGTTTGCTAAAAATAGAACTAAGATTTTAAGTGATTTTCTTTATTGAAATGTTAAAAAATTTTTAATGTTGACATTATTCCTTTCCCCCACCTTTGGCCCCCTCTATCCTCTCCTGCCAACCCCTTCCTTGGCCTTTACCAAATTATTGTCTGTGTCCATGGGGTATGCATATGTGTTCTTTAACTATTACCTTCACCTTCTTTGTTCAGTCATCCCCACCTCCCTCCCCCTGGGCAAAGGCCAGTCTGTTGCATGTATTTCATATTATGCTTCTGGTTCCCTTTCATTTGTCAATTTATTCATGTTCTTAAAAAATTCAGTTACATGGTAAAATTTCCTTTAAAAAGTTTAACTTAGCTTCAATAATTGGGAAACATCTGAAACATGTAAGAGCTTTATGTTTTTCATCCTTTAGTATTTCAGTCTTATGGAGCTTCTTGAATCAGTTGATATGATGACCCAAAATCTGCCATATAGGAAGTTCAGACCTGATGTACCTGTTCACGGCCATGCCAGAGAATGGTAAAAAGTCTTAAATTTTTAAAATTGAAGTATAATTGATATACAGTGTTATATTAGTTTCAGATGTACAACATAATGATTCAAATTATCACCATTAGTTACCATTCCTGCCATAGAGAGCTACAAAATTTTTCTTATGATAAGAACTTTTAAGATCTACTCTCTTAGTAACTTTTAAATATTCAGTGCAATATTATTAAGTTTAGTCGACATAATATCCCCATGACTTATTTATTTTATAACTGGAAGTTTGTAACTGTTGACCCCCTTCACCCATTTTGCTCACCCCAAAATCCTGTTTCTGGCAACCACCAATCTATTTTCTATACCTATGAGCTCATTTCCTGTCCCTAAAGATTCTATAAGTGAAATCATGTATTATTTGTCTCTTTTTGACTCACTTCACTTAGCAGAATGTTCTCAGGGTTCATTCATGTTGTCATAAGTGGCAAGATTTTTTTTTTATGGCTACATAATATTCCATTATTGTGTATATATTACCACATTTTCTTTATTCATTCTTTTGTCAGTGATACTTAGGTTGTCTTAATGTCTTGGCTATTGTAGATAATGTGACAGTGAATGTGGGGGTGCATATATCTTTTTGATGTAGTCTTTTCATTTTCTTCAGGTATATTTCCATAAGTGGATTTGCTCAAACTAAAACTTTTTAAAAGATTTTTAAAATATAGCAAAAAAGTGAATTTTTTGACGTTTTTAAGATACTTCAAAGGCTGACACAAACTATAGTTTGATTTGCAATTAGAAATTACTTAAGGGATTTGTTATAATAGAATTTATAACTGGAGTACTAGAATAACATTTAGTCACTGTATTTTTTAGTTGAACCATATTTCAGTTTTTTTGTCTAGCAGTGTCTTCTTTTAAAAGTTTCAAATTTTTGTATTATATACATTAAACATGTTATTAAACCTGAAAATGTTATGCGTGTATATAAAGTACTACCCTTTTTGAGATTCAAATTCTTGCCATTCCAGTTATTAAGCTCTTGCATAGTTTCTAGAAATTGCAATTACTCTTTGAGTTGACTATTTTAATTATTATTCATGAGACTCAAGTGCTGTTTGACCATTAATACTTCAATGGTTTTTCTGGAAACCTATATTTATTGCAACAAAATTTAAGGATTTTGCTTAGGAAAGATAATAATTACTATAAAAACAAATATGGGGGAAAGCAGGTGCTCAGATTACATACCATTTTCATATTCTTTGAATGATAGTTATGTATGTTAGAGTAGAAGCAATATCCATTATATTCCATACTGTTGGTTTGAGGGTGTTAAGTGTAGGGTTCTTGTTTTTTTAACTAGGTGGGTTTATGCTATACGTGGTATTCTTGAAGTAAATGTTTGCCCCCACTTACGGATGTGGTCATGGAAACATATTTGTAAACATCGGCAACAAATGAAGCAATATAAAGAACTCTATAAGAAAAAACTAATAAATAAGAAGCCACCTGTTGAAGTTCTCAGCTGTTTGGAGGTTAGCATTTAAAAAAATAGTTGAATATTTTATGCTTTATAACTTCTAAGTCTTTAGAGATTAGCACTTCCTAATTATTTGTTCTAATTGTGGAAATCTGTAACCAACCTACAGGCCTCTAAAAATTAAGCATTTATATTAGCCTAGGTCTTGAGAAAGTCTCCTACCTCAAAAACCATTCTCTTTTTCTCTTTTACTTAGTTGTTTTTCTTCTGTTTAAACTCAGTTAGGTGATATAAGCTTTGGTGTTATTCTCCTGGGAGCTTTTGGAAGATGAAATTATTCTAAATCTGAAGAGATTTGGGTTCATGCAAATAATAACTTGAAGCCTTAAATTATTAAGACATTTTTAACTTCAAAGGCTAAAAAGTTTTTGTATAATACATTGATTCCAAGTTCTCTGTGTTCTTTCTGAAGCCTTACCTATGTCACCACTGCATTTCTCCTGTGTAAACCATCTAACTGTGCATTAATCAAATACAATTTCCTATCTTCTATACAGTGACACTGTGTTTACCCTTACCTATAGTTAAAACCTAGATAAAAATTTTAAACAGTGCATGTTTGGTATCTTTTAGTATGTATCTGAAAATCTTATAGAGTTGTAACTTACATGCATGATGTAAGATTTCTTTGTTCAGGAAGTTTTTCATCATTACTAATTTCCAAGCTGACATTATTTCTCAGAATTTAACCAGGAATATTATGTTGATGGATGATCTGTTTCCTGCTTTCTATCATATCTTTAGTGCAGCAAATTGACAGGTTATATAAATTAAAGTTATTTATAATTGTTTATGTAAACACATTTTCCTTTATATTTTTAGGAGTTGGAGAAGACTCTGGATGTATTTAATATAACTATAGTGAGACAACAGGCAGAAGTTGAGGTAATTCCAGATTATCTTTCAGTTAGTAAAAATAAATCTAGAGTCCATATAGATTTGAAAGGTGCTGTGATATTATTAGTATTGTGCTATAATGTACTGTTTCCTGAACTGGGTTCAAATTTGCTTTTTTGTGTTTGTTTTAAGAAAATTTGATTTAATGTTTTGCCACATTCATTTAAATCAGATTCTGTTGGAAAAATATTCTTTGTAGGTTATTGGATTTATACTGAGAGTAAATGTGAAAATGAAAAGCCAATTTTATTTTTTTTAAAATTACCTTTCCATGTAAGACAGTAGGATTAACTGCCTTGTAATACTAAATTTTTATGTTTGGCTAATGTTGCAGTTACTTTATTCTGTGGTCAGTTTGTATAATGTTTACATTTATTTACTCAAGTTTTGCAAATGTCAGGCTTATATTTCTTTAGATTGTTAAATAAAGGATAATTTGTCATTTAATTGAAAATTTATATATTTTAGTTAAAGAAAGCAAGATACAAGATATACAAAGAAGGAATAAAAGATTCAGAGGAAAATAAAGGATGGTTTAACTGGTTGTGGACTTGGTCAGAACCACAAACTAAAGAACAGCAGCCTGATCTTAAACGTGGAGGTATATTCATTTTATTTTATAGTAGTGCAGTTAATCATCATATATAGTAATGTAGTTAATCATCAGATATGAAAATGGTTTTGCAGAAAATTCTCTCTGATTAAATAAATATTGTAATTATATATGCATATGATACATACTTTATTCTTGTTATCAATAAAATTACTATTAGAACATTGCAAATATATGACAAGTAAAAATGAAATAATTTTATTTTACTAGTGTTCACAAAAGAGTTTTATGCCCAGGGGATTTGGTAAATGCATATAGCACAATAACAGATAAATAAAGATTTCAAAAGTGTATAAACCAATGTAAGTTTTTATTTAAATGATTTCTTGTAAAGATTTTTCTAACCAAATGCCTAAGATTGAAGCTTTAGCCGAAACCGGTTTGGCTCAGTGAATAGAGCAGACTGAAAGGTCCCAGGTTTGATTCTGGTCAAGGGCATGTACCTTGGTTGCGGGCACATCTCCAGTAGGGGGTGTGTAAGAGGCAGTTGACCGATGTTTCTGTAACATCGAAGTTTGTAACTCTATCCGTCTCCCTTCCTCTCTGTAAAAAAACAATAAAATATATTTAAAAAAACAAAACAAAACTTTGGAGTCTTAGGGGCTTAGGTTTACATATTAAATCTATCAATTATTAGCACTGTGGTTCTGGTAAGTTATTTAGCTCTTTGAATCTCAGTTTTATTAATAGTAAAATGGGAGGAAATTATGATATTTGTACTACTTACTTTTTGTGCTAGGTGTGTTGCTTAGCAGGGTGCCAAATACAGTTATTCGTTTTGTAAGCTCTTGGTTGATACCAGTATTTAGAAATTTATATTTTTGGAGAATAATCCTTCTAAAATTGCCAGTGCCATTCTAACATTGTCATTATAATTTCTTAAAAGTATTATTAAAAGAGAGTAAAATTTACATTTAATTTATTAAAGGCATCTAAATTATGGGTTAGTTTTATCTTGTTATCAGTTAAAAACATAGAACATTTTGTTTCTAATTTGTAGGTATTGAAGAAATCTTGACACCTGAAGAAAAAACTTTACTCTATGAAGCAATTGGCTATAGTGAAACAGCAGTTGACCCAACCTTGCCAAAATCAGTAAGTTTTTCATGCCTTATATCTCACTGTTGAATGAAATTTTAATCCTTTAGAAATTACATTACTGATTTGTTCTGTGATTTTCTTCTGGTTCTGTAAATATTGTAATATTGTTTTTACTTTAATTTCCAAGGTAGGGATAAATATTGTCCCATTCTTTGTAGAGTTACAGGGTGATTCTTTAAGATACAAGGGTTGCTTTTAAACTGCCTTCTGTTTTTTGGAAAAAATAAATTTTGTGAATAGGATGTGAATAAGACTGTTTGATATGCATACATATGTGTTTGTATTTAATTTCGTTCATCTGAATATACTCTAGTTTGAAGCCATGAAGTTGTACATGCACTTGAAAAGTATGTCTATCGTTCTAAGAGAAGAACAACGAAAACGTGAGCTATTAAATATTGTAGTAAAAGAATTTAGCACTTGGGTTGTACAAAGACCGGGAGCACAATCAATAAAGTAAGTATTTATTTATTTTATTTTACCTTTAAAAATTTTTTTATTTTATTGATTTCAAACAGAAAGGGGAGGAAGAGAGAGAGAGAGAGAGAGAGAGAGAGAGAGAGAGAGAAAATCATTAATGATGAGAGAGAATAATCTATCAGCTGCCTCCTACATGCCCCATCCCGGGGATTGAGCCTGCAATCTGGGCATGTGCCCAGACCCAGAATCGAATTATGATCTCCTGGTTCATAGGTCGACATCAATCACTGAGCCACACTGACCAGGCTATTATCTTTTATCTATAAAAAAAAATTCACTGTGAAATTGGAAGATAGATTATAATTTTACCATATTTTCCAAAGAGTACTATGGCTTAATATATTCTTTCATATTTTTAGGAACTTAGATTTTTTTCAGTAATATATGTATTTTATAATCTTTATTTATAAAAGCCTAAGCAACAGGCCAACCAGCCAACTGGCTGACTGGCCAGTAGTTATGATGCTCACTGACCATTAGGGAGCAGATGTTCAACACAGGAACAGAAACCTCAGACATGGAAACATGGAGTAGGCTGATGAATCTCAGAGGAAAGGGGAGGAAGGGAAGGGTGGGAGGAGATTAACCAAAGATCTTACATGCATACTAGAGGCCGAATGCATGAATTTGTGCACTGGTGGGCTCAGCCTGACGGGAATCAGGCAGAAACCGGCTATCCGACATCCCCCAAGGGGTCCAGACTGCAAGAGGGCATAGGCCAGGCCAGCGGACCATACAGGTGCACGAATTTGTGCACCAGGCCTCTAGTTATTAAAATAGTAATATTAATAGAATACTGCATGCTCAGGAAACATAGTCTTTTTATGTTTCCTGAGCATGCAGTAAGCCACATTATACAAAGAAGAAACAACATTAATAATTTGGTATTTATCTGAAAATGTATTTCACTTTTGTTTTTAAAAATAGCTTTACTTTGGGGGGAAAAAGGGTACATCTGCAATACTTTCAACAATAAAAATTAATCTAAAAAATACAATAAAAAGGAACACAGACAATATGGTGGTGAAGACCGTGGGTGGGGGGCTGGGACTGGGCTAGGATAGGTCAATGGGCGAAAAAGGGAATATGTAATATTTTCAACAATAAGATTTTAAAAAGTAATAAAAAATAGCTTTATTGAGATATAATTCACATATACTATTCATCTATTAAAAGTGTACAATTCATTTGTTTGTGACACTGTATGCCATGTTACATTGTCATGTTTATTAGGTAATTCCAGAACATTTTTATACCCTAAAAAAGAAACCCTAATACTCATTAGTAGTCACTCCTCATTGCCCCCCCTTTCTTGTGTCAGCAATAACTAATCTACTTTATTCCTAAGACTTTATTTTGGGCATTTAATATGCACAGTATCATGTAATATGACTTTTCTGTCTGCCTGCTCTCACTTACCATGGTATTTCAAGGTTCATCCATGGTATAGCATGAGTTAGTACTGCATTCATTTTTAATCCCTAATAATATTCCAGTATATGGATATACCACATTTTGTCTGTCCACTCATCAGATGATGGATAATGGATTATTTTCATTTATTGGGTATTATGCATAATGCTGCCATGAATATTCATGGACAATATTTTGTGAGATCATTAAGTTATAAATTATCTTGAGTATATATCTAGGAGTATAATTGTCTCATATGGTAACTCTGCTTAACCTTTGGAGGAATTGCCAGACTTTTCCATTTCTACCAGTAGTGTGTTAGATCCCCAATTTATCTGAATCATTGGCAACACTAATTTTTTTTTTATTATAGCCATTTTAGTGGGTATAAACTAGTCTCTCATTGGTTTGATTTGCATTTCCATTTCCCTGATTACTACTGAAGTTGAACATCTTTTCATATGCTTAGTCACAATATAAGTTCTTTTGCTCATTTTCAAATTAGGTGGTCTTTATTAGTTGTAAGAGTTCTTTTTATTTATATAAGTCTCTTATCACACAAAAGATTTTCAATTAATTTTTCCCATTCATTGTTTTTAAAATTTTTAATGGTAGTCTTAAGCACAAAGTATATCTTTGCCAATACTTTTTTTTTTTCCCCCATGTAGATTTGAAACCAAAATAGATTCCTTTCATGTTACTGGCCTACCAGATAATTCAACAAAACCCCGCCTCCTGTCCTCATTGGATAATACTGCATCACTTTTCCAGATTACGTTTGAGACAAATCCATTAGATGAAACTGTTGCTCAAAGGTGTATCATAGAAGCTGAACCTTTAGAAATAATATATGATGCAGTAAGCATTTTTTAAAATTTCTAAATTTTAATATATTTCAATTTGGTTTGATTTTGTGCCTAATTTTAATGATACTATTTTTACTAGAGAACAGTGAATAGTATAGTGGAATTCTTCAGACCTCCAAAAGAGGTAAATCTAGCACAGCTCACTTCAGCGACTTTGACAAAACTTGAAGAATTTCGTGATAAGACAGCAACAGGTAAAAATGCCATTATTAAATATTGAATCCTGTACTAAACTTTTAGGCAATTAAAGCTGATTTTAGTAATGTATTTCTTAAGTTTCTTTCTAGACTAGATACAGTTTAAAACTAATTTTGTACTTATATTTAAATGCAGATATAACAATAATTATTCCTTCACTCAGGTCAAACCCATTAACTACATTAAAGTTAATTACAAAATTTTGTTAGGATTTTTGAAATTGTGTTTGACAGAAACTGGCCTTTGAATTCTTTTATAAGGTCATAGGGCTTGCAATGGTCTTTTTGGTTTAATTACTGCCCCTTTGCCTTTCAAGTCTTTGCAACGTTTTTCTAACCTCTACCAGTCTGAAAAAAATGCTTTTTAATTGAAGTATAAGGTTATACACAATAAACTATATCACTTAAATTTTTTCAATCCAGCTATTCACAATTTTACATATTAGTGTGCTTTTGTCATTTTTATTTTCTCAGAATTCATGTTAAAAATATCTGGTCCTCATGATAGTTATTGTGTGGGTTTGGTTGTTGTTTTCTTTTGTGAACTAAGGTCCCCCTTTTTTTTTTTTAAATATTAGATGTCCTAAACTTTATAAATTAACATTGTTTATTGATTCAAATTGATGTATTACTGCTTACAGAATTTCATCTTATGGGGTGATTATAATTTGGTAGTTGATAATAATTTTAGATTTAAAAGCCAGTGCTGGATTGAGACCATAAAAATAGATTAGTTTGATATATAATTACATAAAAGTGAATAGATCAAATTTATTAGAATAAAACACCTCAAGTGAATGAAATACCTGAGGAATGGAGAACTCTGCTTTGTTGCCTTTTCTGGTTTACATATGGTGGTTTTATTGAAGGTGATTTAATTATCCAGAATTTTTTCATGTCTCAGTAATGTCAAAAGGATAAAGAATTATTGTTCAATATTGTAGATGTAGTTGTATTAAGTTCATGATTTGGAAAGAATTATATAGATTCTAATATAGAGGTTATGAATAAATGTTTCATAAAACTTAATTTTTTAAAATATATTATCTCCTGAATATTACCTAAATTGATTGTTTGGGGTTAAAAACATTTATTTGAAGAATCATTTTAATTTTGTACTTAGTTATATTTAATTAGAGTGTACATATTAACTAACAAATACTTTTACTTGATATTGAAAATAATATGCTCAAGGTCATTTTAAAACGAATTCTTATTTCACATTATTTTAAGATTGTGCTATCAGTTCATACATTTAATAACTATTTTTTTGAATAATTTGTAAAAAATATTCATTGTGAAGATTTAAATTTTCTGCAGGTCTACTGTATATTATTGAAACACAGAAAGTTCTTGATCTCAGAATTAATTTGAAAGCTTCATATGTTATTATCCCACAAGATGGAATTTTTAGCCCTACATCAAATCTGCTTCTTTTGGATCTTGGTCATTTAAAGGTATATACTAATAATATTTATCTTGAAATATGATGCTTAGGGTATTTCTTTGTTTAAAATATGTTTTATTTTTTAAGACAGTTTGATTTGGTATATTGGTTTTTAGACTTATGAGAAATTTTCTTCTGGTGAATAAAGTGATTTCATTTAATTAGGTAGTTTTCGTACATTCCAAAAAGCAAAATGATCAGTTGAATTCTGTAGATCAGAGGTGAATAAAAGAATTACAATTATATGTAAAATTTGAGAGTAATGCTTAAGGAGTTGATTTCCTTTTCAATTTAAGTTTATTACTGGATTAATTACAATATATAGAGTGTGAGGGAGTTCTGGTAGTAATCACATATATCTTCGTGTTTCTGAATTTTTGTGTGTATATAACTTTAGATATTGATATTTCAATTTCTGTTAAATAATCCTAAATTGAGAGATGGTTGTCTTGCATTTACCTAATTTACATAGTTCTATTCAGTAATGTATATTTTTCTTCCTTAGTTTTTTTTTTTTTTTTAAATATGTTTTTATTGATTTTAGGGAGAGGAAAGGAAAGGAATGGAGAGAGAGAAATGTCGATTAGAAACATTGGCTGCCTCCTGCACGTCCCGTATTGGGGATCAATCCTGCAGTCTGGGCATGCATCCTGACCTGGAATCGAACCTGCGATCTCCTGGTGCATAGGACCATGCTCAACCACTGATCCTCACAGGCTGGGCCTTCCTTAGTTTTGAATAGAGAATACTTTTTTTTTTTGTATTTCCAGATTTGCACTTTTCAGGGGTGGGAACCCTTTTTTTTTTTTTTTTTTTTTTTTTTGCCAATAGCCATTTGTAATTTATAACATAATTTATGGAACATTCAAAATTATCAACTTAAAAATTGGCCTGCTATATTTGATCAAATATTCAGTTAGTCACCCCAATGCCTTGATAGAGCCAGATCATATGGTTTCATGGGCCTTATGTGGCCAGCGGGCCGGATGTTCCCCACCTGTGGTTTATATAGTATCCACTGACTATAAATGGTTGGTTAAGTTGATTAGCATAAAGTAAGATAAAAATTTAGTTCCTTAATCACATTAGCCACATTCAAGTGTTTAATAGTCACAATTGGCTAATAGCTACTGTATTAAACAGCACAGATAGAGAACAAATTCATCATTGTAGAAAGTTCTGTGGATAACACTGCTCTATACCTAGAGGAATAGCTATAACTATTTAAAGACCCAAGGGGGATGGATAATATTAGAATGCTCATTCTGGTTTTCTAACAAATATGTACCTTTTCTTGACATTCTCCATTTTTCTATGTTTTATTCTTCAGTTGATAATTATATAGACAACTGCTGAATTTACAGTTATAATATTTATACAGCTGATTATTCATATTTTAATGTGGTTATGGAATTGGTTCAAGGCAGTTTGGTTTAGTTGAGTGAGCATAAGGTCATGTGTAAAGGGTATTAATCTTGTTTTGTGATCTTAGGCAATTTGCTTACTCTTTTGCTTTCAAAGAGATAATTTGATTGTGTACCCATGAACTATATAAAATCTATATATATCTATATAAATTTATTTAAAAACATATATACATATTTTTGTGTGTGTATACCAGTGTAAATATAGTTAAGATCTTTTTTTTTTTTTAAACACTTTAAAGGGATAGATAGTTAGTTAGAAACATTGATGAGAGAGAAACATCGATCAGCTGCCTCCTGCACACCTCCTACTGGGGATGTGCCTGCAGCCAAAGTACATGCCCTTGACCGGAATCGAACCTGGGACTTTTTAGTCCGCAGGCTACCCGCTGAGCCAAACCGGTTAGGGCTATAAGTAAGATCTTGATATACTGCAGTGGAGTGATCTCTAGGATATTTATGTGAAAAAAGAAAAGTAGTGTGCATAGTACATCAATAAAGGGGAGATACAAATAAGGTACAAATAAAACTTGCTTAGGAGTCACATAAATGACAAAGTTGGCAATAAAATTCAGCTGTCCTAATATTTAATCCTGGACTTTTAGTTCTTATTATAAAACTATTTAAGTACCTGTCATCATGCCAAAGAAATGTTTTGTAAGGCTTTTTGTTTTTAATAAAAAGGTTTCTTATCAGATTTTAACATAATTTAGATGTATTATTCTCCAGGACTAACTTGGTTCCCTTCTTTTAATATAAAGAATTAGGAAAGATAACAATATTAAAATTCACTTTACAGTATATCTAACCTTCTCCTTACATGTATCATGGATAAAGATTATTTTTTTTTTGTTTCATTAATTCTCACCCAAGATATTTTTTTCATTGAATTTTAGAGTGATTTGAAGTGAGGGAGAGAGAAGAGAGGAGTGGGGGAGAGAATGAGAGAGAGAAACATTGATGTGAGAAAGAGTTGACATCCACTGGTTGCCTCTCTCAGGTTGCTCCAACTGGGCTGGAGTCCAACCTGCAAACCAGGTTTGAGCCCTTGACCGGGAATCAAATCTATGATCCTTCAGCGCTACCCAATGAGCACACCGGCGTTGGCTAACGACATTTCTAATAGCTTATATGTCAGATTGTGAATTTATCCTCTCCAGTTAGCTTTTTATATTATATTCTGAAAGATAAAAACCTTATTTTTTCATTTTGGTGTATTTTGCATAGTCTAAACTATTAAAATTAACTTCAAGGTGACAAGTAAAAGTCGTTCACAATTACCAGATATGAAACAAGGTGGGGCCAGACTTGAAGAGATAATGCATAGAGCTTATGATTCCTTTGATATTCACCTTACAAGCATTCAGCTGCTTTACAGCAGAGTTGGTAAGTATATAGTGCATTATGTATTGTTCATTTTGCTGAAGTCATTAATTAGATGTTTAAGCAGTTTCTCTGAAGACCTTCATTCTAAATATGTTAGGGCTTCCATATTTTTTAATTAGAATTACAGATTGGATAAAAGCAATATCTAAACTGGGAGTGATTTTATCTCACCAAAGATAATGTCAGTGTCTGAGACATCTTTGGTTGTAACACTTGGACAGTTGCGGGGAGCACTAGTATTTAGTGGATGAAGGTTAGGGATGCTACTAAACATAGAATGTAGAGGAAGGAACCGTCAACAAAGACTAACTTTGGCCCAAATTCCAGTAGTGCTGATATTGACAAATCCTGATCTAGACCAGTGTTCTCCAACATTTGCATAAGATTAGAAAACATTGACACATTTTTTAAAACATTTGTATTACACAGTGGGATAATCAGAAGAAATTGCTCAAGGGTGGATGCAATCAGCCTAAGCATCCCCACCCATAAATAGTTACTGCAAGATGGAGGAGCATAAATTACCCCACTCATTCTGTTGTGCTAATCAAGAGTCTCTGATGGAGACCTAGTTAACAGAGCCAGAAATTCACTTATCAGGAGTCACTAAAGAATAGTGAGAGAGCCCTGAGAATTTGAGCCCTCTTTCCACTGTGAAATTCCACTTTTGAATTCCTTGGTGTTAGTAAACTTTTAGATAATCACCAAATGTGGATTGGTGACTGTTTTTAGTGATATCTCTGTGGGTATATGGTTAGATTTTAATTAACTGAGCTAACTAATGAAAGGAGAAGCAATAGAGAACCAAAAGTAATGGTAAAAATGTTAATTTATATAGGACTGGGACATTTTTGTTTTATTTGTCTGACTATATTTGCTTTAGGGTAATGAAATTGGTTTTTGTTTTTATCGTATTCCAGTTGGTGTAAAAGGAGTATAGTGGGTGGCACATGTAAAGTATTTATAGAAAATTCATAAGTTGTTTTCAGTAAATAAATTACTAAACTTTGGTATGTTTGATATATCTTGGTTACTAGTTTTTGAAGTCCATTAGCTTATATTTATATTTAAATATTGAGGTACTTGTGAAAAAAATTAAAATACATCATTATTGTCTGGAAAGTATTGGAATTCATTGGAATGTTTTTGAGAAGCATTAATTGTTCTTAAAAAAATAAGTCTTCTTTTGAACAAAGTTTTTTGACTTTAGGTTACTTTCTATAATTGTCATAAATTCTTTTGATAAATACTAAAATACAGGCTCTGAATATCTTATTTTTTACCTGTAAATTGATAAGTGAAGAAATATGCCTTTTATGTCAATATGTTTAGAATTTAAAAATTATCATAAAACCCATTTTATTACCTATCTCCAAGAATCTAATCTTTTGTTGATTTGGTTTTTCTTGACTGAAGATTTTATCTGACTTATGGAATTATTAGGTTCAAATGAGATATTGTATGTAATATATTTCACTGCATATCCTTTTGCTGTTTTTTTTCTATGTATCTATGAGCATATAGAATGCGCTTGTGTGTTGCTTATGAGTGGGAGTATTTTGAATGCATTTTTAACATGACATGTAGTATTATATCCTGTTTTTTCTTTCTCTTACCAGTAATATTTTGGGCACTTGAATTCATAATATTTTGTGTGTGTGTGTGTGTGTGTGTGTGTGTGTGTGTATGTGTGTATTTATTTCAGAGAGGAAGTGAGAGGGAGAGAGATAGAAATATCAAGGATGAAAGAGAATCATTGTCAACTGCCTCCTGCACGGGGGATTGAGCCCACAACCTGGGCATGTGCCCTGACCGGGAATCCAACTGTGATTTCCTGGTTCATAGGATAACCACTGATCCATGCCAGTCAGGTCTGAGTCCATGATTTTTATCTAATGTTCTAAGGCTATGCTGTCAGTTACTTAGCATTGCCTTATTGAAAATGTAGGCTTGTAACACTGCAGTGAATGTTGCCAGATCTGGATGTAAATTTCAGCTTTTGTCACTCCCTAGCTTTTTGGCCATAAGCAAGTTATAAATTCCTCTATGTCTCAGTTTTCTAATATGAGATGGTTATACATCATTGTGAGAATTAAGTGAAAGTTTAAACATTGCCTAGAATAGTACCAGTTATAACTCTTGGATAAATGGCAGCTTTTGTGAGTTAATACTGAAAAACTGCGATGTTCCCTACTTTAGGCATTACTTATTGCCTTAGAGCCATGTTGGGTTTTTTGGTAAGGTATCTGGTTACAGTGATTACCAGTGAATGCGCAGTAGATTTGATTAAAACTATGTAGTTTTTAAATAGCACTTTTCTTATTAAAACACAGAGTCTTGTGAAGCAGCAGACATAAAATGTGAAAGGGGAAGAATTTACCTGCCAATTGTTGTGTGTGTATCCGGGCATGTGGAATTAAAGATTATCCATATCATGCAGTGTGTGAATATGAAGTATTAAAAATAATTTCAAGTTTAGTGTCTTTCAAATTACATATGTGTTAAATGTACTGTTTTCTATAATTAGGTGATAATTGGAAAGAAGCACGAAAACTCAATATGTCTACACAGCATGTTTTGGTACCTTTACACTTCAATGTGGAATTCTCTAAGGCCATAGTTTTCATGGATATAAGGATGCCTAAGTATGTATTGTCTGTTTCATGTGGTAATAGATTTTCTCAGTAATTCTGTAACTAAGGCAATATCATATTTCATTGATTCTTTGTGCGTGTGGTAAAATATAAATAACATAAAATTTACCATTTTTAACTGTTTAATTCATTGACATAAAGTAATTCATATTGTTGGACAACCTTCACCACTATCCATCTCTAGAACTTTATTTTCACAAACTGAAATCTATACATATAAACATTAATGTTCCCTTCCCATCATCATCAAATTGTACAGGCATATTTAAAGAAACTGAAAAGTTTAGGTATATTAATGAGACTATTCCATAATATGTCCCTAGTCCAAAGCTGGATCTATTGTTAAATAATGTTTACTTCTGTGAGAAAACACCAGAATTCTTCCAAAGTGGTTGCCCCTTTTTGCATTTCCAACAGCAACGAATGAGAGTTCTACTGTTCCACACCATTGCCATTATTTGCTATTATCAATATTCCAGATTTTGGTCATTCTAATAAGTGTGTTGTGGTATCTAATTGTCTGTCTTTTGTGGAGCAGAAGTGTTAATTTTAATGAGGTCTAGCTTATCAATTTTTATTTTTTCATGAATTGTGCCTTTGTATAAAAAAAGGTCATGGCCATGTGTAAAGTCATGTAGGCTTTCTTGAATTTATCTTTTGGAGTTCTATCATTTTTTTGTTTTACATTTAGGTCTGTGATCCATTTTGAGTTTTTGAAGGGTTTAAAGTCTGTTGTCTAGGTTCATTTTTCTTGCATTTAGGTGTCCACCACCATTTGTTGAAATGAATTCTTTGCTCCATTCTATTGCGTTTGGAGCCTGGTCCAGCATCAGTTGACTGTATTTATGGGGTTCTATTCAAGGGCCCTCTCTTCTGGCTGATTGATCTATTTGTTTATTTATTTATTTTTACCAATATTAGTGTCTTATTTAATGTAGCTTTATAGTAAGTCCTGAAATCAGGGAGTATCAGTCTTCCAACCTTGTTTTTCTCCTCTAATATTCGCTATTTTGTTCTTTTGCCTCTTCTTAAAAATTTTAGAATTATTTTGTTAAATTCATTTGCTTTATAGTGATTCCTCTCTTTTTGAAATAGATTCAAGATTTTTGGAAAGTTACCACTGATTTCTTTGCGAATCTCAGATAAAAAACTGCAAGGAATTTTGGAATTGATTGAAAGCATTCCAAAACCCACACCTGCACCTGAAGTACATGCCCCTGTCAAGCCATTTCAGGTAATGTTATTTATAAAATTAACAAAAGCAAAAATTAAAAAGAATTCACAAATAGTATTTGAACAACCACAGAAATTTAAGGTAAAAACAACTCAATTCATTATAAATAGACCTTTAAAAATTACTACATTTTAAAAGAGCAAATGATGAAGTAAAAGATACATATCGTAAAGAAAAGTGACCTCTACTTATCTTCACTTTTCCAACTTTTAATTTTTCTCCTCAGTGATAACACTATAATCACAGCATCTCTAGTTTTTTAAAAATGTTTATGGCATATGCTAGTACACACACATATAAACATATGCACCTGTTTATGTGTACATACAAGTATATATATTGTGGACATACAAGTATATATATAGTGCTCTTAAAATTTATGTATTTGGGAATATACTTACTGTTCTGAATCTGTTGTATTCTTTAACCATAATTACCTATGTTACACACCTTAAAGATATTTTCATGTTAGCATAGATCTACCTTATTCTTTTTTATGGTGATATACAGGATGGGGCAAAAGTTGATTTACAGTTTTGAGTACAGAGTTTATTTTGGTATTTTTTATATGAACCTACTTTTGTCCCAGCCTGTAGTATTGAATTATGTGAGTATACTATCCTTTTACTAACATAAACCCATTTTGATGGGCATTCGTATTGTTATGGGTGTTCATAGTTACAAAAATAATAGTTTTTAACTTCCTTGTACATATATTTGGGTATATTTTTAATTATTATATAAATTTCTATAAGTAGAATTGTTGAGTAAAAAACTATAAATTTTATAATTTTATGAACTTTGCCAAATTTCTTTTCTAATTTGAGTAATAATTTATAGTCCCACCAATAGTAAATAGTAAATGTTTATCCACTCTCATTAATCTTAACTATTAACAAATGTTAAATTCTACTAAATGAAAGAATGTTATCTTGTGGTTTTGATGAAAATTTTTAAATAAATAATATGGAACCTATTTTCATAGGTATATTGGGTATAAGAATTTTTATTTTTGAAAACAACTGTGTCTTTTGTTGAGTTATGGTTTTCTAGCTAAGGAATTAGCACTTTTTAAAATGTTATTTTTTAATATCTAATATATTTATTTTTGCCGTGCCAAACTTTTTATATTTTATGTAGTCAGTTATTAAACTTTTCTTCATGATTTCTGGGTTTTATATTATATGCCTTCTCCTTACACATGAATTTCAAAAAAAATATCCATTTGCTTTTTTTGGTCTTTTTAACATTCTGATTTTTTATGTTTAACACTCTCCTTTAAAATAATTTCAGACTTATAGAAATGTTGTAAAAGTAGTGTAAAGAAGTTTTTTTCTTCAAACCATTTGAGAATAAGTTACTGATGTGTTGTACCATTATCCTAAACACTTTAGTGTGTTGCTATATTTTTGCATAGTCTGTTGCTGAGCTTATTTTTTTAAGAGCAGAGGTTATAAATCTTTTCGAAGAGCAGAGGTTTTAATTTTGATGAAACTTAATTTATACAATATACATATTTTTAAAAAATATATATTTTATTGATTTTTTACAGAGAGGAAGAGAGATGGATAGAGAGTCAGAAACACTGATGAGAGAGAATCATTGATCAGCTGCCTCTTGCATACCCCCACTAGGGATGTGCCCGCAACCAAGGTACATGCCCTTGACTGGAATCGAACCTGGGATCCTTCAGTCCACAGGCCTTTGCTCTATCCACTGAGCCAAACCAGTTTCAGCTACAATATACATATTTTTAATGGATGAAGCTTTTTATCTCATCTGAAACCTTTGCCTAACATATGGTCAAAAAGTCCTTTAATTGTTATTCCATTACTTTTTGTTCATCCTGGTTTCTGATGAGAAATCTGTTAATTTAATGATATCTGGTATAAGGAGACTGTCTTCTTCTTTAGTTGAGTATCATTTAACTGATTATGTTTGAGTGTATGTTACTTTTATTTTAGTAAACTTTTTTTGCTTTTTTTATTCATGTGTTTTATCATATTTGGCTGTTATTTTTTGACTAGTATTTTTGAAGACTTTTTCTTCTGTCCCATTTCTGTTTTGCTTGGATTTTCATAATTCATATATCTACTCCACGGTCTCATAGGCTTTGTTCACTCTTCTTTATTCCTTCCTGTCAATTTTGATTGATCTATCTTAATTTTCTGTTTCTTTCTTCTGCTAGCTCAAATATCTTACTGAAATTCTCTAATGCATTTTTTAATTTAATTTTTTTAATTAAATTATTATCTGTGTACATATTTTACCATTGCTCCCCCTCATGCATTCCTTACCTCCCTAAAGTTTTGTGTCCATTGGTTGTACTTATATACATATATACAAGTCCTTCAGTTGATCTCTTATCTCCCCCAGATCTCCCTCCCCCCTCCTCTGTAATTTGACAGTCTACTTGTTGCTTTACTGTCTCTATATCTATCTTTTGCTTCATCAGTTTATAAAGTTCTTTATTATCCATAAATGAGTGAGGTCATGTGGTGTTTCTCTTTCATTGACTGGCTTATTTCACTCAGCATGATGTTCTCCAATTCCATCCAGGTTGCTGCAAATAATGAGAATTCCTTCTTTTTTATGGCAGCATAGTATTCCATTGTGTAGATATACCATATAGTTTTTTGATCCAATCATCTGCTGATGGGCACCTGGGCTGTTTCCAAATTCTAGCTATTGTAGATTGTGCTGCTATGAACATAGGGGTGCGTATATCCTTTCTGATTGGTGTTTCTAGTTTCTTGGGATATATTCCTAGGAGTGGGATTACTGGGTCAAATGGGAGTTCCATTTTCAGTTTTTTGAGGAAACTCCATACTATTCTCCACAGTGGTTGCACCAGTCTGCATCCCCACCAGCAGTGCACGAGGGTTCCTTTTCCTCCGCAACCTCGCCAACACTTTCTAATGCATTTTTTTTAAGTTATTGTACTTTTCAGATCTAGAATTTTTGTTTGATTTCTTTTTATAATGCCTATCTTCTTGATATATTCTACTTATTGTGACCTCACTATTTTATTTATCTTTAATTCTTCACAGTTCTTTCTAGCTGAGAGTATTTAAGACAGTTTAAAGTTTTTGCAGTTAAGTCCAATACATGTGATTTCTCTTACCCTGTTTTCTGCTATTTTATTTATTTATTTATTTATTTATTTATTTATTTATTTATTTATTTATTTATTTTACTGTGCATGGGTCACACTTTCTTGTTCCTTTGCATGCATTATTCTATTGTATCCTGACAAAGGAATTATGAGAAAACTGTAGACTACTGTGTTCATTAACACAGATGTAAAAATCCTTAACAAATAGTACAACCAGATATTATGATATGTAAAAAGTATATTATACTATAACCAAATGCATATACTTTAAGAAAGCAAATATGGTTCACCAGTTTGTGTTATTAACCACATTCATAGAGTAAAGGAGAAAAAGTATCTGATCATCTCAGTAGAAGAAAAGGTATTTACAGTATCCAACAATTATTCATACTAAAGACTGTGAACAAACTAAGGGTGAAAGTAGCATCACTACCTGGTAAAGAACATCCTATATAATAAAAGGCTAATATGCAAATCAACCGAACGCTCAATGCAGGAGCTGCCCCCTGGTGGTCAGTGCCACTCCCACAGGGGGGTGCCACTCAGCTGGCTCATGGCTGGCAAGGGCAGAAGCAGTGGCAGGAGCCTTTCCTTCCTCAGTTGCAAGCAGGTGGTAAGGAACAAGAGGTCCTGGACTGCGAGAGGGTGCAGGCCAGGCTGAGGGATTTCCCTTTCCCCAGTGCACGAATGTTGTGCACCAGGCCTCTAGTCTTGGATAAAAACCTATAGCTGATATCATTCTTAATTTGAAAAACACTAAATGTTTTCCATATCATCTTTTCATAAAATCAAGAATAGTGCAAGAATATCTTTTCTCACTACTTCTATTTAGACTTATATACTGAAGGTTTTAGTCTCTACAGTAATAGTTAAGAAGAATAAAGATAGGATGGAAAGAAAAAATTAAAACTATCTTTATTTGCAGATTATATGATCTTTTATGCACAAAGTTCTAAGGAATATGCAAAAATACTACTAGAAAAGTAAGCAAGTTTAGCAAGGTTTCAGGATACATTATCAATGTAAATAATTAGTTGTTTCTAAAAATGAAATTAAGAAAAAATTCCACTTATAATAGCATTAAAAGAAGTTAAAATACATAGGAAAAATTAATGAACTACATATCCTTTATACTTATAAATCATTTCTGGGGGAAAAAAGATCTAAATAGATAGAATGATATACATAATCAAGCAAGTTTGGAAGACTGACTTAATTAACATTGCAATTTTCACCAAACTCCGTGTGTTTCTTTTCCTTTCTTTTCCTTTCTTTTCCTTTCTTTTCTTTTCCTTTCTTTTCTTTTCTTTTCTTTTCTTTTCTTTTCTTTTCTTTTCTTTTCTTTTCTTTTCTTTTCTTTTCTTTTCTTTTCTTTTCTTTTCTTTTCTTTTCTTTTCTTTTCTTCTCTTCTCTTTTCTTTTCTTTCTTTCTTTTTTCTTTTTTCTTTTTTTACTTTTATTTTTTTAAAAATAAATCTTTATTGTTCATATTATCTAATATTACAAATGTTCCTTATTTTTTTCCCCTCGGTATCTTGCTCTCTTTCTTCTGGGACCCCCATAATTCTGATGTTGGTTCGCTTGAAGTTGTTCCAGAGTTTCTTACATTATCTTCAACTTTCTGGATTCTCTTGTCTTCTTCCTTCTGCGGAGGAGTGTTCTCTGGCTCTTTATGTTTCAAATCTTTGACTTGATTCTTGCGATCTTCCATTCTGTTTTTAGGACTCTGTCTAATAGTTTTTATTTCAGACAATGTATCCAGATCCTTTTTCATATCCTCATAGGTCTTGTTTATTTTATTGGCCTTTTCTAGGAAATTTTTGGAAAACCTTATAACCATGGTTTTGAACTCTATATCCAGTCGCTTATTGTCCTCCATTTCTTTCATTTGTGATCTATTTCCTTGTCTCGGCATTTTCGCAGCTTCCCTGAGTTGGTAGGGTGGCTTTGTGTGCGAAAGTGTCCTATATGGTTGAGTGGGTCAGCCTCCCAGTTACCTGAGGTGGATACTCTTGATACACCCCTTTGTGGACTGTGTGTACAGCCTTATTGTAGTTAAGTCTTGATTGTTGTTGGTATTCCTGGGAGGAACTGACCTCCAGGCCAATTGGCTGTGAGGATCAGCTGTGCCTATGCCAGGAGACAGCCTTATTTGACTAGACTTGGAAAATTGCAAAAGCCTCTGTGGTCAGCTTGGATGGGGCAGAGTTTCAGGGTGGAGCCTACAGCCTTGGTTTTCTGTCAGCCCCGCCCTATGAGGTTCCTGAGTCTCAGTGTTCCTCAGTGTCCTTTGGTACTCGCTGTAAGCACCTATGAAAGAAAGGTGCCCTCGAGTTTCACCAGCTACCAGACAGTCTAGTCTCTCCCCCAATGAGTCCAGAACTAGGGTTCAGTTCAGTTGGAAGTGGGGTTGGAAGTGGGGTTCAGTGCAGTCCGGAGCATTTGTCTCCTTCCCCCAAAGCAATCCAGCGGCACAGTCAACAGTCTGTCCTCTGCACACAACATGCCTGCCTCTGGGACTCTGCCTTTTGCCACTCCCCTGAGTTTCCGCCTTACAGCCTAGATTCCCTCTGAATGAGCCTGGGTCCCCAAGGTCTCTCCCAGAACTGGGGTTCAGTGCAGTCAGAACTGGGGTTTAGCACAGTCTGGAGCTTTTATCTCCTTCCCGCTAGGGAACGCCAGCCAGGCACTCAGCCGCCCTCTCCTTTCCGACTCCGTCCTCTCCCTAACGCGTGCACCATGTCTCTGTACCTTAGGCTTTTACAGCTCCTCTGATTTTCCTTCTGGTTTTCTCCTTGCTTCTCGTTGTAGAATTTCCAGTCATTCAACTTTCCTGTATTTCTGGATAATGTCCATTTTTGTATTTTAGTTGTATTTTTTGAAATTGTTGTGTGAGGCTGCAGTTAGGTGTTTACCTATGCCGCCATCTTGGTTTCCCACCCCCATAGATTTCTTATAACCAATATACCAAAGACTCTTCTCCTGGAAACTAACAAGTGCCTATAAAGTACGTATGGTTATGCAAAAATACATACCAGCCAAAACAATTTTGGATAAGAATAATGGAGAATATGTAATACTTGATGTTAAGGTTTATTTTATAACTACTTTATTCAAGAAAGTGCTATAGGGGCATAAGAATCTATCCTATGTAATATGCAAATGGTTGTTACACCGGGAAGCATAATGACCGACCACATAAAGCCTGGATCACAGATCAGCCGGGGGGTGGGGCAGCAAGCTACAAGCAGACAGTGGAGAGCTACAGGAGGGGGCAGGGCAGCAAGCTATGGGGGTATGGCAGGAGTTGGAGGGAGCTACAGGAGGCAGGACAGTGGGCAGAGAGCTATAGGAGGGTGGCAGCGAGCTACTGACTACAAGCGCAGCAGAGAGCTACAGGAAGGGATGGCAGCAAGCTATTGGGAGGACGGTGGGAAGGGAGGAAGGGGGGTCTACAGGAGGGTGGCAGTGAATTGCTGGTGAGCTACTGATGCATGGATTTGTGCACAGGGCTACTATTATATAAAAGCCAAATTACCATTAGGACATAATGCCTGGAATGACTGCTTGTTGTGATGTGCTCTGATCACCAGGAGGCAGACTCTTAACATGGGTTGCCCCCCAGCCCACAGGTCCTGATAGTTGACTGTATTACATGTTTTTGTATGCTATATTTCCCAGAACAGTAAAGATATTTACTGAAATATCTTTTAAAAGTTAAAAATAAAAACTGCAACTCCTCAACTAGTGAAGCTTTAAATATTGAGAATTTTGTTTATCATAAAGGTGGCTTTCTTATTTTGTAAGATGCTGAGTTTAGATATATCTAAGATCTCTTTCTATTCAAAGCCTCTCAACAACAAAAATTAAAATAGTTCTGCAGTTTATATTTAGCTCTGATATTGTAAAAACACTTCTTTAAATATACATTTTATAATTTAGTTGTCTAATTCGGACTGGATTTCTCTCCTTTTTTCTCCCCGGGCATCACAGTTGTCTTAGAACTTTGAATAAAAAATCATCGTGCTAACAAAAAGTAAATTCCTTTTCTTTCAGAGGCAAAGGTCCACTTCTTTGGGAGCATCACAGATTTCACAGAAAGTGATTCCTCTCTTGGAACTTGCAAGTGTTGAATATGGTAAAATGAAAACCACTTTAGGAAATTTTCTTTATTATAAATATCTTTACAGGAATAATTTTTATTTTGAAACCATATAAAAATTTCAGGCAATAGCAGATATTTTTATGTTTTCCAGAAATTTTACTAAAATTTCTTTAAAACAGTATAATTTGGGTGTTCCTTAAAGGTACTTTTCCAGTGGCAATTTTGGTGCATAAAAGTTGAACTCAATTGCAAGGACCACTGGTAATTAAATTATCTTAATTCTGCTGTAAGCCAAGAGATCCCAGGAAACTTTGTAGCTACCTGTTTCCCCGAAAATAAGACAGTGTCTTATATTAATTTCCCTCCCCAAAGATGCGCTAGATCTTATTTTCAGGGGATGTCTTATTTTTCCATGCGCTAGGTCTTATTTTCGGAGGATGTCTTATTTTTGGGGAAACACGGTATTATAATGTGTTACTTAGTTATGTGGAGAATTTTGTTATTGTAAGTTTTTAGTTTTTATATTTTCATATTTTATTAAAGGAATAAAATCAAGTCTTAATGTATACTTAATGTATGAAAACTGCTAAATATTTTGACATAAAAAAACTGCTTTTTCTTGGCTACTTTGGATATAAAAATGAATGTGTTTTTCAGTTTTAAGACTTTTAAAATTGCTAAGTGTTAAATAATAGAAATTGCTATGTTGATTCTCAGGTTTGTAGAGAATATTTTCCTTTGTGTGTGGTGACAAGGAGGGAAGGAAGGGAGGGAGGGTTGCGAAGGGAGGGGATTTTTTGAGATATCTACTCTAAATTCAGTCTTAGGTTATTAGGGATATACTTGAGCTGGTTTTAGCTTCCTTTAAACTTTCTTTTAATGGTTTTACTAGTTTTTGAGTTCTTTTTCAGTAACAAATTCTAGAAACACACACACACACACACACACACACAATATACACACGTTGGAGGTGGGAGCTTCCACAGCAGCACTATACACAGCACTATACACAGCAATATACACAGCAGCACTAAGGACCTCTCGGGGGATGTTTGCCTGCTGGCTTAAGCGGGCAGGCAGACATTGCCCAAGTGGTCTCGGACTGCGAGAGGATACAGGCTCGTCTGAGGGGATCCCCCTCCCCCTGCCCCAGTGCACAAATGTTGTGTACTGGGCCGTGTGTATGTGTGTGTGTGTGTGTGTGTGTGTGTGTGTGTGTGACATCGTATTCCATCTCAGTTTATTCATTCAAACTTCCAGACCTGCCTTCTGCTTTTAATATTGCAGAGTTTGTAACTAAGTCCTTTTTTGCTCCAGGTAGAATGAGCATGTTAGTTTGTTCCTTTGCATGTTCATAATGTGGTAATCACTCACATTGTCATTGGCTATAAAATTTAACTAGCTTTAGATAGACCAATGATTTTAAAAGATGATGTTCATTAAGTAAACATTGCATTTTATAATTTTCAATACTTTCTTGTCATTAAGAATGTTATTTGTTCAGATATAATCTCTTTATTTTTAAGATTTCTTTTTTATCTTTATATTAATAAAAAATAGACCCTAGTGTGTTAGTGCTTATATTTACTTTAGAAAAATTATAAATATGTTATTAAGTAAATCATTGGTTATTGACTTACACAATGTTCTCTGATATTTAGAGTCAGAGGAGGAATTTTATGATGCACCATGTAGTCCTTTGGAAGAATATTTTCAGTCAACTGCTAGTGTTAAAAGTTGTCAACAAAATAAGCTTCCAGAACTGGATTCTTCAAAAAATATGATTCAGTATAAAATAAGATTTGAAGTGCCAGAGGTATGTACCATTGTAAAGTTGATATTTGTTTCTTATTTCTATTCACAACTTATTTATATAATGTTATTACTTACAGGTTCTGTTTACACTGAATCCAGATGTTATTGTGTTGTCCTTTCTTGTTTGTGTGTGTGTATATATGTATGTTTGTGTGCTTATAAAATCATTCCTAAATTTTAAATATTTATGTCATAGGTATGTATACCTCATAAATCCATATATAATCATCATCTACATAAGCAGTTGTTTGATTTAAATAATTATCATTTCTTTTTTCTTCTCCAGGTATCGGTTCAGTTTTACCACCTTGTTGAGGATTGTGAATTACCTGTGGTAGAAATTGTTGTCTTAGGATTGGGCACAGAAGTAGAACTTAGAACATTTGATTTGAAAGCCAATGCCTTTTTGAAAGAATTCTGCTTAAAATGCCCAGAATACTTAGGTAAGAATCTCTTTTTTAAAATAAGTAATTTCAGTAATTGACTACCTACTGTAGAGTTCTTAATACTTTAGGCATTAAATAAGTATATTTTCTAAAAGATTCTCAGGAAAATATTATATTATGAATTAGTATATATCTACATCTCTACCTATCTATCTATCTATAATTATCTTTTATCTTACATTTGGGAATCTAGGTAGACCAGATAAAAGATGAAGATAATTTATTATTATTATGGTTAATAAAATAGTCACGGTTAAATTTTAAATCTACTTAATCCTTCAACACTGAATTTGTTTCCTATCCTATATAATAAAACACTAATATGCAAATTGACTGAACAGCAGAACAACTGACACATTGACCACCAGGGGGCAGATGCTGTCCTCTGGTGGTCAGTGCGTCTTGCAGGGGGAGCGCCACTAGACTAGAAGCCAGCCGAGCTCACAGCTGGCAAGCACAAAGGTGGTGACAGGAGCCTCTCCCACCTCCATGACAGTGCTAAGAAGCAGCGAGCCTGGCTTGTGGCTGGCAAGCGCAGCACTGATGGTGGAAGCCTCTCACACCTCTACTGTAGGCAGGCAGTAAGGAGCAAGAGGTCCTGGACTGAGAGTCCCAGACTGTGAGAGGGATGTCTGAATGCCAGCTTAGGCCTGATTCCTGTGAGAGGGATGTCTGAATGCCAGCTTAGGCCCGATTCCGAGTGTCTAGTTGATACTATAACATATTACCACAAACTCAGTGTCTTAAAACAATACAAATTTGCCCTAACTGGTTTGTTTCAGTGGATAGAGCATTGGCCTGTGGACTGAAAGGTCCCCAGTTCGATTCCAGGCAAGAGCATGTACCTTGGTTGTTGGCACATCCCCAGTAGGGGGTGTGCAGGAGGTGGCTGATCGATGTTTCTAATTATCTCTCTTCCTTCCTCTCTGTAAAAAAGTCAATAAAATATATTTTTTAAAATACAAATTTATTATCTTAAACTAGAGGCCAGTGCATGAAATTCGTTCATGGGGGGGGGGGGGTTATTGCCCCTAACTGCCCTCCCCTGCCGGCCTGGTCATTCCTAACTGTCCTTGCAGGCCTGGTTCCTCCCAACTACCCTCCCCTGAAGGCCTGGTCCTTCCCTCCACAATTGTCCTTCCCTGCAGGCCTGTTTGTCCCTAACTGCCCTCCCAAGCCAGCCTGGTCACTCCTAACTGCTCTTTCCTGCCAGCCTGTTCACCCCTAACTATTCTCCCCTGCTTGCTGGTCCCTCCAAACTGCCCTCCCTGCAGGCCTGGTCACCCCCAACTGCCCTCTCTGCAGACCTGGTCCCCATCCACTGCCCTCCCTACTGGCCTGTGTTCCCACAACTATCCTTCCTTACAGGCCTGATTGCCCCTAACTGCCCTCCCTTGTAGGCCTGGTTCCTCCCAATTGCCCTCCCCTATTGACCTGATCACCCACAACTGCCCTCCCCTGCTGGCCATCTTCTGGCAATTATCTTGTGTCCACATGGGGGCAGCCATCTTGTGTGCTGGACTGATGGTCAATTTGCATATTACCTCTTTATTATACAGAACTAGAGGCCCGGTGCATGAAATACGTGCACGGAGTGGGGTGTCCCTCAGCCCAGCCTGCACCCTGTTCAATCTGGGACCCCTTGTGGGATTGGACCTAAGTGAGCAGTCGGACATCCCTCTCACAATCCAGGACTGATGGCTCCCAACTGCTCGTCTGCCTGCCTTCCTGATTGCCCCTAACAGCTTCTGCCTGACAGCCTGATCACCCCCTAATCACTCTGCTTCCAGCCTGATTGATGCCTAACTGCTCACCTGCCAGCCTTTTTGCCCCTAACTAGCCTTCCCTACAGGTCTAGTCCCCCCCAACTTTCCTCCTCTGCCAGCCTGGTTACCTCTACCTGCCTTCCCCTAGACTTGATCGCCCCAACTGCCCTCCCTTGTAGGCCTGGTCCCTTTCAACTGCCCTCCCCTGCTGGCCATCTTGTGGTGGCCATCATGTGTCCACATGGGGGCAGGATCTTTGACCACATGGGGGCAGCCATCCTGTGTGTTGGAGTGATGGTCAATCTGCATATTACTCTTTTATTAGATAGGATAGAGTTCTAGTGCATGGGCGGGGCCTGATTTGCCCTGAAGGGTGCCCCAGATCAGGGTGAGGGTTCCTTTGGGGAGTGGGGTGACCTGAGCAAGGAACCTGTGGTGGTTTGCAGGCCGGCCAAGCCCCCTGGCAACCCAAGCAGAGGCGCTGGTATCTAGGATTTATGTATCTTCTACGATTGAAACTTTGTAGTCTGGAACAGAGCCAAGCCTTCTTCTTGCTCCATGGCTGCAGCCATTTCTGTTGGAATTTGCTTACCTTCTATAATTGAAACATTGTATCCTTGAGTAGAGGTTTAGGCCTGCAAGGGCAGGTGGAAAGCTTGGCTTCCTCCATTGCTGGGGAAAGCCAAGCCTCCCTCCTGCTCTCTCTATCTGTAGCCATCTTGGTTGGGTTTATTTGCATATTTGCTCTGATTGGCTGGTGGGCATGGCTGGTGGGCATGGTTGGTGTAGCAGAGGTATGGTCAATTTGCATATTACTCTTTTATTAGATATGATACTATTCTCTAGCAGTCTCCCACTTAGTAGATTTTAAACAGAAGCAAAAATACAACTACCATTATAACATCTGATTATATGCTACAGGTTTATTTTAATCTTTATTAATATACAGCAAAACTTAGTTTCTTGTAACATACCTAGTTATTTTTCTTCTCAACGATTAGGTTTTCCAGGAGTCTGATCAATTTTTTTGAAACTATTTCAGTAGCTCAGGGCCAGAATTCTCTTCATAACTTTTCATTGTTCACATTAGCCATTATGCTTTTTTTTTTTTTAACTGCTACTTTTTTTTTTTTTAAAGCTTATCTCTTAACTATGTTTTTTAGCATTTGGGATAAGAGAAGGAAAATAAATTGTGAGGGGAATTACGTTTTTAGAGTTTAAAATAAAGGACAATAGACCTGACCTGGGTAAGATAGAATCCAAAGCTCAGAACTGATATAGAAAATTCTTCTTTTCCAATTTTATGTTTAATAGTATTGCTTGCATTTATACTCACTTAGTTTTACTATGAGAGAATAATTTTAAAAATTATTTTTAGATATAAACGAAAAGCCAGTTTATTTGATTACAACACTGGATAACACAATGGAAGATCTGTTAACACTAGAGTATGTGAAGGTAAGCAGTACCATTTATATCTGCTTGCTGTGGTAAATGTGCACCTAAAATGTTATAATCAAATTTTGTAAGTTTAGTGAGATTTAGTTTAATCATGATTCTATCGAAATTTCTATAATGCTTAAAACTTTAAGAGTGTTTTGTTTTGTGCTCTATTAAATAGAAACTCTTTAGTCTTGATCCTATTTATTGTGATGATGTGAGATGCTTTCACTTCATCTCACATCATAAATTTCCTACAATTGTTCTGAAATCACCTAATTTTCCTGGTGTCAGTGACTCTCTTTTCTATTGACTTATGATATCCATTTTTTTCATGTGTATTTTTATATATACTGTGGTATACTTATGATTTAGTCCATGTTTTCATTGACCTATTTTTATGTAAGTGCCACATCTATCTATCTATCATCTATCTATCTATCTATCTATCTATCTATCTATCTATCTATCTATCTAAAAGCCTAAGTGACCGTCACAACATAAACAACTGAACGGATGGCCAAATAGGCTGCATGGGGCAACCAGACTGGCAGAGGCGGGGTTAGTGAGGGCCGTCCAAATGACTGAGCAGTGAGCTGTGTGGGGCGACCAGGCCAGCAGGGGGGAAGAGGGGGCTTGGGCAGTGAGGGACTGAGGCTGTTGGGGGGCAGTTGTGGGTGACCAGGCTAGCAGGAGGGCAGTTGGGCAACCAGGCCAGCAGGGGAGGCAGTTGGGGGTGACCAGGCCACTGGGAGGTGGGGTGGTTAAGGGTGATCAAGCAGGTAGGCAGTTTGAGCAGTTAGGAGCCAGTGGTCCCGGATTGTGAGAGGGATGTCCGACTTCACCTGAGGGGTCCTGGATTGAAGAGGGTGCAGTCTGGGCTGACAGGGAACCCCCCATGCACGGATTTCGTGCACCTGGCCTCTAGTCCTATATAATCCTATATAATAAAAGGGTGATAGGCAAATTGACCCCTAAAGGTGGAATAACCTGGAAAGACTGGTTGCTGTGACGCACATTGGCCACCAGGGGCAGATGCTGAACACAGGAGCTGACCCTTGGTTGTCAGTGCACTCCCACAGGGGGAGTTCGGCTCAGCCACAAGCTGGGCTGACAGCTGTGAGCACAGCCGCCATGGCAGAAGCCTCTCCCACCTCCTCGGCAATGCTAAGGATGTCCATTGACATCCCCCAAGGGCTCCCTGACTGCCAGCTTAGGCTTGATCCTAAGGGGAACGGGCCTAAGCTGGCAGGTGGACATCCCCCAAGAGGTCCTGGACTGTAAAGGGAACAGGCCAGGCCAAGGGACTCCCCACTCCCGAGTGCACAAATTTTTCTGCGCCAGGCCTCTAGTTATTTTAATAATTGCTTCATAGTAAGATAATGCTGAAAGAGTAATTAACACAGAATATTTAGATATTTGATGGACAGTTTTGTCACACATTTTGTTTTCACATGCAGATAGAATTAGTGAGGACCTTATGTAATTGTTGATGACAATGATTGTTCTCCATACTAACCATATTTAATGTTTTACTCTTGATAATTTAATACTTGCATCTGCCAAATTTCTTTTGCTCCATGTAAGCAATTGTTCATTTAGGTAATTATATGTATAAATAGCTGAAAGTTTCTATACATGTCTATTAGGATCCATATATAGCTGTATTTACATCTATTTTTTAAAGATTTCTAACAGATTTCTTTTATTCTCTTTGGGTAGGCTGAAAAGAATGTACCCAACTTGAAAAGTGCCTCTAACAATGTTGAACAACTGATTAAGGTACAAGTGAATAATAATTTTTAAATTAGGTACAGTATTTCTAAGTGAATAATATATTATGAAAATTATATTAATAGCTAGAACTCTAAGATCCTTTAGGATAAAAATAGAATATTATAAATTGGATCCTTTGTATCACAAAGCCTAGTGCATTATAATGGGCAATCAAATAAATATTCACCCAGTATTAAAACCAACTTTGTTCATTAGGTGAATTTTTCCTCTTTGGATATTCATTTGCATACGGAAGCACTCCTGAATACAATAAACTATTTTAATAATTTTCTTCCACAATTGGAGGAAAAGTCAGCCTCAGGGCATGTTGCAGAGACAGAAGACAAGGGAGAGGTCATTAAAAAAATAGGTACGTTTCTTTAAAATCCTTTTTTTTTTTTAACCAAGTAGATTAATAAATTTGGCTTTGGCTTTGTTAACTTACAATATTGTTTTCAGAATTTTATTGCCTAACTTAAAATCTAGAAAGATTCATTAAATGCCAGGCTAATTTTAGAAATAATAGTAAAGGAAAATGACTACTGCTGAAGAAAATGTGGCTTTTATTTATTCTGTCATTCTTTTAAGTTGAAGTTATACTATAAAAGTATTTGGTTTATATTAAAATTTATGCATTTAATATCATTACTTTAAATTAACAAAATAGAACTAAAATTTTTTGAGTAATATTAATGTATATTTTTTAATTAGAATACTTTTTAAGTGGGAAAAGTTGCAAGTTCAATAATGACAGGTATCACCTAGAAAATATTAACCCTCAAAAGATTTATCATTTTGCAGCCAGCAATATCTTAGTTTCGAATGTTAGCCTTATCTAGCATCCTTTTTTGTGTGTATCTCTGTTTTGCTTTTGTTTGGCTTTTATTTTCATTAGATTTTTTAGAATTCCTATTTTATAAGGGAATTTCTTGCTTGTTTTCAATTGAATTGCAAATCAGGTTTTTCTCTAGCATTATTTTTATTTGTTGTGATATTTTATTTACTTAATAAGTGTAGCAAGGTAGCTACAAGCTTTTCCTTATTTTTTACAATATGACTTTATTGCAGCTTCAAGACGATACAGACATGAAGATATTACCTTGCAGATCTTAGCAGAATTATCATGTTTACAGATCTTTATTCAAGATCAGAAACATAACATTGCTGAAATTAAGATTGAAGGTAATAAAATTTCAGAAAAATAAATCCAAAACTGTTACATGAAAGAAAAGATATTTAACCATTCTTTTATTTTTGTAGGGCTTGATTCTGAGATAATTATGAGGCCTTCAGTAACTGAAATAAATGCAAAGCTAAGGAATATAATTGTTTTGGATTCTGATGTAACAGCTGTATATAAAAAGGTATGAATTTATTTCTATTAATAGTACATTTTTGAATTTAATTTTCTTTAATTAGTCATGGGTATAAATTAATTGTCAGATTTTAGCTATGTGGCTTATTATGTTTTTTGTTTTGGACTTAGGCATAATTGAGTTCTTATTTCTACTCCTAATCCTGAATTCTGTTTCTTTATATGTAAAACTAGAGGCCTGGTGCATGAAATTTGTGCACTTGGTGGGGAAGGGAGGGGTCCGTCAGCCCAGCCTGTGCCCTCTCACAGTCTGAGAGCTCCATGATCTATCATCCCAAAGAGGTAGGTCCTACCCACCCAGTTGGGGCTTGGGATGGATTGCCCCAGCAGAGGGAGGCACCACCCACCCACCGCCAATTAACCTGGGCCTCCCTCTTTAGGGCACCCCACTACCCCTGTAATTGATTGCCCCGCTGGCCGGTGGCCTGGGCCTCCCTCTCCAGGGTAATCATGGGGCGATAGCCTGGCCCCCAATCAATCACTTCACACCTGCCTTGGGTGGCCTGGCACCAGTGGGTATCATAGCATGGTCATTCAGAGGTCGTCTGGATGTTTTGCAGTTCAGTCATTTGGTCAGTTTGCATGTTATGCTTTTATTATTATAGATGAGGATTAAATATCTTATAAATGAGATAAATATAAGTAATCACTCCTAAAACATAGTTGCAGGGGAATGGGGGTGGGGCTTTGGAGGGATGGGTAACTAGTAAATGCCCTTTTCACTTTTTCTTTTTCTTTTTTTAAAATATATTTTATTGATTTTTTACAGAGGGGAAGGGAGAGAATAGAGAGCTAGAAACGTTGATGAGAGAGAAACATCGACCAGCTGCCTCTTGCACACCCCCTACTGGGGATGTGCCCGCAACCAAGGTACATGCCCTTGACTGGAATCGAACCCAAGACCTTTCAGTCCGCAGACCGACGCTCTATCCACTGAGCCAAACCGGTTTTGGCCACTTTTTTTTTTTTCTCTCTTCAAATACCGTGAACTTTGTAATGCATTGCAGATATCACCGGTTTCGGCCACTTTTTTTTTTTTTTCTCTCTTCAAATACCGTGAACTTTGTAATGCATTGCAGATTTCACAGACAGAGTGTCTAAAGTCATATTGAATGAATTAGATTTTTTAAACAAGTTTATTTGCATCAGTGCTTACTGGTGCAGCTGTAACAGTGTTAAGAGTCTGTGGAACTGGATGGCTAGGAAATGAAGGATGGGTATTTTGTTATTGGATATAAGACTGTAAGGTTCTTGAATTAGATACTGTTGTGTAGTTGGACACGTAATTTTTGAATAGTGGTCATTCAGGTAAGATGGTATATTTTAAGGTAGTGAAGATTGTCAAATAATAGTAGGATAAGAAAAGGCTAAGGTACTTCGTTAGGAAGTCAGAGTTTGGAGTGTGACAGAAAGAAAAGAAATAGATGAATAGGTTTTGCTAATAATACTGAATGAGATACTGTGATAACCTGATTTTTATATTAAACAAAAATCCTAACTCTTTATATTTTCTTACTGTGGCTTGTTAGCATGAGATAACAAGAGTTCCAAAACAGCAAAGATACATGACTCATAAGAATGAGGTGTGGTTAGCTTTTATTACTTTTGTTTTAAAAACTATGGGCCTGGTTCATGAAATCTGTACGTAGATACCAGAGGCCCATGCACAAAATTCATGCATTTGGGGGATGTGGGTCCCTCAGCCCAGCCTGCCCCCTCTCACAGACTGGGATCCCTCAGGGGATTTCTTACTGATGGCTTAGGCCCACTTCTCTGTGGGAGTCGACTGGGCTGATCAGGGGAAGGTGCCAGTCCCATCACCCTGCTACTGCAGCCACTGCCAGCAACCACAGCCACCAAGGTGTTCTCATCAACACAGACTCCAGTCCTTTCACCATGAAAAAATAACAACTTTAGGCATTTTCAGGATGTATCTTTCATAGGATATGACATTTCTTTCTTTTTTTTTAATCCTCACCCAAGGATATGTTTCCATTGATTTTTAGATATGTGGAAGAGACAAAACATCATTGTGAGAGGGACACTTTGATTGGTTGCCTCCTGCATGAGCCCTGACTTGGGTCCTTGCCAGGGAAGAACCTGTAACTTAGGTACATGTCCTTGATCAGAATCGAACCCGGACCCTGTGGTGGGCAGGCTAAGGCTCTATCCACTGAGTCAAACTAGCTAGGGCAGGATATGAGATTTTTTAGCCCCTCATAGGGTAGGATATGAGATTTCTTAGCCCCTCCAGCAGTGCACTTTCATTTTTTTTCTCCAGGAGTGTGATGGAAAAACCCTAGATCACCTTCTTTAATTCTTATTACCCAAGTTACCAAGAACACTGCAAGTGGCGGTGTACAAGGAGCAGTCAGAATAGGTGTTTACGCTCGAACTGGTTTGGCTGAGTGAATAGAGCGTTGGCCTGCAGACTGAAGGATCCCAGGTCTGATTCCTGTTAAGGGCATGTACCTTGGTTGGGGGCACATCCCCAGTGGGTAGTGTGAAAGAGAAAGCTGATAAATATTTCTCTCTCATTGATGTTTCTGAGATCTATCCCTCTCCCCTCTTCTCTGTAAAAAATCAAATACATACATACATATATATATATATATATATATATATATATATATATATATATATTTTTTTTTTTTTTTTAAGGTGTTTCCTCTGCAGCCCACGTGCAGAGGATGCCATGCATTGTGTCTTTTGGGCTAGGGGCATGTCCCTGGGAACTGGGGGCATACCCCCAAGCCCAGCAGTCACTTGTTCCCTGTGTCCGCCGAGCTGGGGGCCATGGACCCGGGCTGCTTGCACTTGGCACCCCAGCTGCTTGTCCCAAGACCCAGCCCACTTGGTGTCCCAGGCCTCTTGTCCTAGAACTCAGCCTGCATGGCGCCTTTGGCTGCTTGTCCCGGGTCCTAGGCTGCTTGGTGCTAGCACCTGTAGGCCACTCCTGGCCAGGGGTGTTGTGGGACCCCAGCTGCTCAGGGCCTATACATGGGCCTACAGACGTGGAATGGTCTGGGTTCTAAGGATGTTCCTGGGACCCAGGCCACTTGGTGCCTGCATATGCAAATTAACCTGCCATCTTTGTCGGGGTTAATCTGTATACTCCTGATTGGCTGGTGGGCATCGCGGTGGTACGGTCAGTTTGCATCTTTCTCTTTTATTAGTGTAGATCATAGTGGTTAGAGCATTGAAGAAGACATCCATTTTATTTGCCCTATCTGGAAAGTAAAGCTCAAATAAAAGTGTTTATAAAAGAAGTTAGTAATGGAACTGATATCACTCATGCCCTATTCTTTTTCCCCCTGTAATTTTATTTTTAATGCATCTATAAGGTTAAAAATCCAACTTACAAAAAAGGCTGCTAATGAAAGTTTTTCATTTCTATCTTTTAGCCACACTTCGGTTTTCCTCTCCTTATTTCTTTACTTTGATTCCAATGTAAATGAGTTTTAAACAATCTACCTCGTTCTGTAGTCACTACATGTCAGAGAACCAGAAGGACAAGCTTTTTGCATTAGATCACAGCTTCCTAGCTACTGTGCCATGGCACACTATGTCATGAATGGGTTTAGGTATAATGATATATTGAGTCCCTCAGCTTTCTGGGCAGCGCAAGGTAAAGGACACCTGAGGTCACTCAGATTATATGACTCTGTCCTAGAAAAGCATTCTCCCTTTACCTTAGTACCATTATACAGATACCATTGTTATTGATCTGTGCCATAGCTGAAAAGGATTCTATCTGATCTGACATTCTTTTTTTTTTTTTAAGAAATTCTTTATTGTTTAAAGTACTACATATAGTATATAAATGTCTCCTTTCCCTCCCATTGACCTTTTCTCAGCAACACCCTCCTGCACATGCCCTCACCCCCTAGTGTATGTGTCCATTGGTTATGCTTATATGCATGCATAGAAGTCATTTGGTTGATCTCTTATCTGCTTCTTCCTTCCCCTGCCTTCCCTCTGAAGTTTTATGGTCTGTTCAATGCTTTGGACTCTGATCTATTTTTTTTCATCATTTTATATTGTTCATTATATTCCACAAGTGAGTGAGACCATGTGATATTTATCTTTCTCTGACTGGCTTATTTCACTTAGCATAATGCTCTCCAGTTTCATCCTTGCTGTTGCAAATGGTAAGAGTTCTTTCTTTTTTACAGCAGCATGGTATTCCATTGTGTAGATATACCATAGTTTTTTAACCCACTCATCTGCTGATGGGCCCTTAGGCTGTTTCTAAATCTTATCTATTGTAAACTGTGCTGTTATAAAAATAGCCAAACTGTAAACCAAGATTGGCTGCTCCTAGCACCAGGCTTGGGGCTCATTAGCAAAAGGTATAGGGCACCTGGAGGCCAGTTGCTGCTTGTTTGAGATTATAGGAAAGTCTGAAGCATAAGCCAAGACAGAGAAAGCCACTGGAAACAGCTTGGTTGGAGCCCTAAGTTGCCTGTGGCAGGGTCTCAGAGAACCACCATGTGGGCTTAACAATGTGAGCCAGATTGATGATGACTCATATGGCTAGCTCTGTATATGATGTGTGTCAGAAAACTAGCAATGGTCTCTGTCAGCACTTTTTTTTTTCTGGTAGAAACCTGCTCTTCCAGTTCTCACCCCATTGTCAGTTCCTTCTGCTAGTCCCAGGTGTCTTTTGAGCTGCTGCCCAAGTGCTGGAGCTCAGAAGGAGCAAGTCTGAGTAAATCCTTCAAGAGGAGCTGTCTGGGACTCCATAATCCCTCCATCGAATCCAGCCACAATCCCTGCTGTTTCTACACTCAGAAGTTATGGGTTCTGGTGGAGCTGGGACCCCCTCGCTCCTTGGGAGACTTCCACAGCCGAGATATTCCTCCCAATTTTTATTCATCCTTCATGGGTGTGGGACCAACCCTTCAGCCAGTCTCAATGTGGCTTCTTTAAATCCTTAGTTGTAGGACTTCCACTTAGCTATAATTCAAGTAGTTCTGAATGATGGTTATTCAGTAGTATCATTGTAATTTTGATGTGGTTGTGGGAGGTTGTGAGTACTGTTTATCTACACTACCATCTCTGGAAACTAGCTCCACCATTTTAACTGGTATTGCAAAATTTGTGACTTTAACCTGTAGGTAATTTTTGGTTTGCAATTGAGATGACTTCAGAAAACTAATAAGGAACAGAAAATTTTATTAAGTTGTAGAGGTACAGAGTTTTTCCAAGTTTGATAATGACAAAAAAGAACATTTACACTGAGTGGTCAGATTATTATGATCTCTGAAGGCATAATAATATGGCCACTTAGTGTCTATCCTATATAATAAAAGGCTAATATGCAAATTGTCTCCTTGACCAGGAGTTAGACCAGGAGGCAGGACGGCCAACTGTCCATGTCCCCTCCCCCTGGCCAGGCTGGCCAGATGCCACCTATGCTCCAATTCACTCACTAAGTGGCCAGATTATTATGTGTTCAGAGATCATAATAATCTGGCCACTCAGTGTTTATGGTAATTCTTACTACATAAGTTAACATACTAAATGAAAATGTAAATTCTGATAATTTTCCTTTTTTTCTCTCGCCATTTATAAAAATTTGGGGCCAGACCTACTAAATGGATTTCATGGCCCACAAATGGAGCTGCCATCACCAATTAAAAAAACTTGCAATGTAGGTTCTAATAAAGGGGTTAGAATTGTTGCCTTATTTCTATTTGGCTTGACTACATGGGAGATTTCCCAAATATGTGTGCATTGCTTTTTTTTTTTGTAATGAAGACATCATTTCAAAAATGGATTTTGACATTTGAATTTTTTCTCATTAAGGCTGTTTATATCACTGGAAAAGAAGTTTTCAGCTTCAAAATCCTTTCTTATGTGAATGCAACTGCTGATTCTGCATACACAGATATGAGTGTGGTTGACATTCAAGTTAATTTAACTGTTGGTTGCATTGAAGTAGTCTTAATCATAAAATTTTTACATTCTATTTTGGTAAGTATGTTAATTGATTCTTTCCTGCTAGTTGGAAATTGTTGTACATCAACCATACATGAAGAATAAATAATAATTTCTTGCTTGATTTTTACCGCCTAATTTTTCATAATTGTTTGGATACCATTTATTGTGACTCAAATGTATAATAGATACTTTAGTATTATTTTCACATGGAATATCCAGTTAATTGAAATATATATTTTAGATATTAATGTATTAAGTATATGTATATTATATGTCATATATATTAATTGAGTTTTTATTTTATACATTATTGGTTTATGTTTTTGCTTTACCTAAGTTTCAACTCCAATATAATTGAAGTTTGTTTTGTCTCAGGTTATTATTTTTAAAATTATATTTTTTATTATGTTATAATTCTGTGACTGGGCTTTAAGAGCTTTAGATTTAATCTCTCTATGATACACTCTAAGGTACTTGAGTTACTTTTCATAGTTCATTTTCTCCTGTGGTTTTTCCATTCTGTCACTTGATGCTTTTTCTGGTGAGCATCTTACCTTTCTCTATGGCTTCACTATTCATTCTTTTAAAGTGCTATCTCTTAGTGTTGGTGTATATACTAGATGACTAGTTGATTCTAAGTAAATATTGTTGCCATTTTTTGATCTTTTTAATTAAGGTTACCATGCATTTTTTCATATACCCATAATTTTTTTGTACACCAAAACATAAATATGAACAACTATTTCTTGTCTAATTTCTTTTTTTAAATTCCTTGTTATTTGCTAAATGATTTTTTAAAAATATGTTTTTATTGATTTCAGAGAGGAAGAGGGAGAGAGAGAGAGAAACATCAATAATGAAAGAGAATCATTAATTGGCTGCCTCCTGCACACCCATACTGGGGACTGAGTCTGCAACCCTGGCATGTGCCCTTACTGGGAATCGAACTGTGACCTCCTGATGCTGAACCACTGAGCCATGCGGTTCATAGGCCGATGCTGAACTACTGAGCCATGCCAGCCGGGCTCTAATTTCTTTTTAGAACTCAAAAGAATTTTGTCACTGAGACTGATGTGATAGCCTTATACTAAAAAATGTCTGAAAATGAAATCTTTAAGTATGAAAATTAAGTGTAACTTTAGGTATATTTTATGTTATTGAGGTATTTTTTTCCAGAATTCAGAAGTTAAAAGATTTAGCATTCTTAAGGAAATATATTTTAATTTTTTATCTTACAAACATAAAGAAGCTCTCTGCCAGTTGAGTTTGTACAGGGAAACACAATGTAATTGGTTAGCATTTAGGAAAAATGAGACAATGAGGGAACAAGATATCAGTGAAATATTGAAATATCCACATATTACTTTGTTCCAGGGACTAGATTTTCAATGTTCTGCTATATCTTTGTATCTTTATCTTTGTATTTTTCAGTTTTTATGCAGAAGATTAAGATTTAATATAGGCAGCCAGACTTTGAATATATACTGCTTGGTTGTACCAAGAAATTTTTTTTCTTAATGGAGATAAAATCATTACCTGCCATATATATTTAATAAGGCTTATTCATTAATGGTAACCTTGTGAATATAATCCTGTTACCTTTATAGACTTTTATAGATAATTTTCAAGCAGTGAAAGAAGCCTTGGCTGAAGCAACTGTCCAGGCGGCAGGAATGGCTGCAACTGGTGTAAAAGAACTGGCACAAAGGAGTTCTAGAATGGCATTAGATGTGAACATCAAAGCCCCAGTTGTGGTCATCCCACAGTCTTCAGTTTCTAAAAATGTCCTTGTTGCTGATTTTGGATTAATTACAATGACCAATACATTCCACATGATAACAGAGAGCCAGATCAATCCCCCACCCATTATTGATTTGATTACGATAAAGCTGAGTGAAATGCGACTATACAGGTAAGCTTTCCACAAATATATTTTTACTAGAGGCTTGGTGCATGAAATTCGTGCATGGTGGGGAGGGGTTATGTGTGTCCCACAGTTCAGCCTGCATCTGCTCCAATCTGGGACCCCTCGAGGGCAGTCGAACATCCCTCTCACAATCCAGGACTTGTGGCTCCCAACCGCTCACTTGCCCACCTGCCTGATTGCCCCTAACCGCTTCTGTCTGCCAGCCTGATCACCCCCTAACCACTCCCCTGCCAGCCTGATTGATGCCTAACTGCTCCCCTGCTGGCCTGATTGCCTCTAACTGGCTTCCCCTGCATTCCTGGTTGCCCCAAACTGCCCTCCCCTGATGGCCCTGTCACCCCTAACTTCCCTCCCTTGCCAGCCTGGTCACCCCTAGCTACCTTCCCTTGTCACCCTGGTTGCCCCTAACTAACCTCCCCTGCAGGCCTGGTCATCCCCAACTGCCCTCGCCTGTTGCTGCTTTAAAAATACTCAGTTGCTATTCCTTCTTTATTTTACTGGGTTAAATGTGTGTGTGTGTTGCAGTCAATAAATTATTGCTTACTTTTCTAAAAAACACACTTAGTACAGTGAAATAAAGAAGGAATAGCAGCTTTATTGAGATATAATTGACATCTAAGCAATCACATGGCTTCATATGATAAGTTTTGACATGGATACACTTGTGAAAATTTATGTACATTGTATTATTTCTTCTTTAAATATTTGGTAGGATTTACCAGTGAAGCCATCTGGTCCCAGGGTTTACTTGTGGGAGATTTTTAATTAATCTCCCATTCCTTTAATAAACTTAGGTCTATTCAAGTTATTTTTTTCTTGTGTGATCTTTTTAAATTTTTTTCAAGAAATTTGTCCATTTTGTTCACATTGTAGAATTTTATGGTATAAAGTTGTGTATAATGTTTCCTTCTTATTATTAGTGTCCACAGGGATTTTGCCTCCCTCATTCTTGATATTTATAGTTTATGGCTTTTTAATAAACAATTTCGTTGGAGGTTATCAGTTTTATTAATTTTAAAGAATCACCTTTTGGCTTTCTCTCATTTTTCTGTTTTCTCTTTCATTGATTTCTGCTTTTATATTTATTATTTCCTTCTGCTTATTTTGGGTTTAATTTTGCTTTTTCGAAGTTTCTTTACATGTTAGTTAATGTTTATTTGAACATTTCTTAATTATAATTTACTTAAGGCTAAAATTTTGGCATTTTTCTCTGTAGTTCTCTTCTTTCTAGCATTTTACTATATGAACTCTAACTGCCTTGGTCACAAGAATTCTTAGTGCCATGGCTTGTAAATTATCTCAAAACAGTAGCAGTTGGGGCAGTAATAGGACTCACATTGTTGTTGTTTTCTGTTTGTTTTCCCCCCATATCATGAATTACTGTCCAGTGCTTGATGTCATATGTCCATTTATTTATTTATTTATTTATTTATTTATTTATTTATTGAACATTTGGCCTTTAATTTGCATTAAAATAAGTTTCTTTAAGTATTTCAGTTACAAGTTCTAATAGTTAAGACATAGTAGATGCTGCAGGCACACAGTATTGGCTCCTATCCTTTCCCCCACTCTCTCTCCCAGGCTTTGTTTTATTTAGTGCAGAAATGGACATTCTGCACTAAATAAATGGCCTGATGCCAAATGTCAACATCCTTATTTCAGGTCACACATTGTAAACAAGTGTTCTTATGCATGCCATGTTTATTGTATTTTGGGGCTTTTTGTTGAGGATTTTGCTGTACAAATTGCTGCCAATCATATAGTGCCAGTTAAAACCATAAAAGATTAAAAGTGGATGAATTGTATGGATGTTTGTCTCAATAACACTATTTAAAAAGCTAAAGGAAAATAATATGCAAGTATCAGTAATAGGGTAGAACACAACTTTCTAATTTAAGCATTGAAGGAATAAGAAAAGTGATAAGGGAAAAATACTGATTAGGTTTGACTGTACAAGAATGTAATTTTCTGAATGTTAATGACCAAAACAGAGTTATAAGAGAAAAAGAATATGGGATATTAGCAGCATTTTTATCAAAGGATAAAAATCTTTAAATATTTTAAACCGGAAAGAACAAGATAATTTAAAAAATTGGTAAAGAACACAACTAGATGGTTCTTCAAAGGAACCAATAAACAGCTAATAGAAATGTTCATACACACAAAATTATTGATTTCTATTAATATATAAAATGAAAATTTTAATTTTTTTGTTACTATCTGAGTACATATGAAACCATTTGCAATAATTTTATCTCTCTCTTTAGGTCTCAATATAGTAATGACGCATACCAGGAAGTACTGGATATACTACTGCCATTAAATCTTGAGGTGATTGTTGAGCGAAATTTAGCCTGGGAGTGGTTCCAGGAAGTTCCTTGTTTTAATATAAATGCTCAACTAAAGCCTATGGAGGTAATTTTCAAATACTTTTTTATTCCTCTTTTTTTTTTTTTTGTTAAAAAATATTGCTTGGGGACATATTTCTTGGGTGTAGAAGTTATCTCTTTATTAATCACTTTTGTCAGAATTGAGATAGTAGCTATATTAACCTAGAATTCATTGAATATTCTCCATTCATTCATTCAACAAATATTTGCGGGCTACTGTGTTAGATATTGGAGATACAGTGGCAAAGAAGTTATGACATTGTCTCTGGCTTTGTGACTTACCAGTCTGATTTAGGAGTTGGTGGTGATGTAGTCCAGAGGTGTGATGGATAGTAAAAAGTATACAGGTATATTATTAAAATGGTTTTAAATTGTGGCAAATTCTATGAAGGAAACAAATATTAGGATACTATAAGTAGTCTGTTGGATATGTTAATATATAATTTAGTGGAGAGTTTTATGCAGTATAGAATTTGAAGTTATCAGCCATGGGAATATATGAAATAACCTAGAGAAGATCATAGAAGAATGGAGAGGTTGAAGATGAAAATTGCAAGTGAGTCAGGACCTTAGGCATAACTTCATCTTACTATTGGTTGACATTACTTCACAGATCCCTATGTACCTATCCACAAATTCATATTGTTCCCTTTTGACTGGATGGAACTATTCCACATGCTTTGTTGAAGTGATAGCAACATATGTTGTGTTTGGAAGGTTTCTTTTCCCAGTTCCTGTTCTCAGTTTTCCTACTTCTTTCTATAAAAATGTATTAAAAAAGAGAAAATAGTTATTTTAAAGATTTAAGATTTTTAACTTAAAAGTCTATTTAGAATTTAAAACCTCTCAACTAGAAGAAAAAATGTTAAATTCGTAGTATATAAGATCATATGTGCATCTTATAGATGAAAAATACCCTATTAAGATAAATAATTGAAGTCTCTTTGTATTGATAAGACAATAGATTGAAACTTAGAAAAGACTAGAGGCCCAATGCATGAAATTCATGCAAGGGCCTTGGCCCCAGACCCCGCCCGGACCTCTGCTGCCTCTATCATGGCCCCAGCCCACTGAGGCTTTGTCTGGAAGGAAGGACGTGGAGTCCAATTAGCATATTACGCTTTTATTATTATAGATAAGTAGCATGCTGAGCAAATACTCTTCTTACTGGACACAGTCATTAGGCAGATTTATGTGGGGTGGCAGGACATAGTTTTCCTTCACTCTTCCCCAGGGCGAATCCATGCAATATTAGGTAATAGTGCAGATCATCTGCAAATGCCTGGCTGCCTTCCAAGGCAGATGAAATTGGGTCTTTGCTTATCCTTACTCACATGAATAGTCAGCAGTTGTTGTAGCCCACCCCATGGTGGACATATTTGACCCTTCTTGGACATCATGCTCTGTCTCAGAAAGAAGCTGGAATCAACTAGCCTAATGCATTTAGACTAAATACTGCAGCTTGTGATTTCTGACTTGTCAGATGTTTGGGGAGAGCACATAGACTGCCCTGACATGTAGGAGCCATAGAGCAACAATCGGGGGGTTATCTTTTTCCCAACTTCTGCACTGAGCTGTTTGCAAGAGTGAGAGTGATGATTACCGTCAAGAATTGGCAGGCATTCAATCAATATACATGTACAAATTGAAAAACATTTATTTAGAAATTGTAATATTTCAGTTTATAAGTTTATATGAACATACTGTTTTTTGCAATGACTGTTGCATAATAATCACAAAATAAATGTCATGAATAAATATTTTTTAAAACTGAAGTAGTAGGTATGCATAAATAAAACAACATAAATAGCATGAGTAAGGTACACATGGATTTAATTTTAAGACACTAGATTAGTATAGAGACATATATTGTTTTATTGTGTTTTGCTTCTTCATGCTTCATAATATTTTGCAAATTGAATGGCAAATTGACTTTGAGCAGCAAACCTATTGCCACCATTTCCCCAACAATGTTTGCTCACTTCACATCTGGGTCATATTTTAATAATTCCAATATTTCATACTTGTCTATTATTATTATTATTATATTTGTTATGGTGAGTTGTGGTCAGTCATCTTTGATGTTACTACTGTTATTGTTTTTCGGCACCACCAACCACACCCATATAGAACTGCAAACTTAATAGATAAATGTATGTGTTCTGACTTCTCTCTTCCCACTGCCCTGTTCAAGCTAGTTCTCTTTGGGTCTTCCTGTTCCCCGAGACACAATAATATTTAAATTAGGCCAATTAATAACCCTACAGTGTCCTCTAAGTGTTAAGTGAAAGGAAAGTTGCACTTCTCTCACTTGAAATAAAAAGTCAGAAGTAATTAAACTTAGTGAGAAAGGCATGTCAAAAGCTAAGTTAGGCTGAAAGCTAGAACTCTTGCAACAAACAGCCAAATTGTGAATGCAAAGGAAAAGTCCTTGGAGGAAATTAAAAGGGCTACTTTAGTGAACACATAAATGGTAAAAAAGCAAAACAGCCTTGTTATGGATATGGAGAAAGTTTTAAGGGTCTGGATAGAAGATTAAAACAGGCACAATAGTCGCTTAAGCTAAAGTCTAATCCAAAGCAAACCCCTAACTCTCTTCAGTTCTCTGAAGGCTGAGATAGGTGAGGAAGTTACACAAGAAAATTATCAAACTAGCAGTGGTTAGTTCCTGAAGTTAAGGAAAAAATCCGTCTCTATAACAAAAAGTAAAAGGTGAAGCAGTAAATGCTGATGTAGAAGCTGCAGCAAGTTATTCAGAAGATCTAGTTAAAATAATTTATGATGGTGGTTACACTAAATAACAGTATAGACGATATGGTCTTATATTGGAAGAAAATATACCACATAGGACTTGGATAGCTGGAGAGGAGAAGCAATGCCTGCCTTTAAAGCTTCAAAGAATAGGCTGACTCTTTTTTAGGAGATAATGCAACTGCTGACTTTAAAATGGAAACCAAGGCCCATGAACCATTCTGGAAATCCTAGGGCCTTTAAGAAATATGCTAAATCTACTCTGCCTGTGCTCTATAAATGAACCACCAAAACCTGGTGATAGTACATCTGTTTACAACATGGTGTGCTGAATATTTTAAACCTAGTGTTGAGACCTACAGCTCAGGAAAAAAAAAGATTCCTCTTAAAATATTACTGCTCATTGACAATGCATGTGGTCACCCAGGGGCTCTGATAGAGAGGTATAACAAGATTAATGTTGTCTTTAGACCTGTTATACTACTTTCTGCAGCCCATGGATCAAGGAGTAATTTTAACTTCCAAGTCTTATTATTTAAGAAATAAATTTTGTAAGGCTATTGCTGCAATAGATTGTGTTTCATCTGATGAATTTGGGCAGAGTAAATTAAAAACCTCCTGGAGCCGGGTCCGGTTTGGCTCAGTGGATAGAGCCTGCGGACTGAAAGGTCCCAGGTTCAATTCCGGTCAAGGGCATGTACCTTGGTTGCGGGCACATCCCCATTGGGGGGTATGCAAAAGGCAACTGGTCGATGTTTCTCTCTCACCTATGTTTCTAACTCTCTGTCCCTCTCAATTCCTCTCTGTAAAATCAATAAAATATATTTTTAAAAAATAAAATAAAATAAATAAAAACCTCCTGGAAAGGATTCACCATTCTAGATGCTATTACGAACATTCATGACTCGTGGGAAGAGCTCAAACATCAACATTAACACAAGTTTGTAAGAAGTTGACACCAACTCTCATGGTGACTTTGAGGTATTCAGGACGTCAGTGGAGGAAATAACTGCAGATGTAGTGGAAATAGCTAGAAAACTAGAAATAGAATTGGAGCATACAACCGAATTGCTGCAACCTCACGATGAGGATTTGCTTCTTATGGATGAGCAAAGTAGGGTTCCTTGAAATTATTCTACTCCCAGTGAACATGCTAGAAAGATTATTGAAATGACAACAAAGAATTTAGAATATTACATAAACTTAATTCATAAAGCAGTGGCAAGTTTTGAGAAGATTGACTCCAATTTGGAAAGAAATTCTGTGGATGAAATGTCACAAAGAAATTGTTCATGAAAAAGAATCAATTAATATGGCAAACTTCATTGTTATCTAATTTTAAAAAAGTATCATAGCTCCAACTTTCTGCAACCACAACCCTTAGCAGTCAGCAACCATTAAAATCGAGGTAAGACCTTCTGATAGCAAAAAAAAATAAAAAAAAATTATGACTCACTGAAGGCTTAGATGATGGTCAACACTTCTTAGCAATAAAATATTTTTTAATCAAGTTATGTACATTTTTTAATACTTAATGCTTACACTTAATAAATTATAATGTCAACATAATTTTATATGCACTGGGAAACCAAAAAATTTGTGTGACTCTATTTTGATAGTTGCTTTATTGCGATTGTCTGGAATCAAACTCACAATAAATACAAGATAGGCCAGTATCGTCTTTTCAATGCAGTCAAAGAAAACCTGATGAAAATAAAATTGTTAGTTTTTGTGGAATTAAAATTATCCCCTTGAGGTAATTAAACATCATTTTAAAACTCATAGGTCTTTTTATTTTTATTTTTACAAAAACGGTTTTTGTTTTAGAGTTCTCTAGAAAAATAAAACAAATATGATGTGTTTGTGTGTATACTTGGCCTGTGTGCATTAGACTGACACTGAGGTTGAGGTTTAGGAGGGGTCAAGTGTGTGGTTACCACGGGGGCAACAACAGCTGCTTATTACTAAGTGGGTTGTGGTAGAGACAGGCTCGATTTCATTCTAGTGGGTTTGCCCAAAAGGCAGTTGGACATTTGTAGGTGATCTGCAGCATATATAAGGTATGTGTGGTGAGTGTAAAACATCCAGGAAAAGATTTGACCAAATATTTAGATACTGTGATCCAACCAAATTGACACAAAATTAGCCATTACAACTTTCAGGACAGGTCCTGTGCTGGCGATTTTAGGCTAAATTCCCAACACATGAGCTTTTTACTTATTGTGTTAAGTTTATTAAGTGGACTAAAACATGATATTAAACTACTTAAGCCTCAACTTCTTATAAAGTCAGGATTATATTCTTCCCACCTACTACTTGTGAAGTTAAAATAAAGTAATTCATGTAAAAACACATTGTGAACTATTTTTCATCATACAAATGAATTTTTTTATCCTATATTTAAAGATTAAGCTGTTTACTAACCAAATAAAGACAAAGTAGCTAAATGAATATTTAACCAAGAAAGTTTATTTTCAAGTTTTAAAATTACTAGTCTATTGGTAAATTGTAATAAAAATAGTTCATTATTCATAGCTTCATTGATATTGGCATTTAATTTTGTTCTGTGTTTCACAATGTCCTAAAACTCACATAGGCATTTAAAACTGAATATTCAGTTAGTGGAAATATCTCATGTGTAAAAATTGGTTTTGCAGAAGATTGAAATGAAAGAATTATTTTTATTGTATGTGAATTTTTTACTACATGAAGTAGTAATAAGAAAATAAGCAAATCTTATTTTTTAACAGTTCATTCTTAGTCAAGAAGATATAACAACTATCTTTAAAACATTATATGGTAATATATGGTATGAAGGAGGTGGCAATGTCCCAGTGGCAGGAGTGAAAGATCAGAGTGTTACTAGTGGAGTCACTAATGCTTCACATCATTCAGGAGGTAAGTTCTTGACCTTAAACTCTTTCCCCTCCCACCCCACCCCCTTTCTTCTTTACTTCTAGTTTTGGAGTAAAATAAGATTTATAAATCATTTTGAATTATCTAATCCTCTTCAGGTATCTCTAAATTGTTTATTATTAGTTTTGTTGATTTTTTCCTTTGATTTAAAATTCTTAGTCCTATTGTTACAAAATTCCTTAGTATTTATGCTTAGCTATCCCAACATAGGTCCCCCTTTTCAATTTTTTTTCTCCTTCCTCTTCTCTCTTATTCCTATAGCAGCATTTATAGAGGTATTTTTTATTGATAATAGCTATATCAAAGTATTAGAGGTGTCAATAGAGGATGAGCATGAATAAATTATAGATTTCAACAAATATATAAATGGTAAATGGAAGGAACAGAACAATGGGAACCACTCAGAAAGGCTGTTTATCCAATGTTGGCTATAATGTACTATGTGGAACCTAACTGGATTTTAAGTTTAGCATCAGTACAGACCAAGAATAGGGTCACTTAGGAGTGCTGGGATGATTTTGCTTCACAAGAACAAAGTTCTCCTCATTCTGGCATTTTGGGAAATCCCCAAACCTACCTATCTTAAAGAGCAACCTACTAGCTTATAAAATCCACCTTTGCAAAGCCCTGAGATTTTTACAGTTTTGTCAGTCAAGGAGAATCCTAACACACAAACAACTATACATTTATAACATCGTAGGAAACCCCATATTTGCTTGTTAGAATAAACTCAGTTCTTTACTGTTAAATATTAATGGACAGGTATGAAGAAAATCATAAGAACCTGAGCATGAAAGAAACCAATATAAACAGAATAGGTAATTGGAATTAGATTTATCATCAATAAAACTAAATGGGATGGAATGGATAGATGATAAAAGACAATGGAGTCATATAGTGAAATTTCTAAGGAAAATGATTTTGAAGTTAGATTTTTATATAATGCTAAACCATCCAAATGTGAAAACACAATAATTTGCAGATGTTTTGACCCACAAAGGTTACTTCTTTCATACTCATTCCTGAATAAGTTAGTTTTAAAATATATTCTAGCAAAACAAGGAATTCAGGAAAGAGGAAAACATAGGATACAAAAATAATGGGCCTAACCACTAGGGCTACACGGAAAAGGAATCCCAAAATATTCTGTTACTGGGATGTGTAGTAAAAAATACTTCATTATCATTAAAGAGGATTTCAGAATATCCTAAAAAAAAAAAAAAAAAAAAGTGGAAGAATATCTTCAAGAAGAAAAGTAGCATAAATTCCATAATATATATAGAATGAGTGATTAATTTCAGTAATTTCCCCATTATCCATGGGAATACTTTTCAAGACAACCAGTGGATGCCTGAAGCTGAGTAGTACCTAATGCTATGTATATTATTATTTGGCCTATATATAAATACCTGTGATAAAATTTAACATATATTAGACATAATAAATGATTAACATCTAATAAAATATAGAACAATTGTAACAATATACTGTAAAAAACAGTTCTGTGCATGGATTTACCTTTATTTTACTTAATAACCTTTACATTATTAAGTAAAAAAAAACGTTACTTAAATACAAGTCTGTGATACCACAACAGTCCATCTGATAACTGAGAGGACTATTAATTGACTAATAGGCAGGTAGTATATATAGAATGGATAGGCTGGATAAAGGCATGATTTCACATCCTAGGTAGGATGGAGGGGTCAGCATATGATTTTATAATGCTAGTTAGAATGCTGCACAATTTAAAACTTATGAATTATTTTTGACATTTTTCGTTTAACACTTTCAGACCTTGGTCAACTATGGGTAACATACCACAGAAAATGAAGCCGTGGATAAGGGGGATTACTATAAGTAGCTTCCATAAGTGATATGGAGAGGAAGACATGCTTTCTGTTCCGAGGAAGGGAGAAATTGCTACAAATAGGTGCAGAAGTGGAGGAGATTTTTGCATGATTTTGAAAAATTGTTAGAATGTGAGAAGTGATGCTTTCTTTTTTGAGAGATGCACTAGTTGTAATGTAGTAGCAGAGGAAGGATTATGATAAACTATTAATCTCGCCAAAACCGGTTTGGCTCAGTGGATAGAGCGTCAGCCTGTGGACTGAAAGGTCCCTTGTTCGATTTCAGTCAAGGGCATGTACCTTGGCTGCGGGCACATCCCCAGTAGGCAGATGGTCGATATTTCTCATCGACGTTTGTAGCTCTCTGTCCCTCTCTCTTCCTCTCTGTAAAAAAATCAATAAAATATTAAAAAACCCCAAAACTATTAGTCTCTTCATTGAAAATTATTATATAACTATAGTTAAATCAGACATGGAAGACTTAATCTGTAAATGAGAATTTAAATGATATTAGCTATGTTAACCTACTAGTACCATGTTAACTGAGCAAAGCTAGAAAGAGGAAGATGGGACTGATAAAGGAAATACATGGTAAGGACTTAAAATAATAGGCAGTGCAAAGGTGATATCTAAAATGTACAGGATGAGAAGTAGACATTTAAATATATTAATCATTCAGCTCTAGAAATTTTTATTGATTACTCAATTTTAAAAATTAGTATAATATGGCTGCTTTTATTGCTATTATAACTCTTCTCTTCTATACCCATTTGACTAATAATTCTGTTAAATCTATTTCAATGCTATTTTAATAGTTCTAGCTTTCCTTATTTTTTTTCTTTTATCTGATAACTTGAATTTTTCCAAGGAACAACTGTAGTGACAGCTGCTGTGGTAGAAGTACATTCATGTGCCGCTCAAGTTAAGACAACACTAAATATGAGTTTCAAAACTGACTATCTCACCATGATACTATATAGTCCAGGTCCTAAACAGGTAAGTTGAGGGGGGAAAAATATTTTTTACTTGATGAAAATTATACAGTGAATGTTTATTAAAATACCAATTATTAATATTTTATATACATTTTGTAGTATTTGTTCCTATGAGAAAAATTATTGATCTCTTTTAATAATAAAATAATTTTAACCATTTCCCTTTTAAAATACATTATTTTTGCTATAGTAGTGATGTGAAAAATAAAATTTTGAATTAAATTCAATATATTTTTTGGCCTTTCTTAGTAAGCCCTTTGGAGATAGAGAATGTGGTGGTTTATAATTAAAAATGCTTTATTTGTGTTTGTATAAAATTTATATTGATTTTTTCTTCTGCAGACTTCCTTTACAGATGTTCGTGATCCTTCTCTGACACTTGCTGAATTTAAGTTGGAGAATATAATAAGTACTTTAAAAATGTATACAGATGAGTCAGTATCTGCTGCCTTCTCATTAAAAAACTGTATTTTAGATGATAAAAGGCCTCATGTCAAGAAGGCAACTCCTAGGTAATAATGTTCTGCATTTTTACTTGAAATATGGTTGATATCTACACTAATAAAAGAGAAACATGCAAATTAACCATCATTCTGTTATGCCAAGCCACACCCACCAGCCAATCAGGAGCGAGTATGCAAATTAATCCAACCAAGATGGCAGCTGGCCACAGAGCTAGAGCAAGCAGGAGGCTTGGGTTGCCCCTGGCAATGGAGGAAGCAATGGAGTGGCCTCCGCTCAAGGCTACAAAGTTTCAATTATAGAAGATAAATAAATCCTAGATACTTGCTTCCAGCCAGCCCTGGCCTTCATTTAAGGAGGTGCTGAAAAAGAAAAAAGAAAAAGAAAAAAAAGGAGGGGCTGGGACCTTGGGTCGCTGGGGGGTGATCAGGCCAGGATGGGAAGGCAGGGGCTGTTGGGGGTAAGCAGACCAGCAGGGAGGGTCAGGGGAGGTGAGCAGGCCTTCATTGAGTGTCGGAGGTGATCAGGACAGTGTGGGGGATCACTTTGGAGTGAACAGGCCAGCAGGAGGGGCAGTTAGTGTGAGCAGGCCAGTAGGGAGAGAAAGTGGGGGGCAAGCAGGCCATCAGGGAGGTCTGTTGAGGGTGAGCAGGGCAGCAGGAGGGGCAGTTGGGGGCGATCAGGTTGGCGGGGAGGCAGTTGGGGGCGAGCAGGTCGGCAGGCAGAGTGATTAGGGGCAATTAGGCAGGCAAGCAGGCGGGTGAGTGGCTGGAGCCAGCAGTCCTGGATTGTGAGGGATGTCCAACTGCCAGTTTAGGCCCGGTCCCTGTAAACAGGCAGTAGGACATCCTTTGATGGATCCCAGATTGGAGAGGATGCAGGCTGGGCTGAGGAACCCCCCCCCCCTTCCCGTACATGAATTTCATGCACCAGGCCACTAGTATTTTATAAAACTTATTCCCAAAGTTGCACATTCATTTTTTGGCTATATCCTTAATATCATTGGAGCTTCAATTCAGTGAAGTCATGGTTCACAGTCAACATTTAAATGTCCAAGAGGCTTGATTGGTTGAAGCATCACCTCGTACACCAAAAGATGGCAGATTGCATTCCCTGTCAGGCCTCATATCCAGGTTGTAGGTTTGATCCCAGATCAGTGTGCATCTGAGAGGCAACTGATTGATATCCCTCATATCGATGTTTTTCTATCTCCCTCCTGCCTGCCCTCCTTTCTTCTTTCTCCAAAAATAATTAATTAAAGACATAAAATGTCTTGTTTCTTTTATGTGCTCTTGCTGGATGGTTGATAGATTAATTAAATAAAAACAATCTAATTTTTTTGTTTTTCAAATTATATTATCAAAATTATCAATCCAATCAAAATTTAATGGGAAATATATGAAAAATATGCTGATTTTCCAAATATTGATAATTTCTTAAAGACAGACTAATTTATAAAACAGTTATGTTCCAGAAGCTTGTAAATCTATTATTATTTGGAGTACTTTGAGATCTTTCTACAATAAATGGCTTCAGATGCTGGTTGGCTGTCAGTGAAAGGGATAAGAAGTCTTTGAGTTTTATTGGTGTGTTTGATTATTTGTAAGCTATTCACAGGAATTTTTATTGTGTTTTTCAGAATGATAGGACTGACAGTTGGATTTGACAAAAAAGATATGATGGATGTAAAGTATAAGAAAATCAGAGATAGCTGGATGTCTGATGTAGTCCTTCAAGAAACATATATTTGTGCAAGTGTGGAATTTCTGCTGACAGTTGCAAATGTCTTTCTTGAAGCCTACACCACAGGCACTGCTGTAGAAACCAATGTTCAAGCATGGGCTGCTAGAGAAGAAGGTTAGTTATTAACTAAAATATTTAATATCTATGTTAGTCAAGTGTTACAATAGCACTTACCTTAATTAGCTTTCTAGATCAGCAATTTTCAACCTACGTGCCACAAGAATTTTTAAAACATGAAATACCTGACTAATCAGGGCACAGAACTCTTTTTTCTTAGATTGTTCAGTAAAAAAATGACAACAGCCAACATATCAATTTCCATTCGATATGTATGAGTCAAATTTATTCCCATTTTTTTTTTGTCAGATTGGCAAAATATATTGGATGTGCTGCAGAATTTGTTTCAGTTTATGAGATGAAAAAGGTTGAAAATAGTTCTAATTGATGAGGTTAAATAAATTAAAATTTTATTTTTAAGAGGTAAGAAGAAAATGCTTTCTTCTGGGATGTGCAGTTTGCATATTTTTTCAAGGTATAACTAGATATTGGGTTCAAAAATTAATGAGACCTATATTAGAATAAGTGCTTGTACTTATCTGCAGACAATAATTTGAAAGAATTTGTTGGAAGAAAACCTGCAGGGAGAAATAATAAACCAACCATTTCTTTTCATTATTAAAGATAGTATTTCAACTTAAAATACTCTTATTTTTGTTTTATATATGGTTTTCTATAGTTTTTTACATACTTCATTTATTGTTGTGCAGTGGAAAGAGTATCATGTTGAGAGTTTGAAACTGGGTTAGTTTTCTGTTCTGCCATGGTGGAGATTTCCCCCCACATTTTAAAATGTACTTATAACTGTACCTTCTTCAAATCTTACATTTTAGATTTCTTTGGGACCTAAGGTGCCTTTATTTTAGTTTTTACTTAGAATGAAAATAAAATTTTCCCATAAATAGTGCTTTTCATAAAATGTGTAGCAAAGATGTATAAATATTTTAAATTATTTATTTTTATTGTTTTAGTACCTGTACAGGTACAAGAAAAGTGGGAAGTGAATATTCTTATTAAAAATCCTGAAATTGTGTTTGTGGCTGATATGACAAGAAATGATGCTCCTGCCTTAGTCATTACAACACAGTGTGAAATTGGTTTGAAGGGTGACCTTGAAAACAATACAATGACTGCTGCTATTAAAGATCTCCAAATGAGAGCATGCCCATTTCTTCCTGACAAGAGAAAAGACAGAATCACTACTGTGAGTTTACTATTTAATTATCTGTTTTGTATTTAGTATATACCACTTTATGAACCTACTTGCAGACTTTCTAATCTTTATAAAGTACTTTTTTTGTTTTGTGTTGTTGGAGAGCCTAACCTGGATTATTATTATACTACTTTGAAACTCTCATTCTTCCAGTTGTTCCTCATTGTTTTATGTATTTTTGGGGATAGTCTCACTAAGAAGCTGCATTTTTTGAGACCTACTATCTGTGTCAGTTCCATACTGCTTTTAGGTCTTAAAAACTATCTACCACTTGTTTGAAATGTTGCAATTTTACCATTTTTTCATATTTTTCTCCCATCCGGACACTTTTGCTTTGATGTATGTGTTTATCTGATGAAAATTTATTTCTTCAAAGACATCTTTTCAATTTAACTGACTCCTAGTACTCTTATAAAGCATTTATTAAAATGTTTAGTCTTTTATAGGAATAATAGAAGCATAAATGTCTAAAAATTATCAACATAGAAATGTAAACTATAATTCTCTAGTTTGCAAGGTTTGATGGCTCATCACTAAGAAAAGAAAGGATATAGAAAACTGAGGGCATACTGATTCTCTTTTAGGTGAATGCTTAGAAATTTTACATATTTCTTCTATTCACATCATCTGGCATGAATGTAACTATGTGACCATACTTGTCTGCAAAAATAGCTAGAGAATGTGGTCTTCTTCTTTTTTTAACATTATCTTGTGCCCAGGTAAATCTTGTATGTATTACTATGGGGGGAAAAGAACAGATACCAAGACAACTAGAGGTTCTTCCCATAGTCCACTAAACATTTTATTCCTTTGTCCATAGTGATAATCCATGCTTGTCTTTTTTCACCTCCACCTCAAGGGTTACAGTCTTGACTCAAAATCCAGGATCTTTAGATGATAATTTGCTTTGTTGAGTCTGTATATGATTTCCCTGGAGAAGTGTAAATAGGGGAGCCTTGTCAGGTGAAGTGACATTTATGCCAATGCCTGAAAGATGATTAGATATTAGCAGCAGAACTGAAAAAGGAATCATGGGAGTGTGTTTCAGGATGAAGATATAACATGTGCAGAGAATCTGGGTTCCAGAGAGCACAAGTTCCCACCCCATATCTATCCACATACCAAATCTATATTTATATTCTCTGACTTTTTCTTGTTATTCTGTGGTTCTCAACATAGGGCAGTCTTCCCATCACCAAGATAGTGTTTGTAAAGTAGGGAATGTATAGTGAGCTCTTACAACCTTCTATAGATGTTGGGTAGCCCAAGATTGCTTCTTTGAAGGGGAAGCAGTGGCAGCAGGAAAATAATGCATTAATAGTGAAAATCATAACACAGGAGCTATATGGTGAGAATAAGAGTAGAAAGGGAAAAAAATAAAAGCACTAAAATTACAATGGATGTAGTTGGAGACAATAAAATAATACTAGTAGGGAAATATTCCATTTTAAGATAATGTTTATACATCTTCAATTGATCTCTAAAGACATATTGTGTACAACTTGACTGTAGTATAGTTTTGTCACTAATATGTTGGATCAGCTGCATTTAAAAAATATTTTTTTATTGACTTCAGAGAGAGGAAGAGAGAGGGAGATTGAGACAAACATCAAGGATCAGAGAGAATCATCAGTTGGTTGCCTCATGCATATCCTCTACTAGGGATCGATCCTGCAGCCCGGGCATGGAATCAAACCATGACCTCCTAGTTCATAGATTGATGCTCAACCAAAGAGCCTCACCAGCCAGACGATCAGCTGCATTTTTAATCCTAAGGAACTTAGACTTGAAAATAAAGGAGTTGGATAAGGAACAAAATAAACATTCATACTTATTTTGGGAAGGGACTGTAAAAAAAACAAATTTATCAAGTTAGAAACTTTTATATGTATTTATGATAGTACTATTTGGTTCTGTTTTTTTGCCTTCCCTAAAATGAAAATATCACACAAATTTTATGTTGAAAGTTGTGGATTATGTATTGTAATATGGTTATAATTTTCTATCCCTGAAATTTCAAGAAATAATATATTGAATATGAGTGTCATGTACTAGTTGCTTTTGTTGATTTATTAAAACAATAGTGAATTTTAATGTTCTTTCTTTGGAGAATGAATTTGGTTATCATATTTTCTTCTGATTTATTTTTTCATTTTTAATGTAAGCAGAATTCTAAAATGGCCCCGATTAGTTCTACCTCCTGTTGAATGTGCCCAGTATAATCTGCTTCCATTGAGTGTAGACAGGATCAGTGAATATAATTAGGTTGCTAATTAGTTAACTGAATTAATTAAAGAGAGATTCTGGATGGGCCTAATCTAATTTTTAAAATGCTGGCATTGAAGAAGCAAGCTGCCATACTGTGGGGAAGGCTGCATGGCAAGAACCTATAAACAACTAATATGTGTCAAAAGCAGTCTCTGGCTGACAGCACAAGCCAATGGAGATCTCAGTTTTAGGGCCATAAAGAAATGAATTCTACTGACAACCTGAATGATCCTGGGAGCAGATCTTTCTCCGACAAGCCTCCTGACCCATGAATATAGATTTTTTTTTTTTTTTTTTTTTTTTTTTACCAGAAATAAGATGTAGCAATTATTTAAAATGTGGGAGCATCTTTGTAGCTGGGTAGTATGCAGAAGCTGGAGGAATTTTGAATAGAAGGATAGAGAAAGCCTAACTTGTGTTGATCAGACTCTTGGTAGGAACATGGTCATTGAGGACACTGCTTATAAGGACTCAAGGAAGGTAAAAGTCATTATTGGAAACTACAGGGATTGCTTGATATGTAGTTTCAGAAAGCTTTGAAACATGGTGTCTTGAACCCCCAACATTCTACTGGCAGAAAGCAGGAGGATAAAAAGCAACTACTCAGTTGTGTATTTGTGCTACCTTTTATAAAGAAGGAAGAATGACTCCGGGTGGAGCTGAGAGCCACAGACAGTAGTTATTAGGCTTTGAAACCTAATAAAGAAACTTATTTACTTGGCTGAATTTTTTACCTCCCATTTTTCCAACTTGAATGGGAATGTCTGTAATTGTTATCCTGTGTCTGTCCCACCATTCTATGTTAGGAATGGAAGGGGCTGGTAACTCATCTTAGTTTCACAATTTCATGAAGTGAGAGAAATAGAGCCCTAGAAGCTACACTTAATAGATTATACCCAGGAATTTCATCAGGACCTGGAGCTGATTTAGTTTTAGACTTTGAACTGGTAAGAAATAGATGAGATTTTGTATTTTTTTAATCAGTGAGAGCTATAGATGAGATAGAGATGTGATGAGATATAGAGTTATATAATGTGATTTTGGACTTTGAGCTATAACGTAATGAGACTGTTAGGAACCTTAGGAGGAGTTGAATATATTTTGTGTTTGGAAGGAATGTGTTCACTGGGTGCTAGAAGATAGAATCCTGCTTACCATAGTCAGGAAAAACTCAGCTAATTTATAATTGCATTAAGAATTATTTAGTAAATCTAATGTATTTATATTTTTACATCTCATCTTTTATAGCTTTTTCTATACAGATTAATTTATTTCATTGTAATTTTATAATGGAAAAAATGCCATGATAAAATTTTTGTTTTAGTAGGTAAAATAAAATATAAATATACATTTTACATATTTCTATAGTTAAGCATATTTAAGAAATCCTACATATTGTTTTATTAATACTGCTCATATTAATACTTGATATTATAAGTAAAGAGGAGAAGTGTGTTATTGAGTCACTTATTTTTCAACAGTTTTGAATAACTTGGGTATTTAATTAGCCTTTAAATAAAAATATTTTAAGAGCAATGGTAATTTAATGTTACTGATTTTTCTCATAGGTTTTGCAGCCCTGTGATTTGTTCTATCAAGCTACTCAGATAGGCACAGATCCACAAGTGATTGATATATCACTAAAATCTCTGACACTAAAGGTAAGTTAAAATGTCAGTCATTTAGATCTTTAGTGAACTTTTTAAAAAATTAATAAAACTAGAAATAAACAGTTATTACAGCAAGTCTTTTAATTGTTAAGTAAACAAAAAAGAAGCTATGTTTTAAAATCTCTCTATATAAAAGCCTAATATGCTAATTGTCCCTCCAACCATTCAGCCTTTCAACCAGTCACTGTGATGTGTGCTGACCAGCCGGGAGCAGATGCTTAGACCAGTAGGTTAGCTTACTGCTGGGTCCAGCCTATTGGGATTGGGCAAGACTGGCCAGTCATGGCCTGGAACCCTCCCGTGATTCCTCTCCAGCTGGCCACCCCTGATAGGCCTCAATTAGGACTGGGCAAGATGGGCCGGACATGCCCTGGAGACCTCCTTCGGTCCCTCTCTGGCCCCAGTTGTGCACCAGTGGGGTCTCTTGGCCTGGCCTGCACCCTCTCACAATCCAGGACCCTTTGGGGGATGTTAGAGAGCCAGTTTTAGACCAGGCTGAGGGACCCCACCTGTGCACAAATTCGTGCACTAGGCCTCTAGTATTTTAATAAAATTAATGTAAATACCTTAATTGAAATTAGTTATGATAATTAATTTTTGTGGGCAATGAATTATATTTGTGGTTTCATCGTAATAACATTATTATTTCAATATTAATTATGATTCTTTAGTAAATACATTTAATTTTTCTTGAAGTATGTATTTTTAAAAGATGCATGAGTAGATTTTTTTATCAGTTTAAATTTTTTCCCTTAGGTTTCACCAGTTATCATAAATACTGTGATCACCATAACTGCAGCACTTTATACCACCAAGGAAGCCACCCCACAGGAAGCCACTTCCTCTACAGCATGTCTATGGGAAAAGAAGGATACGAAGACTTTAAAAATGTGGTTTCTTGAAGAACCAAATGAAGTGAAAAACATAGCTCCCACAACTGAATTGGTACCCAAGGGAGAGATAATAAAAATGAACATTGATTCTATTTTTATAGTTCTTGAGGCTGGGGTTGGTCATAGAACAGTGCCTATGCTTTTGGCAAAATCATGTTTTTCAGGGGAAGGCAAAAACTGGAGTTCCCTCATAAATCTCCACTGTCAGCTGGAGTTAGAAGTAAGTAAATGCATCATTTTTTTCTAGATTTTATACCAAATCATGATACATATAGAATATTTTGAGAATCTTATTTAAATATTTAAGCATACTGTAAATATGATGTTGGCTCAGAAAGAAAGTTTACAAATGCATGCCTTTATAAAAGTTTTATGTACTATACAGTCAGTCCTCACTTAGTGTCATTGATAGGTTTTGCCATTTTAAGTAAAAGGACATATAACAAAAACCAATTTTACTGAAGAAAATGTTATTTGAGGCCCTATTGTACTTTAACTTTAGGCCACATGTTCACACTAAGTTTTTATTTCAGTTGATTTGATCAACTTAAACACAATACATTAATAGATTGTTGTTGATTAGATTCAAAATTTTTGTTTTTAGTAATTTAATGGAATACCTTTCTTCCTTTAAAAGAAAAACAACCTATTTCTGAATCTCTTTTAAAAGAATAACAAAGAATTAGAAGGATTTGTCTTTACTTTTTATATAATTCATAATCTTTATACTTGAGTGAGACTCCATTAAGATCTTTAATTTTTGTGTGTGATTATTTTGTATTAGAAATCTGCTTCGAACCAATGTACATTTTACTTCCGAATTTATCTATATGGAATCATCCCCAAAGATACTTTGGTTTAAATTATTATTATTTTTTAAAAATATATTTTATTGATTTTGTACAAAGAGGAAGGGAGAGGGATAGAGAGTTAGAAACATTCCACTGGGGGTGTGCCTGCAACCAATGTACATCCCTTGACTGGAATCAAACCTGGGACCTTTCAGTCCACAGAGCCAAACCGGTTTTGCCTGGTATAAATTATTATTCAAGTTTGTCTAGTGGAAACTAATCTGATAATCTACCCTTATAAAAATATGGAAATTTATAAGCTGCTATATTATTTGTATTGATACAGTTATATATATATATATTTTGCTTGTTTTTAAAAAATATATTTTATTGATTTTGTACAGAGAGGAAGGGAGAGAGATAGAGAGCTAGAAACATCAATGAGAGAGAGTCATCTATCAGCTGCCTCTTGCACACCCCCTACTGGGGATATGCCCGCAACCAAGGTACATGCCCTTGACCAGAATCGAACCTGGGACCTTTCAGTCCCCAAGCCGACGCTCTATCCATTGAGCCAAACCGGTTTCGGCTATATAGTTATATATTAATAGAGATAGATATGACTGATTAGATTACAGCTGTGCAAATTTTGGCTAGAATTTTGTATACTTTCCAGAGATTAATCTAGGATGTCCAAAAAGTTCAAAGAATTCAAATAAATAAACACTCATTGAATCCTATGTTATTTACTTTTGAAAAATCAGTGGAGGTAGATAGATATGTTAAAAAATGTCAAAAATAGCCGAAACCGGTTTGGCTCAGTGGTAGAGCCCTGGTCTGCGGACTGAAGGGTCCCAGGTTCGATTCCGGTCAAGGGCATGTACATTGGTTGCGGGCACATCCCCGGTAGGGGGTGTGCAGGAGGCAGCTGGTTGATGTTTCTTTCTCATTGACATTTAAAGCTCTCTATCTCTCTTCCTTCCTCCTCTCTGTAAAATATCAATAAAACATATTTAAAAAAAATGTCAAAAATATATAATAGATCAACACAGTCTTTTATGTTTAGCCTGGCTTAGATGTTAAGGAAACATGATTGAAAGAGAGTTTTATCTGGATTAATTTATGGAAGCTAAATTATGGTGTTAACCAGGTGAGGAAAGTGCTGAGGGAGTGAATGTAGGAAACTAATGAGTGGCATCTAGTGTGATTTTCATATAGGAGAAATAGCCTAGCCAAAAGGAATGGTAGTACTAAACAACATGGAAGATCATTTTAGCAAATTTCAGAATGCTTTATTAAAAAATTAAAAATTCTCTTCATAGGTGCATTATTACAATGAAATGTTTGGTGTATGGGAACCTTTGCTTGAACCTTTAGAAATTGACCAGACTGAGGAATTTAGACCATGGAATCTTGGAATCAAGGTATATTTGAAGTCTAAAAATTATTTAAAAATTGAGGGTATCTACATCACATAAGACATAACAATTTCAATCTCAACAAAGTTTAACATTTGTCTTTATTAGCCTTGCAGTATGCTTCCCTCTTTGACTTGCGAATATAATTTTTAAACCCAAGGCCAATGCCCTCCTGTACTTTTTCAAATGCAAATAATCCTATATAATAAAAAGGTAATATGCAAATTGATCATCATGCACTCACACAAGGTGGTCACTCCCATGTGGTCACAAGATGGCTGCCACAAGATGGCTGGCAGTTGTGGGCAATCAGGCCTGCAGGGGGGAGAAGGCAGTTGGGGGCGGAGGGGGGGGGGGCGGAGAAGGGGTCCAGGCTTGCAGGGGAGAGCAGTTAGGGGTGATCAAGTCTGCAGAAGAGGGTAGTTGAGGCCGACCAGGCTGGCAGGGGAGGGCAGTTTTGGGCAATTGGGATGGCAGGGGAGCAGTTAGGCATCAATCAGGCTGGCAGACAGAAACGGTTAGGGACAATCAGGCAGGCAGGTGAGTGTTTGGGAGCCAGCAGTCCCAGATTGTGGAAGAGAGGTCCTGCTGGGGTAGGCTCAATCCCAAGGAGTCTCAGATTGGAGAGGGTGTAGGCTGGGCTGAGTGATGTACTTTTGTTTTCACCCTTACAACAAGTGTCTGAAGAATGTACAGTTTCTAACTTCATTTGTAACATGTGAAAGGACTAGATTAGAAAGGGCTTCACCAAAAACCTTTAGAATGGAAGTGATGGGGTACAAATCTGACTACAGGGGCCCTACGCATATTAAAATGCTGCTAGCCTCTTGTAAGTTGCTATTTATCCTGTGTTTCCTTTGTCTTCTGAAGGATATCTATATGGAAGAAAACATATTATTTGTTTGAAATATGTTTAAAATAATTGAGTTTACATAATAATAAAAATCAGGACCTTTAGATGGATGAAATTGTGCTTCCGAAGAAGGAGACTGTGGAATAACTGGCATGTTTCTTCCCTAATGACAATTCAGTCAACCTCCAAACAGATTTTCAGTGGTTTAAGGTCAATTAAAGTAACATCAAATGTGATTAGCTTGACATGTCCAGCTTTTTGTTTTGGATCACTACGTTTGATTTTCCACGTATTTCAGACAAAAGGATTTACCAATAGATAAAAGAACTTATTTGATGGTTTTTAGGTTGGAATATACATAGGCCCTGGATCTGTGAATTCTAAAAAGAGATAGATGTTATCGTTTTTCATGAGTTCTGAGTTCTAGTGACACTGTTCTGCAACTGTTGTTGGACTTCTTAAGTTCCTGATTTTCTGTTCTTTATTTATAGCACTCGAGGCCTAGTGCATGAAAATTGATGTAATGGATGAGGGTCCCTTAAGCTGGCCTACCCCTTCTCACAGTCCAGGAGCCCTCAGGGGCAGGAGGCAACCTAGCAATCAAGGGAAGCAACACCCCATTAACAACTCTGCTGCTGCCACTGCAGGCAGTGCAAGCCTCAGCCAGCCCTGGTTATGAGCCTCAGTCAGCCCTGGGCAGCTGGGAAGCTGACATACCAGGCTTGCCTGCACCCTGGGCCAGCCTTTGGTGGCTGGGCGTATGACATCCAAGGCTTGCCTATGCCTCAGGCCATCCCCTGGGTGGCTGGGGGGACTAAGGGCAGGTCTGGCCACCCCCTGTGCCTGCCGCCCCCCAGCTGGGCTGAAAGGACTATGGGACTCTGGTGGCAGGTGCAAGGAGTGGCTGGATCTGCCTGAGGGTGGGTCCAGCCACACCGCATGCCTGCCCGCCCCATTTGCCCTCCCCTTCCTCCCCCAGCAAGGCTGACAGGACTGGGGGACTCCAGCCAGGCTGAGGGGGATTGGGCACTGCCATCTTGTGGCTATGGGGCGCTCCATCTTTGTGATGGCATGATGGTCAATTTGCATATTCCCTCTTTATTAGATAAGATGACCAATAGACTAAATGACTTTTCTCACTCTAAATTTTCATTTGCTTCTCATTTTCTTTCTGATTCCACATTCATTTAATAATTTTGGTGTCCCCCCCTCCCCCTAAAATGTGCTTGTCATTTTAGTATCACTGAGGATAAGAAGAATTTTTTCCCTAATACTGCTCTGTGCTAGGTGACCTTATTTGTCTGATTTCCAAGTAATTCCAGTAAGACAGTGGAACTGATAAACAATTTTTGCTCTCTCTAATGTTATTGGGATTTGTCTAAAGTTTGTTTTTCCTTTGCAAAATGAGTTATGTTGTGCTTTCAGGAATAAATTTTCCTTATATTTCTATAATTTACATGTCATTTTAGATGAAAAAGAAAGCAAAAAAGGCTATTGTTGAGTCAGATACTGAAGAAGAACATTACAGAGTGCCAGAATATAAAACTGTCATCAGCTTCTATTCAAAAGACCAACTAAACATTACATTATCCAAATGTGGTCTTGTAATGTTAAATAATTTAGTTAAGGTAAGAAAAGATATTTGAAACTTTAAATATGGCTGTACTACTTAGTTAAACCCTTCTCTTTTCTTGAATAAAAGTTTTTTATTAACTTAGTTATTTGTCATATGTTCATTAGTGTTCTGCTTGTCATTTGGTTTTCCACATTTCATTTTATTTTACTGATGATAATTCTTTCTTATTAGGCATTTACAGAAGCTGCCACTGGATCTTCAACTGTCTTGATGAGGGATCTAGCACCATTTATGATTTTAAATTCTCTTGGACTTAACATCTCTGTTTCACCAAGTGATTCTTTTAGTGTGCTCAACGTGCCAGTGGCAAAGTCATACATATTGAAAAATGAGGAAAGTTTAAGTATGGATTATGTCCGAACAAAAGACAATGATCATTTCAATGCAATGACCAGCCTAAGCAGCAAACTTTTCTTCATTCTTCTTAGTAAGTGATAAATTACCTTCCTAGGGCTTTCATTTCTTTTAAGCTATATTTTATATTCCATTTTACTCATTTCTGATATCTTACATATTTTTTAATTTCCTTCCTAATAGGTTGGGAATTTTGTTTGTTTGCAGGACTTTCATTGCTGTTGTCACTATATTTTTGTACTCCAAATTATAATTTTCTTTATTCACTGCTTTTTTTAGAGCATGATAATTTACTGTTTTATGTTTTGGGGAAGAAAAATATCAGATCTCATTCTTACTCAGCTTTTATAGACTATAGCTATAGGTGATTGTTGTTTTAACTGTGTTTGGTATTATTAGGTAGTAGTCTACCAGTGTTGCTGAATGAATTCAAAATAAGGTTCGAATTTATGGAAATGACACATTTTAATAGTTATGGATTTGTAAGTAGTTTTTATGTTATGCTTATTGAAGTGGAAATTTTTTGTCCTTTCTGATTCCCAGAAGTTTTTCATTTTCATAGAAGTGAAAGCAAATAAATTCTTAAATTATCATTATATCTGATATACTCACTGTGAGCTATATAGTCCCAAAGCCTCACCCATAACACTTTCTGATACCTTTACATTTAAATAGTGAAGGTGGAGCACATTTGAAAGATTAATTAGACTTTGGGTAGGAATACCAAAACTGATAGCTAGTGCTCTTCTAGTCAAGAAATGATGCGTAACAGTGGCTAGGTTTCAGGTGTTGTACAAGCATTGTCAATTCATCCCTCAATACAGTATATGTATGTAGATTAGATAATTTGTATAAATTTTTGTTTAATCAAATCCTACATGTCACAAAGTGTCACATGCTGAGAAAATTAACAATGGAAAAATTTCAGCTACCTTGGTAATAGGCCAAAGATTGCCTGAAGGTATTAGGCTCTGGTTATTATAACAGCAAATTTGAGATGCTTCCTTATATTTTATAAAACTTCAATTTCTTAATAAAGTCTTTTGAAGGTTTTAAATGAATGTGATGAAAATGCATTGTGGTTTCTTACAGTATCTCTTTGTATACATTATGTCAATACAAAAAAATACTTTGTATAATCCCTTTGTATAATCTTAAATCCAAAGACTTGAGTGACTCTTTATGCATAACTTTAAGAAATCATCTGATGTTTCTGATACTTAACATCTATTTAAAATTAATATATGATGATTTACAATAAAACTTTTCAAACATTTATATTCAACTTAGCACCTGCTAACCACTCTACTGCTGATAAAATTCCCTTAACAAAAGTGGGACGACGACTGTACACTGTACGACACAGAGAATCTGGAGTTGAAAGATCTATTGTTTGTCAAATTGATGCAGTGGAAGGAAATAAGAAAGTAACAGTTCGCTCCCCAGTGCAGGTATGAAACAATACAATATTTTGGGGGGTCATAATGCATATTTGTGTGCTAATAAAAAACAAAATTAAAGCAAATTGCAACCAAAAGCATACAAATTATAGTAGCAGAATAAGTAATATCAAAAAGAAGAATCATTACCAGTAATTGTACTACTCTAATATGAGCAGTGATAGGATTTTTTTCAATATACTTGTAATTTTTGTATAAAACTATTTTGTAAAATCTTTTTATGGAGAATTATGTAAAAAACAACAACTCATCAATATTTTGTTTGGGGTCTTTAGTAGATTTAATGAAGTAAAATTTATGTATGGTAAGCTGCATACACTCAAAGTTGAGTTTTACACAAAAAAATACACCCATGAGATCTTTATCACAGTCATAGTAATTAACATATTTATCTCCCCTAAAAGTTTCTTCTCTTCTCACTTCCCCATTCCCAGGCATCCACTGACATGTTCTCATTGTATTTTAGTTATACAATATAGAATTTATATAACTGAAATGGAGTACAGAATGGAGTCTTGCTTCTTTTACTAGGCATAATTTTGTATGTATCAACTTTTATTATTAATGTTGTAATATGCAGTTGCATATTGTTGAGTAGTAATTGATATACCACATACCATTTTATCTGTTATATGAGAGTTGAAGTTCACTTTTTTCTTATCTGTCTGGCTAATAAGTTGTTCCAACCAAAATTATTACTTTTCCATTAAATTGCCTTGACACTTGTCAAACACAAACTGACCAAATCTGTGTGGGTTTATTTCTGAATTCTCTATTCTGATTTATTGCACTGTTTATCTTCATGTTAATGCCACACTGTATTGATAATACGAGTACTTTGAATTTTGAAATCGGGTAATACAAGTTGTGCTGCTTTGTTCTTTTCAGAGGTTGTTTGGATTATTCTCAGTTGTTTCCTTTTCCATTTTACTTTCAGACTCATTTTCAATTTTTATTCAAAATTTTAGATAAAGATGAAATTTTTGCATATTAATTTGATTCTTCATTGCTAGAGGAAGTACAGTTGCTTTTTATATTAACTTGTGCAAACTTACTATTTCCACTTTTTAGTTGTAGTGGCTTTTTAATATGTTTACTTATAGTGTCTTAAAGACATTTTTACTTTCTCCTTTCTAACCTGGATGCATATTATTTTATTTTTTTTGCCTGTTGTCTTAGCTAGAACCTCCAGTACAATTTGAATAGGAATCATGAAACTAAACATTTTTGCTTTGTTCTCAGTTTTAAGGGGAAAGTATCCACTCTTTTACCATTGAGTATGTTTTGAGAGATTTTGTTTCGTTTTGCATTGTGTGTGTGTGTGTGTGTGTGTGTGTGTTTTGTACCCTGTTTCCCCGTGGTGGATGTCCGACTGCCGGCTTAGGCCCGCTCCCCACGTGCACCAGGCCTGTAGTATTAAATAAGGTTTGATTGTTTTTAAAATATCAAGTCAACCTTGCATTGCTATTGTAAATCCTAGTTATTTATGAAGTATTATTAACCTTTTGATTCATTGTTGGTTTGATTTGCTAAAATCATATTCATAGTTTTTGCATTTATGTTCATGAGGAATATTGGTATAGAATTTTCTTGTAACATATTTCTTCTGTGAAGATTTTCAAATATAATTTCACTTTATTTTATGAATAAGGTCTATTCAGATTATTTATTACTTTTTAAGTGAACTCTTCTAGTAATTTTGTCTCTTTCATGAAATTTGTCCATGAATTATTAACATTTTTATTTCACTTTTATGTTTTATGTTATTTTCACCAGTTACAGGAATACAGATTGATAGGTTATTTTTTTAATAGTTTTAATAAGAAGTTATTTGATTGTTATCTGGATTACATTGTTTCTGACCAGAATTTGCTGTGTTTTTTTTAATCTTTTTAAATTTTTATTTTATTATTGACAGTGTTATAGATGTCTCCCATTTTCTCCCGTTTTGCCTACTTCCGTCAATTCCTCTTTCATGCAAGACCTTCCCCTGCTGTTGTCTGTGTCCATGGTTATGCATGTATGCATAAATATTCTTTGGTTAATCTCTTCCCATCTCCTCCCTGAAACCCTGTTATTTTTAATTTTTGCTGTTTTATGAAAGGTATTGATATTTTCTTTATATGCATTTAATATTTTTGCCCCTTATTACTGTTAAGTAATTTGGTTGTGATGAATCTTAGTGAAATTTACTTCCTGTTTCTTGTACTTGATTTAAGTTCCTTGAATGTATGGACATATACTTTTAACAACTTTAAACCTTTTTTGTCTTTTTTTTGTCTTCAAATATTTTTTCTCTCCCCTCCCTTCACTTCTTCACTGACCATTGTTCAATCTGCCCCACAATTCACTAAAACTCTTTTTTCCTATTTTTTTGTTTTTCCCCGTTTTGTTTTGATAGTTTCTATTGTTATGTCTTTAAGTTCAGCTTTCTTTTTCAATGTCCAATCTTTTCTCATCTACACCAATGCATTTTTAGCTCTAGAATTTCAGTTTGCATTTTTATGTATATTTTCCATGTCCTTTTTTCATACATTCAGTATTTCCTTTAACTTTGAACATATTGAGTATAGTTATATAAATGTTATAATGCCCTTGTCTACTAATTCTATCATGTGTATTATATCTGATTTGTTTCCTTTTATTTATTTACTTTTTTTTTTTTTAATATTTTATTGATTTTACACAGAGAGGAATTGAGACGGACAGAGAGTTAGAAACATCGATGAGAGAGTCATCAATCAGCTGCCTCCTGTGCACCCCCCACTGGGGGTATGCCCGCAACCAAGGTACATGCCCTTGACCGGAATCGAACCTGGGTCCCTTTAGTCCCCAAGCCGACGCTCTATCCATTGAGCCAAACCGGTCTCGGCTTATTTATTTACTTTTTAATATATTTTTTTTTTATTTCAGAGAAGAAGGGAGAGGGAGAGAGTGACACCAATGATGAGAGAAAACCATCTATTGGCTGCCTCCTGCACACCACATTGGGAATAGAGTCTACAACTTGGGCATGTATCCTGACCAGGAATCAAACCGTGACTTCTTGGTTCTTTGTAGGATAATGTTCAACCCCTGAACCACTCCAGTGGGGCTATTTCCTTTTATTAATATTTATTTTATAAAATTTTTATGTCTATTAATTTTTATTGGATGCCTAAAATTGTGAATTTTACCTTGCTTGAAATAGAATGATTTCTTTTTGTATTCTTGAACTTTATTCTCCAATATAGTTATGTTACTTGGAAAGTGATCCTCTCAGTCCTTATTTTTAAACTTTTTAGGTGGGCTTCAAGCAGTGTTTAGTTCACTGGCTGAAGATCTTATTTATTTTGCAATTTAAAGAATGTAGACAAATCTGGCATTGAAAATGAATGTGCATGCTTAAATGCATTACTTTATTTTCATGCGTAATGACCAAACGACTAGTCACCAGGAAGTGCATTTTTAGATTTCATGGCTCAGTGTGTCTATGTGAGGCTTCGTGACGCGGGCTAGGGCTTGGAGGACCTCGGCAGAGCTTGATGGGAGTGGGATTGGCCCGGTCTTGGTGTCGTCCAATGGTTGTGGGGCCAGCTGGACACTTCTATTATAGAGAAAGGGCAAATAGCAATATTAAAATATTTCCTCTAATTAATTTCCTTTTAATGTGCATGAATTTTGTGTATAGGGCCACTAGTGATGTTATAAATATCCAAACAGCTCTTGGCTGAAAGAAGGTTTCCCAACCATACCTTAGATAGTTTACTTAGATCTGTTTGACTTCTCCTTTCCTATACAGTAGCTTTACAGGCAGCAGGCTGGAGCAGTTTTAGGGCTTTTCTTGCTGGATTTTTGTTTCCTCTGCTGCTGACTAACCAGTGTCTGAAAATCATTGTTTAGTTTTTAGGTTAAGAAGATATATTTGGTCCCTATTATTCCATTATGGCTGAAAGCATAAATTCCTTTTCTTTCATTTATGATTTATAATTATCTATTTTAAAAGATGATTGTTGGGCTGTCATTGTTGATCTTAAAGATTTCATTTAGTAGTAAATATTAATTTTAAGTTTCTTATAGGTATTACTTTTAGAAATCAAAATGTATTTCTATAGCTTTAACTAAGTGGAGCAATATATATATATATATTCATATACATTCATATATATATAAATGTAGTGAATTGTAGAGTATCCATTTAATCTTAATTTTCAGTATGATTTTTTTAATTTAGAGGATATTAGTAAGATATAGAAGGATAAGAAAATGGTCATAATAGTTTGTTTTTATCTATCCAAAGGTAAATATAACTGTTTGTAGGTTTATCAGATAATATGAAATAATGAAAACTATGATATCTTTTTATCACTGTTGTATGCTACTCATTAAATGAGATACCCCTTCTTTCAATGAATAGCATCCAACAGAGACATAAAAATGTAGTTATTTCCCAGCCTGAGGCTTATTTTTTACTTTATCATCTAGACATTTAAAATGTAGATGTAATATTTTTTCCTGTGAACTTTTTTTTTTACTATTCTTGTCTAAAGAAGTTATTCCTTATCTGAAAGTCAAGAAGATACTACCTTATTTCTTACTAGAATTTTTAAATTTTTATTTTTGAGATTTCTTTTTCTATAAAACTGTACAAACTTTTCTATTTTTAGGAATAGAACTTTATATGTTTATTTCTTTTCTGTATTATATAAGCAAGGTAAATATTGCTTTGATCTTTTGTTGGGGTGTTATGTCTTTAGTTAATTAGATTAATTAGTTAAATATCTTTAGTTTATTATATTAATGATACTAAATATTATTATTTTTCTTTCCTAGATTAGAAATCATTTCTCAATCCCACTGTGTGTTTATGAAGGGAATACTTTATTGGGAATGGCTTCACCTGGAAATGAATTTAACATACCATTAGCATCTTACCGGTGATTCTTTTATCTACTTGTTTGCTCTATGTCTCTTACAGAGTTTTTAGTTTCTGAAATTGTAGGGATATCTATCTTTAAATTATCAAACTTTCATCAAATCTTTCCTGTTATTATCTGATCCTATATGACTTATATAAGTTTCAGGGCACTTAGAAGTGTTTTTAAAATAAATATTATTTAATTTATTGTATTTATTTTATACCATATAAATTATTTATGCTTTACCAGTAAATAAAATTATTAAATGCTTGCAATATAGCCATTGTAACCAGAATCATATATAGGATAGGCAAATGTAGGTTTACAGTTTTGAATATGCAAAATACAGAGTTCATTCTTATATTATTACTTATTCATTATTATATTACTTTTCATATGAACCACTGTAAACCTCCTTTTGCCCCACCTTGTATATTCACAATTTTAAAAAAATATCTAAATTGTGTATAATTGATGGTTTCTGGATTTACATATACTCTTATGAAGTGATTTTTACTTTTTAAAGGTTTATAATAGACTTTTTTGGAATTCCTTTAGAAAACAAAATATTGCATATTTATCTGTTGATTATTTTAGAATTTTAATCAGTCTTAAATATTTAAAGTAACTTGCCTGAACTTGATGTAAAATCTTATGTTAAGAAAGGATATATTAAAATTTTAACAATACTAATGATGGGCTAGTTTCATAATTATATGCTTAATATCATAACAAGTATTATTGTTCAGGATATTTAATTTGGAATAGAAAATGTAAAGCAAGGAAAAATGGAGATTTTGGAGAATAAATTCTTCCTCAGAATAAGCATCATGGTTGTCTAAGGTGCTACCCAGAACACATATTAGACATAGACACTTAGACCTATGCTATGGAAGGATGGAGAGAAAATTACAAGCAGTGTTTAAATATTCCCTTCCTCTGTTCATCCTGACCCATGCCTAGGAGTTCAAGAGTGGATATCACTAATGTTTAGAAGGCAATCTAGCAGTTTTAGACACATATTTTCAGGTATTAGACCTGCTCACTCTAATAAACGTTCTGTTGTTTAGACCTTCTGACCATAATGAGTATTTTATTACTTAATTTGAACTTGCTGAGGGGAAAATATTATATATTATTCAGAGAACAATAAAATATTTATAGTACCTGATCATGTTCTAGAAAGGATTATGGGTGGGTTAGAAGACTAAAGAGAACATGTAAGGTATGTTTAAAAATTTTTATGAAGAACCTTAAATTCATTTTGTTTTTGGATAATAAATATTAATGGCACTATGTTTTATTTTTCATAAATTAGTATTATATTTTGTGACTATTCATAAAGCCATTAGCTATCTTTATACTTTTTTGTTCAAAGCTAAATATTAATTTGTTACATGGAAGTTAATCAATATTTATTAGAATCATTAGTAACTAACCAGCTTGGATTTCACATTAGGTATTCTCCTATTCCAATGCTTAGACATGGGTATACTTACATTTAAGATATGAGCTCTTAAATTAACAAATAGCTATCTTTAATTATAGAATTTACATATAATGATTCTTAAATTTAATTCATTTAACAGTTATTTAGCAAATCTTTTTATTGTATATATGGCACTGCTATAGGATAACAAGATGAATTGGCCTGGCTATTCCTCTTGGGAGGTTGATATATTATGTAAATACAGAGGTAGAAAATGATGGGTTGTAGAGAGTTACAGAAAGACTTATTGTTTCAGAAAACTATGAAAAATAAGAGATTACCTACATGAATTATAGGTAAAATATAATAATGTGGAGGACAATCTTAAGTGCAAGGAATTACATGAACAGAGATAAGGAGACTTGAGAAAAAAGGCTTTGTATAGGTCTATATGATTGGAGTGTGTGCAAGTTAGAAGATTAAATTTGAAAGATAGTTCTAAGTTCACATTGAGGTAGTTGCTCCTTCATTTTCTTGCACTCATTTATATACATTTTATCTTCATCTGTAATATCATCTGTTTCTTCCTTTCCCTCTAAGAACATTTGGCGTCCTTCCATTGTGAAACTATTTACTTCATCAGTTCTTCTCATCCAGAACCTCTTACCACTGAACATCTTTCTCTCATGTTTTCTCTTCATTTATTTATTAAACTTTTCTTTAAACTTTCATATTTCTCTACTTCAAGTCTTTTCTTCAGAACAAAGATTTTTGGGAAAATTGTCACTTCTACAGTATACTCTGCAGCCACCCTAGAAAGAATTATGTGTGCAGGGGAGAAGGAAGTATCTAACACTATTTCCCAGTCCAGAGTGCCAGTAGTGGAAGTTTCTGGTAAACAACACAGAGAAGTGGATGTGGAGGGCTCAGAAGTTAGTCTAGCAAGTTTAGGGCACCATTAGACATCAATACAGAAATATGTGTAGCTATTCAGAATTTTAGGACTAAAGCTTAGGAAAATAATTAGGGCTAGAGATAGTACTGACAGTTGTTCATCTGTAAGGAACAGCATCACCATAATTGATTAGTTTTACAAGTACAAAAACATTTCTTAAGTATTTATACATTGACACAGCTTAGGTTTAAAAGAATGATTAAACCCAAAATGTACTTGAAATGTAAACAAAGACAGTGATATTTAAATTTGTGAATTAATCATATGTGATGCCTATTGATTTTGTCACTATCTTCTTGTAACCACTTCTTCAACTATGCCTAACATTTTAATAAAAATAAGTATCTATTGATAGCTTTAATTTCATTAATCTTGAAAAACTGGTGATTAATTTTTCCAAAAGAAATAATTTTTTAGTTCATAAAATCATTCATGATATGTACTTCCTATTAGGACCACATAGCCAGGAAAGACAACTTAGATAAGTTAAATGTACAATTCACAGATAGTTGTATATGTTTGTTTTGCATATGCGACCTACATGATTATGAATTTTCTATAAGAAACCAGTTATCTTGTAAACATACTTTTTACAATTTATTTTTTTAAAATATATTTTTATTGATTTCAGAGAGGAAAGGAGATGAAGAGATAGATAGAAATATTAATGATGAGAGGGAATCATTAATTGGTTGCCTACTGCACATTGGACTGAGCCTACAACCTAGGCATATGCCCTTGACCAGAATTGAACCTGGGACCCTTGAGTCCCCAGCCAATGCTCTATTCACTGACCCAAACTGATTACGGCTTTACAATTTATTTTTTAAGTTTATTTATTTTTAAAATATATTTTATTGATTTTTCACAGAGAGAAAGAGAGAGGGATAGAAAGTTAGAAACATCGATGAGAGAGAATCATCGATCAGCTGCCTCTTGCACACCCCCTATGGGGATGTGCCCGCAACCAAGGTACATGCCCTTGCCCGGAATCGAACCTGGGACCTTTCAGTCCGCAGGCCGATGCTCTATCCACTGAGCCAAACCGGTCCCAGCTACAATTTATTTTTTAATTGCAGTTGACATATATTAGTTTCAGGTATACGACATAGTGATTAGACATTTACATACCTTTCAAAGTGATCACTCTAGTAAGTTTAGTACTCATATGACACTATATATGGTTAATTGTAAACACACATTTAAACCAGTAAGTTTATAAGAAAAATATTCTTCTTTTAAAAGCTGAATAACTTAATTTCCTGAAAATTAAGTTAATAATTTAAGTTAATAATTAAGTTAATAATTAAGACAATAATTATCTATTGTCTATCTTACCTATATCTAAGAATGTGAAAATATAAAAATATATTACAATAGTATGGAGGGAGGTAATTTCATTGTTCTAAAGTTGTAATCATATAATTTAAAATGTTTTCTTTTAAAGCATTTCAGCAAATCCTTTTTAATGTTTTATGCAGATCATTCCTTTTTCTGAAACCAGAAGATGAGGACTATCAAATGTGTGAAGCAATTGACTTTGAAGAAATTATAAAAAATGAAGGCACTTTTCTAAAGAGGAAATGTAAACCTATAAACCCTTCTAAGAAACCATTTATTATTAATGTTGTCCCAGAAAAAGATAATTTGACATCTCTGTCGGTATATTCAGAATATGGTTGGGACTTACCATACATAATACATTTGTGGCCACCTATCCTACTCCGAAATCTTCTTCCTTACAAAATTGTTTATTATATAGAGGTATTCTGGAATTTTATTAAATATCTTTGTGTCTGTGGTTTTGGTACAGGGGATGTATACTAATACTCAAATGGAAAATAAATGTTTAATTATGCTGTGTAAAAATAGCATTAAAATATTTTCAATTGATTCACCTTTGAAATTTGGCTACTAAGTTGAATATAAGTTACCTACATAAATGTGATATGTCATTTAGAAAATAGAGATAATAGAAATTGCCTAGACTCATATCATCTGAAGGGTAGTTTTAGAATATATATTTTTCTATATATATATGTATATTTCATATATCATACATTTAAAATATGGATTCTAACTTTTGAAACAAGTATGAGAATTAGTATTAAGTAATATTTAAGTATTAGACTTAATTGGAAAAATGCTGCTACATTATATTATTCTGATGATAGATCTCTAAAAATATTTTATGCCCTACAATGTTCCTTTTTCTTTTAAATATTCTGTTTTAACAAATTATGTCTGATTTCATCAGGATTTTAATATTATATTTGCCATGACTATCAAATATAAGAAATTTCTTTATTGTAATCTAGTATTGTTTTGGTCAGTGTACTAATTACTAATTATTGGGATTTACTATATCTATATACTTCTTTGATAATTTTTTTGGGGGGTGAAGTTAACATCTATGGTTTAAGAATATCTGTTTTTCTTTATATTTGGCAGATATTCTAGTGGTTATGAATTTGCACTTTGCTGTCAGGTAGATTGGAGATTTAATCCTAGCTCTATTACTTACTAATTATATGTCTTTAGGCAAGTTATATTGTCTTTCTTAATTATGTATCCTAATTTATGAAAGGGAGATAGTAATAAACATTGCATGATTGGGATATGGGGAACTCAAACTAGATGATATATGTAAAGGATTTAGCACATGACTAGGAGACACATGATTGCCATTCATTTACCTCTCTAACAGCACCACCACTGCTATTCTGTTTTGTGGATATTAACATGCCAGGTGTCAACAACTTAAATTACTTTTGTTTTAACTAATTTAAGATGAAGAGATTCTTGTGTTATAACAATAGGAAGGAATCAGGTAGGCGATGCTAGAAAACCTGGTGCATTATCAAGGAATGCTATCTATGTTCCATTCTCATAGAACTTTTAATTTGATGCTTTTAGGGATCACATTCTGTTTGCTAGTTCCCAAAGGGTATGACCAATTTTTAGAAAGGTTAGTTGTGGTATGAAGAAGGGATTAAAGAAAACAAGAGCAGTTAGGAAACTTAAAGTGAGAGGACACAGTGGCAGGAACTAAGGTGATGAAAGTGGGGGTGAAGAGAAATGAATGGTTTTGAGAGATGCATAGATATTATACAATACTATAAACAACTAGAGGCCCTGTGTATGAATTTGTGCATGGGTGGGGCCTGGTCGGCTGGGAGGAGTTGGCAGATCGGCTCTGCCCCCGATTGGGTTGAGGGGTGGACGATCATGGATCGGGCCAGCCAAGGGAAGGGGCTCCAAGCAGTTGGTGGGCTGCCCCGCCTTCTGGTTGAACTCCCGTTGGACTCCCAGTCGAGGAGACAATTTGCCTATTATCCTTTTATTATCTACTAGAGGCCCAGTGCATGAAATTCATGCACAGGGGGTATCCCTCAGCCCATCCTGCATCCTCTCCAATCCACGATATCTCTTGCAATACAGAACCACTGGCTCCTAATCACTGACCTACCTGCCTGCTTGATGCCTCTAACTGCTCCTCTGCCAGACTGATCTCCCCTGACTGCTCTCCCCTGCCAGCCTGATCCCCCTAACTGCTCCCCCCCCCCCCAGCCTGATCCCCCTAACTACCCAACTGCTCTCCCCTATTGGCCTGATCCGCCTAACTGCCACCTTTTTCTGTGGCACTGGCCTTCTCTCTTCTGCCTTCTCTCTTCTGCCTTCTCCCTTCTCCCTTGGCACCACCTTCTCCCTTCTGCTTTCTCCTTTCAGCCTTCAACTGTGGCACATTATCCATTGGCCTCTGCAAGAGGGACCACGGTGCTGGATTGGCCCTCACAGCTGCTGTGGCTGCCAGCCCTTAGTCCTACCTTCTGGATGAAGCCAGGGCTGCGAGGGCCAAACCCCTTGCACGAATTTTGTGCATTGGGGCCTTTAGTATAGGATAATTGGAAATGGGTGATGAAGGATTGTTAAAAGTCAAGTATGGGACTTATTTGGATTATTATCTCTTTTCTCATACATTTTTCATAATTTTTTAGTTTTCAAAACTAAAATTACTAATGGATAAGATTTAATCTTTTTTTTATTATGTGTTTTCCATTTTTTATTTATTAAAATTAAAATTAATGGATAAGAATTTTAAAATGTTTTACTAGTTATAGTGCATTATAATGTTTACTAGTTCCATTAGAGTTTTATATTACATTACTTAGTTTTATCCTAACAATAGTCCTTTGAAGTTGATCATTTAGACCATTTTACAAATACAATAAATCATATCTTGAATAATTTACCTGCAGACTTGGAGGAAATGTGGAAGTTTACATAGTTGGCAGAGTTAGAACTTGAATATAAGTCTTCTAACTTGTTCATAAAGAAGTATATTTCTAAAGCAGTTTGTATAACATTTGTAATCCTTACATAGAATTTTTTGGCATATTAATCTAAGACATTAAAAAACTTACTATATTTTGTTTATTACAGGGGAATGAACATAGAGTTTTTACTCTAAATGAAGGCTCTTCTGCCCATATTTGTACCGTACAATTGGATAAAGCCATACTACATTTAAAATTACTTGACTATCTTAATCAAGATTGGAAAAGTGAATATCATATAATACCTAATCAAGAAGATATTAGTTTCATCAATTTTACCTGTGTTACAGAAATGGAAAAGACTGATTTAGATATTGCTATCCATGTGACTTATAATCCTGGCCAGACAGTTGTGGCATTTCATAGCCCTTACTGGATGGTCAATAAAACAGGTCGAATGTTACAGTATAAAGCAGATGGAATTCATCGAAAGCATCCACCTAATTATAAAATGCCAGTACTCTTTTCTTTTCAGCCAAAGCACTTTTTTAATAACAATAAGGTGTGTAAAGTTTTTTTAACTTTTTTTTTTTTTTAGCTATTTCTTACTTCTTATTAAACTTTAGAATTTTGAAGAATAAAATAATATGAAACAGGCAGAAATAACATTTGTTAAATAGTTGAGGTTATAAAAATTTGAATTTCATATTGGGAAGGGTTTAGTGCATTAACAGTACAATATTTATACTAAAAAGCAAAATGTGAATGTAGGTTGGAATTTTTAATGGTACTTACGTTGTAATATCTTTGAATTATTTTTTCCTAGGTTCAGCTTATGGTTACTGATAGTGAATTGTCAGATCAGTTTTCAATTGATACTGTTGGTAGTCATGGAGCTGTTAAATGTAAAGGCATGCACATGGAGTATCAAGTGAGTTCATCCTGTGCTCATCAAGAAATTTTTATTTAAACTGTGTCTAATGACTACTTAATTTTTAAGGATGTTACGATAATGTAATAATACGTTTTTCCTTAGGTTGGTGTCATTATAGACCTCAGCAGTTTTAACATTACCAGAATTGTGACATTTACCCCTTTTTATATGATCAAAAATAAAAGCAAGTATCGTATATCAGTGGCTGAAGAGGGGAGTGATAAATGGCTCTCTCTAGATATGGATCAGGTGAGTAGATGGATTTCAATAATGTAGCTCTTAGGAATTTCTTTTTTCTTGGAAGTTAGATAACTGAAATTACTATGTAATGTTTTATCTTTTCATTCCTCCAATTTTATTTTCGTTTCATGATCATTTATTGAGTATTTGTACCAAACCCTACATATTTAATTACTAAAATTCAAAACTTGCCATCAAGAAATATATTTCTTGATAAGGGAGGTAGACATTTAGCATTACCAGCCAAATGGGGTCAAATAGAGCAGTAAAAGACTAGATAAGGCATTAATGCAGGAAAGAGAAGGAGATTAGTTATTCTTTTCAGGAAGCTGTTAGTATTGTCTTTAAAGAATAGATTAAGCCAGTTATTTTAAGAAGGTGGTAGTGATTTAGGAGTAAAATATTTCTTTTACTCCATCTTTAGCTGTTAAACCTCTACAAAAGAGCTGTCTGAGGGACTGCAGGAGGGTGATAGAATATTTTACCTTTGAAGAAATTTTATTCTAACTATGTTAGATTATAAGAGAAATGTTTGCTATTTTTATTCACTATTCTATCTTGCTTTTGAGCCATCCTCTGGAGTCATTTGTTGAACTACTTCCTTTAAAATTTGCTTTAGTGCTGGTTCTGGAGGAAAATGCCATCAGTGTGTTTTTATCATCATCCTTTTATAATGCCTTTTCTTGATAACAAAGTCTATTTTTTTCTCAGCATGTTGTATATTTTACTTCACTGTTTTTTGGTTTCCATTTTTGTTGAAAATTTGGCTGTGATTCTGTCATTTCTTTGGAGGTCATCTTTCTTTTCTCCTTAGCTTCCTTCAGACTTCTCTTTGTGTTTGATATTCTGCAGTCACCCTATTTGTCTATATGTAGGTTCCTTTTATATATCCTGTCTTATATGCCTTACTGCTAGATCCATGAGGTAATGATTTTTCATACTTCCTATAAAATTTGCAACAGTTGTCTCTTTAAGTATTCTCCTGTTCATCCATTTTCTCCTTCTGAGCCTTTAATCAGACATATTCTAGACTTTCATATTCTATTTTCTATGTCTCTTACTATCTTTTTATGTTTTCTATCAGGTCACACATGAACAGTCTCACTGAAATATGTGACGTCTCCAGTCTGGCAGGGGCTTACAGTTTGCATCTCCATTCCTGTCCTTTTAGTTTTTTTGTTTCAGCTCCTGCTAGTCCAGTCTTCTTTCTGGGTACACTGATTATCTCCTATTCTTTCAGTTTGGTTTTCAAATCACAGATGTCCAGGAGATTTTTAATTTTTTTAGCCTATATCCTGTTCTGAATTTTGAATATATCTTTTACTTTTGTATCCTTGTTTGACTTCCCTGAATCAACATTTGAGTATATTTGGACTACTGCTTAATTACCAAGGGTTGCCCACAACTGACTATGATTTTCAATAACTGATCACTTGCTTCCCTTATGCTCTTTGTTCAGCTTGTTGATGTTTCAAACCCTTCTCTAGATCTAGACCACATGAAAATTGCTGCTTATCATAGCTTTTCATCTTACTACCCATTACTGCTTGTTTTCAGACTGTCCATACGTGGCAACACATCTCTAAGTAGGCAATTTATAACTGTTTACATAAATAACCCAGTAACCAGAGCACTGTTGAAAGAGATTAATTTTCATTTTGTTTTGTCTACTCTGATGGATTTATTAAAATGATAAGTGTCTTTATGATGCAATATATTGTGGGTTCTAAAAAAGAAATATATGTAATATATGTTTTAGTGTATCCCCTTTTGGCCTGAGGATGCATCAAATAAACTTCTTATTCAAGTTGAAGGAAGTAGAGGCCCTCCCAAAAAGATATATTTTAACAAGCAAGAAAATTGTATTTTATTGCGTCTGGATAATGAGGTAATTAATGTGTGTGTGTGTGTGTGTGTGTGATTAGAGGAGTTAATGTTACTTACTGGTATTTAATTTTTTTGTATCAAATAATTTTCTCATGACTTTTTTTCCCTTTCACCAAAAATGAACAAAGATTTCTTTTTTGAGGAGAAAAAGTACTAAAGGGAAATAGTCATAAAACATTTTGTTATACAGAGTTAGTAGAAGTGCTTTGACTATACACTGGAATTTGACCCATCTATATATATAATAATAGAGCATGGTCTCCCAGACATGCCATATAAAATAAAAATAAGTTATAGTTTTGTATTAAATGTTGTTAGTTAATATTCTTTGGAAAATGATCACATTAGAGAATATTTTCTCTTACTTTTTTTTATAGCTTGGCGGTATTATAGCAGAAGTTAATTTGGCTGAGCATTCTACAGTTATTACATTTTCAGATTATCATGATGGAGCAGCTACATTCCTATTAATAAATCACACTAAGAATGACATTATTGAATATAAGCAAAGGTAAGAAGAGGGTCACAAATTCAGTATCCCCTTATTTGAGCAAAGACTAGGTGATGAGACGCAGACTTTATGATGATTTTTTTAAAAATTAAATATATTTTTAATGATTTCAGAGAGGGAAGGAAGAGTGTTATATTGAAAATCATCGAATGAGATACAAGATGCCTTAATGATTCAATTATTTAGAAGTGGTTTATTGCATGCAGCCCAGAGGGAGGTGTCTTTTCCCAAATCTCTCAGTAACCCATACAGGAAGTTTTTCTGTATTTGCAGATATTACAAAGGGCTCTATGTGAGTTATTATTACAGACAGTTGTAACCTTGAATACATAATAAGTTTGTACTTAGCACAATTGTTATCAGTATTAGTCTGTTATATTGGATGGCTAACTTGCAAGGTCAGACAGTTAAGTTTATCTTTTTCTATTATTTGAACTAAAAATAAAGTCGGTTTACAGAACAACAGACTATCCTAAAGTGACAGAGTTTATAATGACAGAGTTTGCAGGACTAGGGACTATCTAACAATAGCAGAGTTTCAAACAGCAGTTTTTTACACAAGATGGAGGTTACTGTGCTTCAATAGAAATATCACTTATGAGAGAGAATAATTGATCAGCTGCCTCCTGCACACCCCCTACTGGGGATCAAACCATTACCAGGAATCAAACCACGACCTTCTGGTTCATAGATCTATGCTCAACCACTGAGTCATACGAGCTGGGCTATTCTCATTATTTTCTTAGAAAACCTCTTTTCCATTATATAAGGAAAAACTTTCAGTCTACTATTAATCAGAAATATTATAACTCTCAATTAATTGACTTGGGAATTACTGAACTATATTATTTTGGGTTCTTTATTCATTTACTTATACTTAATCTAATGCCTGTTTTTACCATTTGTGTCAGTTCTCTTGATGAAATAGAAGACTCTCTTCCTCCTGGAAAAGCAGTACTTTATACATGGGCTGATCCAGTGGGCTCTAGAAAGCTGAAGTGGACTTGTGGGAAAAGTCACGGTGAAGTAACACAAAAAGATGTATGTTTGGGCTGATTATCATGATGTCCTCAGCAGCATGTTTTTTGTTTCTGTTTTTTAAATAGTATTCTCTTTGAGCCTTACTAGCTTTAAGGCATGTTTATGTCTGCACTACTAAAATAAACTGACAAAGATTTAAAAGTATTCAAACTTTAACCAAAAATATTTAAAACTGAAAGTAGTCTTATTTTGCCTACGTCATCATTTTCTTCCATCCTCTATAATAAAAGGGTAATACAGGCAGTCCTTGGGTTACATCACACTCAATGTATGTTGTTTCGTAGTTACACCACCATCTCCCTTTATTTATTTATTTTTAAATTTCCATCATTTCGACATATGTACATATGTGCTTTTTGTTTTTTTATTATTTATTTACTACAAGTAAAGGTCTAGAATTAACTTTCTTTTAAATTTTTTTTACTGTTTCACTTCATTACTCTGTGTATGTGCTCCATATGAGTGACGTAGGTGCTTATGTAGGTGAGTTCCAACTTACAACAAAAATCACATGACGTTTCGCTGTAGGAATGGATATCCATATTGACCCTAACTGCAGAATGACTGGGAACGACCAGTCACTATGATGTGCACTGACCATCAGGGGGCAGATGCTCAGTGCACTCCCACAGGGGGAGCTCCGCTCAGCCACAAGGTGGGCTGATGGCTACAGGCGCAGCGGCAGGAGCCTCTCCCGCCTGTGGCTTCAGCTGCTCCTCATCGGGAATGGGCCTAAGTTGTCAGTTGGACATCCTCTGAGGGCTCCTGGGCTACCAGAGGGATGTCTTTCTGCTAGCTTAGGCCCAATCCCTGGGGAGAAGGCCTAAGCTGCTAGGTGGACATCCCCCGAAGGGCCCCGGGCTGTGCACCGGGCCTCTAATTATGCTATAAAGGTAAATTGTAATTAGAGAGGGTCTTTCAGCATTCATCTCATAAACATATACTCTTTATTGCTGGTCATCTTAGATCACTTTCACTTCTGTGACAAACATCTAGGATCTAACTAAAGAATTTATTTCTGGTAGCAAGTATTATTGATATGGTTTTTCATAAAGATAAAGTAGTATGTAAACATTTTCCAGTAACATTTTCAATGGCTGCAGAAATTGTTTAGTAGTTGTTGTTTTTTTTTTTTTTTAGGAATTATTTTTAAACAATTAAAAACTAAAATTATATTAGTCTTTTAAAACACATCTTAATTTGACCCTATTCCATTGTCTTATTTGATCTGTTGGTTAATAATTTTGCATATTTATGTCATAATGATAGTTGAATTTTACAAAGCTAAATCTGAAATCCACTACAAAATATTAGAAATACTTTATAAATATTTGAAAGTAAGTTAGGTTATTACTATATATTTATTTTAGAATTATAAGCAACATGATTGTTCCTAGATACTTATTTTATGGTAACAGCTCCAGTTTTAATATCAGTGGGTTATAACATAAATGTGTACTGTATATTAAAATTTTTTCTTAATCAGAATATTTACTTAACTAGAAATTCATAGGTAACTCTATTAATTATTAGAATTTGCTATATTTATCTTGTCATTGAACCTCAAGACCCTGATATCAGTGCGATGCTTATATATAAGGGCTTCCTGTAGAATTACTCACCAGTAATGAATATCCATGTTTTGTAGAAATGTAATTGAGATGTCAGATATTTTTATCCTATTCAGCTCTGTAAGGAAATAGGAGTTTCTGACTTAAAAATAATACATTGGTTAATCTTAGTATAAAGGAGAGAAAAATAATGATTTGTGTTATTGATATGCCTCCACAGGAAGACTATTTAATTAGACTTTATGAGGATATTAAATAAAAGAATAATTGTTGTGTCTTCCTTGCTAATAACTTTATAATAATAATGGTAGAAGCAAATATCAAATTATTGTAATTATGTAAATTTTCATTGTTAAACAAATATTAATTCATTTAGTTTGTTTGACCCTGTGAAGGAAGTGCCATTTCTATTCTCATTTTTTAAATAGTAATTTAAATGTTGGTTGGTACCATACTGTTAATTTTTTATTTTTTTGGTGGTTTTATTTTAGGATATGATGACACCTATAAATTTGGGGAAAAAGACTATTTATTTAGTTTCATTCTTTGAAGGCTTACAACGCATTATTTTATTCACTGAAGATCCAAAGGTATTTAAAGTGACATATGAAAATGAGAAAGCAGAATTAGCAGAGCAAGAAATTGTGTTGGCATTACAAGATGTTGGACTTTCTCTCGTCAACAATTACACAAAGCAAGAAGTAGCCTATATTGGCATTACAAGGTTAGATGCATTACAATTTGAGTATAATCAGTTCTTTATCATTAAGAATGGTGATTGTAAAATCTGAAATAATTTAGTTTAACATCTTTGTTTTGATTTAGCCATGATACTAAGATAATGCTAATTATAAAGTGCTTGTGAGATTTTTTTTTGCCCTTGAGATAAAGATATGTGAAAAATCAAATTTATGAGTCCCTTTTTATATTGCTTTGCTCTTAAAAAGTTAGACTTATTCAACTTATCAAAAGTCTACTTTCTTTATTTAACATGCCTAATGTTATCCCACCACCATGCAGGGTATGTTGATGCTCCTTAAATAGTGGTTCAAGGAATAAAGACAATCACATTCTAATTTGACCTTAAAACTTTAAGATCTAATAAGGTAATATTGATTTTATTATTCCCCAAATAAGTCACCATTAGTAAAACTTTGTTTTCCCTATGCCCTTAATATTTCCATTTATAAATACTTAAAATAAATTTATGTGTATTAGTACCTAATTTGAGAGTATTGCTGGATTCCAGTTTGTATAACCTGGATCTTTTAACTTAAACTAATGTACAGATACATGTGTACTAGAGGCCCAATGCACAAAGATTCATGCAAGAATGGGCCTTCCTTCCCTTGGCTGCCAGCACCATCTTTGCTCTGGCCAAAGCCACCTTTTTGCTCCGGCCCTGAGCTGCCTTTCTGCCTTCCCACACTGCCCAGGGGCCTGGAGCAGCCAGGGGTGGTGTGGAACATCTGTGTTGTCACCATGGTGACAACACAAGCATCCTGCCCTGCCCCCGGCTGCTTGGGGTTAATTTGCATGCTCACTCCTGATTGGCTTGTGGCATTGTGAAGATACTGTCAATTTGTATCTTACTCTTTTTAAGTGTAAATATCTTTATAAACTATGTGTAATCCAGATTTAAATTTATTTTTCTTATAAATGCATCTAGAAATGTCCCTAACTCTTCATTGACTAGAATATATTCTAAAAGTGATATATAAATATTATTTCTAAAAAAAAGTTTATTTTTTAAACAAAAATGTCAAATAGACAACCTATTATAGGTTATGTCCTATGCTATGGTGTGAATGCAAGTGGGAGTAACACATGGTTCCTATCTTTTTTTAAATTAAGTGAATATAAATTTTAGAAGGAATAAACAAATAGAGTACTTAATAAAATTAAATAACTTACATTCTAAAACAGAGTGAAGTAGTTTTAGAATGTGGGTAGATTTTTTGTTCTATATTTAATTCTTTTGGTAATTTTTTACTGAGATAGATTTGTTTCATTAATTCTCTCATTTTCTTAGATTGTTTCACACTCTTTTTAAACCCCATTCCCTCTCTAAGCTCCCTGCCTTGCATCCCATTTCACTGAGAAAATTGAAGCAGTCAAAAAGGAACTTTGAGTCGAAACCAGTTTGGCTAAGTGGTGGAGCGTCGGCCTGCGGACTGAAAGGTCCCGGGTTCGATTCCGGTCAAGGGCACATCCCCAGTGGGGGGTGTGTAAGAGGCAGCTGATCGATATTTCTCTCTCATCGACGTTTCTAACTCGATCCCTCTCAATTCCTCTCTGTGTAAAATCAATAAAATATATTTATTTAAAAAAAAAAAAAAAAAAAAAAGAACTTTGAGCCTTAGCCAATTTGACTCCTCAGGTTAGATTCCAGTCAAGGGCATGTACCTTGGTTGCACACTCCAGTAGGGAGTGTGCAGGAGGCAGCTGATCGATGTTTCTCTCGTCGATGTTTCTAACTCTCTATCCTTCTCCTTTCCTTTCTGTAAAAAGTCAATAAAATATATTTTTTTAAAAGGAACTTTCAAAGACCCATCCCCCAATATCAACTTCCTACTCACCAGCATTTATTACCTGTATATTATGCTGACATACTTATCCACAGTTATCATAGATGTATCATATGTGCTATTTAAAACAAATTTTTCTGCTTTTGTATTATATTCTATTCCCTTTTACTTCTTGAGACACTGATCTAGCAGTTCTCTTTTTTCTTTCTCTTGTCCACAATTTCTGACTCTATTTTGGATTGTTCCCAACAGTGTTATTTCTCTCAACTTAAAATTTTTTTCTCAATACTGCTTTCACTGCTACCTACTGTCTATTTCTTTGCTTCCTTTTATAGCCAAGCTGCCCAAAAGTGTTGTTCATGACAAGAGTTAAATATATTCACTACATTCAGTTATTTTTTACCCATTTTTTTCTTTGTCACTCCCAATAGGCTTTGGCTCTCAATGTTCCTTGAAATTGGTGTCAAGATCACTCTAGGGATGTGTATATTGCCAGGTCCGAAGTACAATTTCCAGCCCCCTTGTTACTTAAAAGTTCATTACATTTAATGCATATTCCTTCTTTGAATGACCTCCAGGATTCCTTACCTTGATTTTTTTTCCCCTCCCAACATTCTCAGTCTCATTTTTTGGTTTCTTGTCTTCTCCATTGGGTGCCCTGAGGCTCTCAAACTGAATCCTCTTCTCTGTTTCAATTTTATGATTTCAAATAACACATATATGCTGAATTTTCTAGAAATACCTCTTCAGCCAGATTTTTCTTCTTGAACTCCAAGCGTGTATATCCAGCTGCCTACTTAAAATTCATACTAAAATCTAAGTGACTTATCTATCTATATAAATCCTTAATATGCAAATTGAACAGTGGAACAACCAGTCGCTATGATGCGCACTGACCACCAGGGGACAGACTCTCAATACAGGAGCTGCATCCTAATGGTCAGTACACTCCCACAGTGGGAGCTGGGCTCATGGCTGGCAAGCGCAGTGGTGGTGGTGGAAGCCTCTCCCACCTCCACAGCAGCACTAAGGAGAGCAAGCCGAGCAGTAAGGAACAGCCAGCAGGCAGTCCTAAGCCAGCAGGCAGACATCCCCCGAGAGCTCCTGGACTGCCATAGGGGTATAAGCTAGGCTGAGGTACCTCCCTCTTCTCCCTCCTCCCCCAGTGCACGAATTTCATGCACCAGGCCTCTAGTACTTTATATGGGTTTAACACCCATTTCCTGATATTCTTCCAAGTCTACCTCCTCATTGAAGTTAATGACAATTACATCCTTCTAGTTGCTCAGGCCAAAAGTGTTGGAATACTTTTGTTCCATCTCTTTATTTCACACACCACATTTAATCCATCTAGAAGCTATGTGCTAGCTCTACCTTCAAAATACACATAGGATCTGACCACTTTTCACTACCTCAGTTTTGTTACCCGAGGCAGAGCCCTCACCATTTCTCTCCCAGCTTACTACATTAAACTCCTAATAAATTTTTCTGCTTCTAGCCATCATTCCCTTTTTCTTTTTCCCCTATCCTAGCAGTATATTTCTAACAAAGCTTAAGTTAGATTGTGTCATTGATCTCATAATCTTTTAACTGTTATTCATCTCAGAGTAAAACTCAAAGTCTTTACAATATCCTACAACACTTTCCCATTATTTGGCCTTTGTTTTACTTCATCTTCTACTCTTCTTTAAAAAATCCTCACCTGAGCATATTTTTCCATTGACTTTTACGGATAATGGAAGGGATGAGTACAGACAAAAAGAGAGAAACATTGATGTGAGAGACACATGGATGGGTTTCTGCCCACACACTCTGTCCACTGAACCAAACTGGCTAGGGCTCAGCTTCTATTCTTAATGTGTTCCAAGTATGCCTGTCTCCTTGCTCTTCTTCATATACTAGAAGCATGCTCACAGAGTCTTTGCTCTAACTAGTCCCTCTACTTGAAATGTTCTCCCATTGTCTTCTGGATAAATTCCCTGATCTTTAAGTTCTTGAAATCTCACTTCCATGACACCCCTGTTGACTGTTCACTTTTAACACTGCAACCCCACAACTTTGCATATCCCAATACTCCATATCCACCTTACCTTGTCTACTTTTTCTTCTTTCAAAAGCATTTCATCTCCTAATATATTAAATATGCTAATTTACTATATTTAGGACGTTCTTTTTATTACTCCTCAGCTAAAATGAAGCTAAAGAATAGTAGTGATGTACACTGCTAGTATTCCTACTGGAATGGTGCCTAGGTAGGAATTTAATGTAATTGGTTGAGTTGAGGATATTGCAAAATTTTTACTCAAGATTTTGTAATTCATGTAATAAACCAGTTAAAATGAAAATGTATATAAATTAGTACCATGATTTTTATTTTCATATATAAGTTCTGATGTGGTTTGGGAGACAAAACCCAAGAAGAAGGCAAGATGGAAGCCAATGAGTATAAAACACACTGAGAAGTTAGAGAAAGAATTTAAGGAATATACTGAATCTTCACCTTCAGAAGATAAGGTTGTTGAGTTGGATGCTAATATTCCGGTAATATTTTTAAGTCCTGATATGAAGTTTTAATTTTTATCTATTGTAATTAGATTAATCGCTAGTTAATATTTAAGCAGTTTTGTTTCCTTACATAACAGTGAATGCTATTATATATATATACTTAATATAAAATATTAAAAACTCAGACTTTCTCTTGAGATACTAGTGATCTATTCCTTGGTTAACAAGCCAGTAACTTTTTACTTTTTAATTATTTATAATGTTATTTTATATTTATCACTTGTTTGGGGTAAATTTTAGTAAATTTACATAAAAAGTGATACAACCAAGCTCTAAGGAATAGTTGAATATTTTTTGTGAATTCTATGGATATGTGCTATAAAGTTCTCATTCTAAACCTAATTGAATATTTAGCCTATTATTTTAATTAATATTTTTTAAATTTTGGTACACATTTCTAATTTTAATCAGTTATGAGTAAAAAGAAATTCCATGTGTTTTTTTGGGGGGTGCCATATTTTTCAGGTTCGCTTTACACCTAGTGGCAATAACATGAAAATTCTGCAACCACATATAATAGCTATACGAAGAAATTACCTGCCAGCATTAAATGTGGAATATAATACATCTGCACATCAATCATCATTTAGAATTCAAATTTATAGAATACAGGTGAGTCTGAATAGATAGTAAAATTATATTATAAAATAAACTAATTTATTCCCATGGTCTGTTTTAATACTTCCATTTCAGTGTGGAACTAGACTTTTTGATTCCCTCTTCTTAAATCTTGTTATTCTAGTCAGGTTCTATAACTAACATATGAATATACTAACCTGGGGTTTTTGTTTTTGTTTTTGTTTTGTTCTTTAGATCCAAAACCAGATACATGGTGCTGTGTTTCCATTTGTATTTTATCCTATTAAGCCTCCCAAGTCAGTCACCATGGATTCAGGTTTGTCTATATCTTTAGATTGCTCTAAAAATGGTTGTATTAACTGTTTGGTTTATTTTACTATAATAATATGAAATGAAACCATTTTACTCAACTAATTTCAACAGAACTCTTATTGAATACTGAAGAAAAGAGTAATTAAAAAAATATATTTTAATGTTAAATGCTACTTAAAAAAATTAAGGTGTTTAAAACTGATTTAAAAGCCACTTTTAAATGAGACCTTTGAGTAAACTGTGATGAAGTTCAAATTCAGACTGTTTTCTAACCACAGGAACTGCCCTAATCCCCAAATGAGAATGATTACAAAGCCTTTCTTCCATTTTTCTCTTCCCTTCACCTTCTTTTTTTGCTGTTGCTCTTCCCTTCACTTTTTCTCCCCTTCCCACTACCCTGTCCCCTCTTTCCTTTCTACAGCCATTTTCATACCACTGACTCTAAACTATCTAAAGGAGTATTCATAATCTGCTTAGAAGTTTATTGACCACTATAAATGCCCAAACCCTTTCACCTAGAAGTCAAGGGCAAGATCCTGAAATCTGTGTTTCCACAAAGTTTCCCTGGTGGTTCTAATGCTTGCTTTTAATTTAAAGAATTAGCAATCCTAAGAGGGAGTATAAATAATTTAAAAACAAAAACAAAAACAAAAAAACAATCCTGGAATCTGAAATTAGGACTGTAATGGGTTATGCAAATATTAGTAATTTTAATTGATATTCACCATTTAGTAAATAATTTAGTTATCCATGGTGATGTGTATTATATGGTAAGAAAATGCTGCTTATCTTTCTTTTAAAGCATCATGGGATTAATCATATTTATTACCCTTTACAGCACCCAAGCCCTTTACAGATGTCAGTATTGTCATGAGATCTGCAGGGCATTCCCAGATATCACGTATTAAGTAAGTGTCCTAGTATATTTCTTGTGTATTTATTTAATGTTTTGGTTTAAATTGTACTCTTAAAAAAAAGTAAATTTCAAATAAGTCAAAGATTTAAATGTACAATAATAAATTATAAAGGTCATAGAAAATGTCTATTAATTATTTTATAATTGTGGAGTTTCAGAAGGCTTTAAATAAAAGACATGTAGGTATTAAATAGTTATTCTAAATTATGAGCATCTTATTATTTTCCTTTTTGTTTATTTGTTTTCTCAAGTTCTCTATAATTGCTGCACATTGTTAGAAACAAGAGAGAAAATCGTGTTTTCAAATTCAGTCACTACCCAGTCCTAGAAATCTTACATTTATAGAAATATTCATCTATGTATTATTCCCTTATTTCTTGTTTTCTTTGCCCTATTACCAAGACAAACATTATTCTCTTGCTTTTTTCTTTTTTAAATCCTGAGGATTTTCCCCCCATTTATTTATTTATTTATTGAGAGAAACATGGATGTGAGAGACAAATATCCATTGGTTGCCTCCTGCAAGCGCCCAACCAGGGATCGGATCCACAGCTTCAGTGCGTGCCCTAACTAGGAACTGAACCCACCAGCCTAGGTATATGGGTCAGTGCTCCAACCAACTGAGACACACTGGCCTGGGCTATTCCCTTACTTTCCAAATTATAGTTTTATTATAATTTAAATAATGTCTATCTAATGTGTACCTAAACATTATGCTTCTTAGTTTCCCTTTTTCCCCATAAATAAAAATTTTTTCCAAACTGTACAATAATCCTTGGACTTTTTTTTAAAAATTAAGCTTTTTACTAAAATGTATTCATTTTGTTGTATGTAGCTAGAGTTTACCTATAAATACTAATAAATAATGTTAAATGACTGTATACCACAATTTACTTATAGATTTCCTCTCCATAGGCATTTTCATACTTGTGTTTGTTGCTATTATGAACAGTGTTGCCATGACATTCCTCTAGAAAGTTCTAAGTTTTAACATTCTAATATTTAATACTTTATCTAATTTTCTTAATACTGTTAATTGATGACATTTAATATTTTCTACTTTGTAATATAGATACTTCAAAGTGTTGATCCAAGAAATGGATCTCAGGTTAGATCTTGGGTTTGTCTATGCACTAGCAGAACTTATGACAGAAGCTGAAGTAACTGAGAAAACGGAGGTAAGACTTAAAATAATAAATAATAGCATTGACGGTAAGGATTAGAGAACAACAAACTGAGAAAAATGTTAACTCTCCTGATAAATTCTTAAAATGTTAAAAATGGCTTTGTTTCATTTTAAAAATATTTTTATTACGCTGCTCTGGTGAGTACATTGGCAGAAATCATTTTTTCAGATTATACAAGACACGAATAGTCTTAAGCAAGACTATATAGACGCAAGACAAGTTAAAATAGCCTTTAAAAGTGAGATAGCAAATAAGAGGAAAGGTTTTTAGACAATAGTTAGAGGAAGAGGATAATCAGTCAAGTTCACATTACTGGTGTGTGTGTTTTTTTTTTTGTTTTTTTTTTTTCAATTTTACTTTTCTTGTTTACTTTTGTTTAGATTAATAATTTAGAACAGCGATTTTCAACCAGTGCACTGGGGCACACTGGGGTGCTGTAAGAATTGTAAAAATGTGCAATATTTGACTATTAAAAAAAAATAAACACCATTATTTATTACAATACAAAAGTAAATGGGTTAGATTAGTGGCCTTTTTGAATAAAATCTATAGTTGCATAAGGAAAAGCTTAGCATCTTTTAATGAAATGGATAGAAACATAGAAGATACGCTTATTAGTTTATGAATGACAGAACTTTCCTAACAAAAGAAATATTAGTTTCTATCCTGAGGCAGTATCATCCTAATTATGAATGATCTTGGATCTAAATTTTATAGGGGAGTATTCTGCAGTGTGTGAGCTATTGGCTTAACTATTTCCTGAAGATAGGTCCCTTAAGTTTTTAATATTTTATGTTCCTTTATAGGTTGAACTTTTTCATAAAGATATAGAAGTTTTCCAAGAAGAATATAAAACAGTTTCATTAGTAGATTCATCACAAGTCAGTCTCTATGAATATTTTCATATATCTCCTATCAAGGTAGGGGAAAGTAAATTATTTTTATTATCTATGATAATCTATTATAGGTAATAAATTTAATGGGTCTGTTGGGTAGGCATAAAATTTAAATTATATTCTTTGATAGTTTATAAATTCTGTAACTTCACAATTGCAAATATAAATAACAAACAATAACCCTTGAAAAATTTTATTCTTAAAATAATTTCTCCATATGGAACTAATACTGGAGCTACCCACAGCATGTGTTTTATATGTTTATGTGTATATTTCTTGACCTAACAGATTTCCTTAGTGTTAAGGTATTTAATGACAATTTTCTAAATTTTACGTATGATGTATGTGTAAATTTTTTAAAATTGAGTTGTAATTGATACATTAAATTTCAGGTGTACAATGTAATGATTTGATATTTGTATAGACTGTGAAATGATCATCACAATATATCACCATCTGTCTGTATACAGTATTATATTTTAATTTTTTTGTGAGGAGAACTTTTAAAACTCATCCTTTAGCAACTTTCAAGTATGCACTACAGTACTAACTATAGTGTATACATTTTAATTTATAAATTAATCTTAATTTAAGTTTTGAAGATTGGATGTAACTAAATATAAGTTCTTAACACAAAGTTTTCATGAGTTACTTACAGAATACTTGAATTATTGTATATCTGAGTATACAGCATGTATAATATATGCATACAGTACAACAGTGCTTTTTAACATCCTGCTAACTTAGTTCTAATAGTTGAAACATTCATTTGTGGAGATATTTACTTCAACAACTTTAACTTCTAGATTATTGTCACTAAAAATGTATAAAAGTTGATATTTTCCTAGATTTACCAAAAGAACTGAATTGAACTAAATATATCATTATACATTGCTGAATTTAAAATTTAAAAAGAACTGTATTAGATTTAAAATCTTTTAAACTTTTCACTTACTAAATTTGCCACAGTCTTATTAATTTTGAAATTTTATTTGTGGTGTAGTGACTTTAAAATAAAATTGGATATTAAAAATGAATATTATCATTATGAAGGTACTGATTTAAATATTTATCTCTATCTTTTTAGTTGCATTTAAGTGTTTCACTGAGTTCGGGTAAAGAAGCAGCTAAAGACTCAGAACAACACGAAGGATTCATTGCAATTAGTTCTTTAAATCTCTTGCTGAAGAGTATTGGCGCCACTCTTACAGATGTACAAGATGTAGTTTTTAAGTATGTTTAAACTCAAATCTATAAATTGATGAAAAATCCATTTTATATTCACACAAAAATTTATAAGTGAAAAATGTGTAATGTACACTGCAGAGCTTAGGCACAATATGGTTTTGCTATTAAGTGTAAAATAACTTAGGTACCATACACCTGTTAATCCTTAAATTTTAAAAAACAAATTACTTGTTAAGTAATTTCCTTTAAAAATAGAGACAGGAGTCATACATGTTGGTACACTCCTTAAAGCTTGTCTGGTCTAGGGAAGAATTCTAAGCAGCTGTGTGTGCCTAAAAGATGTGACTCTAAGGCCTATGAGATCAAGACTCTTTAAAGTATATGTGGCTAGAAAAAATGAATATCATGACAGGGGGAATGAAGGGATCAGTTTAAATGCTACCATTAGGAACTTATGTCATTGTGGGAGCTATTAGATAGAGTATCTGACCAAAAAGAGTCCAAGTCTGAATGGAGACCTCAGATAAGAATGCCCTTTTCAATTACCACCTCGAAATGTTACTAAAAATAGAATCAGTGAGGCCAGTAAGAGATATCTCTAAGTCCAGGTAAAGTTAGGTAACAGTCAAATTAAAGAACATAGATTTGAAAACATCACATCAGGAATAAAGTGAGAATTCTAATCTTGCTACTATCTTATCTACTAGAATAGAGATTCCCAAGTAGTTGATTGGGTGTATGATGGGAACATGTTATAAGTAAACATATCGTCATTTCTCTGCGGTCAGCTGTTCAGGCAGGCCCTGCAGCAATGAACCCTGGTCATTCTTGAGCAACCACTGACATTTATCTCAGTGTGTTCAACATTTTCTATGTGGGCCATGTTAGGACAAAGTTGACAAATGTAAGTTCATGTCCATGGATCCAAGGGCTCTCTGATCCTCTAAATTATGTGGAAAATGTGTGTATGTTAGTGGCTTTTCTGAAGGTAAGATCCATAGCTTTCACCAGATTTTTAGAGCTTTTCTAATCAGAATGTGCAGAGATATATGTAAAAGAGTAGGTTTTCTGGTTGGCATAGGGAAAGACTGAAGGAAAAGATTTAGAGAAAAATTCTAAGGAAAATAAAAATCTTAAGTATCCTTCCTCTCTGCCTATCTTCCTCTCCTCATGCACATACCTACATTTTTAATGTGGTTTCTTTTTCAGGCTTGCATTTTTTGAACTCAACTATCAGTTTCATACAACATCTCAACTGCAGTCTGAAGTAGTAAGACACTATTCAAAACAGGTTTGTCAGATTATTTTACAAAGGGGCAGAGTGATATAAAATAGTGAAACTGTCTGTACCTATATAATATAGATTTGGCAAGGAAGTTAATAGCCATTTTCAAAAATTTAAGGCATGTTTTTTTATTTTCAGAATTGTAGAAAGAGGCTCTGGCCAAGTAGTTCAGTTTTTAGAGCTTTATCCCAATATGCCAAGGTTACAAGTTTGATCCCCTGTCAGGGAACATATATGAATCAACCAGTGAATGCATAAATAAGTAGAACAACAAATAGATGTTTCTCTCTCTCTCTTGTAAATTCAATAAATAAAAATTAAAAAAAAAAAGAATGGCCATATCAATTTTCTGTCCTTCTAATTTTTAGCTGTGTTCCAAATCTTTTCTGAAACAATGTAGAATACACATAAAACTTTAAATAAAATATTAATTTACCACACTTACTTAAAAAAAATAGGTTCAGGGGAAACTATTAGTAACTGATGAACACAGTTGATTTTTAAATATATTTTTATTGATTTTAGAGAGGAAGGGAGAAAGAGAGAAGCATCAATGATGAGAGAGAATGATTGATTGGCTGTCTCTTACACACCCCCTACTGGGGATTGAGCTCAAAATTTGGACATGTGCCCTTGTCTGGAATTGAACCTGGGACCCTTCAGTCCATAGACCAATACTTTCACACTGTGCCAAACTGGCAAGGGGGAACACAGGATAATTTTCAATGTAATTGAGTTACTAAGTCTGCTAGAAATATTATTTTAGTGAATTTTTTTCCTCTACATTGGAAAGACTCCAGTATCCTAATAGATAAAAACCCTGGGTCCATCACATCCACAATGACCCGGAGGTTCAACCAATCGGAAGTCAATCTTGCAGTCAGCTATGGCTGCATGCAGAGTGACCTAACACTGATTGCCGAGGAGGCTATGAATCAGACCCAAAGACAGGCCTGATCCATAGTCTTTGTGGCAACTGTTGATCAGCACTTGCCTCTCTCTTTCTTTCCCTCCCTAGTCAGCAGTAATGCCTTCATTTCTCTCCAGGCCTCTACTGGGGCTGCTGATCAGCCCCCCAGAGATGCTGACTGGCATAGAAACTGACCAATCAGAACCAAATCTGGGTCAACTGTGAGGAGCCAATGGCTGCCTAGGAGGCAGAGCTTTTGACACTGGCATAGAAACCGGCCACTCGGAACCAAATTGGCCGGCAGGGGAGGGCATTTGGGGCGAGATCAGGCCTGCAAGGGAGGGCAGTTGGGGGCAACCAGATCGGCAAGGGAGGGCAGTTAGGGGTGACTAGGCTGGCAGGGAGGGCAGTTAGGGGCAATCGGGCTGGCAGGGGAGCAGTTAGGTATTGATCAGGCTGGCAGGGGAGTGGTTAGGGGTGATCATCTGGCAGGCAGAATCGGTTAGGGGCAGTCAGGCAGGCAGACAGGTGACCAGTTGGGAGCCAGCAGTCCTGGATTGTGAGAGGGATATCCCCTGAGGGTTCCCAGATTGGAAAGGGTGCAGGTTGGGCTGAGGGACACACACCCTCCCCCCGACCATGCACAAATTTCATGCATGTGCCTCTAATTTTTATATAACTTACAGGGCATCTTAGACAGCTGTTGAATAGTGGATAGATCACTGAGCATGACTCAAGAGGTCGGGGTTTGAATACCAGATTTTCCATTCAACCTCTGTCTGGCATTATTTGATCTGTCTATTTCTCCAGCCTATAAAATAATGGTAGTATTAGCAACTTTCACACATAGTTTTAAAAGAATAAGTATTTTGAATATTCTAAAGTATTTAACTCACTCATTATTTCTGATATTCTAACACTGAATTACATTTAAAAACTGTGACTAGTGACGAATAAGGTAATATATGGTTTAGGTGTTGAAATTGATGATGAGTGTATTTAGTCTGAAAAATCGGATGTGTGTACTAAGTTTAAGAAAAAATATTAAGTCTGATAATCCAAATTAATTAAAATTTATATTTTCTTTTTAGGCCATTAGGCAAATGTATGTACTCATTCTTGGACTTGAAGTTTTGGGAAATCCTTTTGGCTTGATTAGAGAATTTTCTGAAGGTGTAGAAGCATTTTTTTATGAACCTTACCAGGTAAAACAGTTACTCCTACATTGTGCAACATATCACACTAATACTGTTGAAAAAATATTGCATTCCAATTGTTAACTTGAATTGTAGATGTAAATAGATTTTGTGAGCCACAAAGGAACATTATTTTGCAGCAAACAGTGGTAACAACTTTTGAGAAATGTGGGAGGAAATTTTTACCTTTCCCCTCACATTTTAAACTTAAGACTTTAAACAAATATACTGAATTTTAAGTGTTCTGATATAAAATTAAAAGTGGATGAACTTCACACTCTAGTAGAAAGTTGAATTAACTTGCAACACTTAATCCTTTTCACTTGTAATATTATAAAATATTTGAGACTTCTGTTATGGGAAGTTTTCTCCGGTTGTCACTTTCTCAGGCTCATCCCTTCCACCCCCCGCTGCTATTTTCTTCATATCAATTAGTGCACTTTTAAAAGTAAACATAATCTTACTTGTTGTTTGACCCCTTAGGGAGCCATCCAGGGTCCTGAAGAGTTTGTGGAGGGAATGGCACTAGGACTGAAGGCATTAGTTGGTGGAGCTGTTGGTAAGAAACAGAATGCCCTCGTGAATATGATTTGCTGGAAAGTAATGATATATTTGCTCTCACTGAAGATATGTTCATTTCTCCTAGGTGGATTGGCTGGTGCTGCCTCCAAAATCACTAGTGCTATGGCTAAAGGGGTAGCAGCTATAACTATGGATGAAGACTACCAACAAAAGAGGAGAGAAGCCATGAACAAGCAACCGGCTGGTCTTAGAGAAGGCATCACTCGTGGAGGAAAAGGCTTAGTTTCTGTAAGACATTTCCCAGTGTTGTGAATATTATAAGAAATACCTATTTTATTATTATTATTGTTATTGTTATTATCATTATTACTTTTGAGGCCTGGTGCACAAAATGCACGCATGGGTAGGGTCTCTAGGCCTGGCTGGTGATCAGCCTATTGGGGCCTTCTGTCTGCTGCCTGGGGCCTTCCTTTTTTCCTTACCACCCCCTCATGGTCAGCGTATATCATAGCAAGCAATTGAACGCCTGGTCTCCTAGTTGAACTCCCTAGGGGACACTTTGCATATTAGCCTTTTATATATATACTAGAGGCCCAATGCATACAATTTGGGCATGGAGGATCCGTCAGTTGGCCTGCACCCTCTCACATCTGAGACCCCTCGGGGGATATTTGACCGCTGGATCAGGCCTAAACTGGCAGTCGGACAAGCCTCTTGTAATCCAGGACCACTGGCTTCTACCTGCTTGCCTGCCTGCTTGCCTTATCATCCCTAACTATCTCTGTCTGCCAGCCTGATTGCCCCCTAACTTACTCTCCCCTGCTGGCCTGATTGCCCCTAACTGTCCTTCCCTGCCAGACTGATTGCACCTAAATACCGGCTTGATCATCCCCTAACTGCTCCCCACTGCTGGCCTGATCACCCCTAACTGCCTCTGCCTCTGCTTCTGCCCCTGCCCCTGCCACTGCCATCATAGCACTAGTCCAGAAGGATGTCTGGAAGATGCACAGTCTAATTAGCATATTACCCTTTTCTTAGTATAGATTATTAGTATAGATATAGATTATTATTTTAAAGATTTGTGGGATTTTTAAAGTTGATTTCAGAGAGGAAGGGAGAGAGGGAAGGAGAAATAGAGAAACATCAGTGCTGAAAGAGAGTCATTGATCGGCTGCCTTACTGGGGATTTAGCCCACAACCTGGGCATGTGCCCTGACTGGGAATCAAACCACGATCCCATGGTTCCTGGCTCAACACTCAACCACTGAGCCACTCCGGCTGGGCAGAAATATATTTTAAAGCCATATTCTGTGAATAAGGAAATAAATATATAATTTACACTCCTTCAGGTATTATTTGCATGTTGGAGGAGTAATGTGTTGCGGCTTATATAAAATATGTTAGTAACCTCCAAAAACATTCTGTTTAAATAAAATAGTTAGGAAATACGTTAATTTCTATGATATCTAGAAAGCACAACTCTGTATTTATTTTTTAGTTTTTTGTAAACCAGATTTGGTTCGTCAAGTCATTGTGTGAAACTGTTATAAATTTTAAATTGTGCTTTCCTTTTAGGGTTTTGTAAGTGGCATAACAGGAATTGTTACAAAACCAATCAAAGGCAAGTATAATAGTTTCTTTAGGTAATATATATTACCAAGTGTTTTACAAGTTGATTAAATTTTTACTCTTAATCCAGTTGTCTAAATCTTTGTCTTTTTTATTTCTAGGAGCTCAAAAAGAAGGAGCAGCTGGTTTCTTTAAAGGTGTTGGGAAAGGTTTAGTTGGAGCAGTGGCAAGGCCAACTGGAGGCATCATAGACATGGCTAGCAGTACATTTCAGGGAATAAAAAGGTAAACTTTCTTTGATGTAGGGTATGAGTGAAATGCTTAAACCATGAGAAATGAAATAAATCTGCTATTTGGCTTGAGGCACTCAGTTATAAAACCTGAAATATGACAAGTTGCAGATGATCTTCCTAATTCCTTATGATATATTTTTTAAGTTGTTGCCATTGCATCACTTCAACTTGATAGAATTTTTTTTGTATTTGTCATCCATTCCCAGTAGCCTTGGCAGAAAAGGTTTGACAAGCAAGCTTTTTCATTATCTTTTTCAGAATACATTACAATAATGTAATGCTATGTGTCATTTATAATATTAGCAAATATTATATTGTTGCCCATTCATCTTATATAAGAGCATTGATTTAAAATCATGGATTTATCAGAGGAATTATTCCCCCCTCTTCTTAGAACACTCTTCCTTCTGTTGTTAGCATGGTCACTTTCTTTATTCAGAAGTTGTCTTCCCAATGGGGCCTTACATTGCCATCCTAAAATTTCAATTTATTCCCTATCCCCACCTCAGATACTTCATATCTCTTTTCCCTACTTTATTTTTTTTTTTCTCTTTAGCTCTTATTACTGTTTAACACACAGCATATTTTCCCTTGTTTAGTTGTCTCTCCTGCTAGTATGTAAATTCTATGAATGCAGTGGCTCTTGTTTCCAGGGACTTCAAATATTGCTTGATACGTGGTAGTCTTTTTTTTTTAAATTGAGATTATTGTAAAGTCAGGAAATAATGCAGATTCTTCATACACTATACTAGTATTGTTTCCTATGGCTGTTGTAACAAAATATCACAAACTTGATGGCTTAAACCAGTGGTGGGAATGCCTGACCAGAGGGCTATATAAGGCCCTCAAAATCATTTGGCTTGGCCCTGTCAATCATTTGGTCTGAGGGGACTCAAAATTCAATAAATCTAGGAGCTTTTCTCATGCAGCATCCTCCTATATAATAAAGAGGTAATATGCAAATTAACCCTCATACCAGCACAAGATGACTGCCTATGACCAGGCCAGCAGGGGGGTTAGGGATGACCAATGACTGAACAAACAAGTTGCATGGGGCAGGGGGGTTAGTGAGGGACAACCAAATGACTGAACAGCAGGCTGCGTGGGGTTACCAGGCAGGGAGCGGGGGCCCGTGAGGAGCAACCAGGCTGGCACGGAGTGCAGTTGGGGGCAACCAGGCCATCAGGGGGTGGGCAGTTAGGGGCAAACAGGCTGGCAGAGGGGGACAGTTAGGGGATGACCAAGCCTGGGGGGGACAGTTAGGAGCAACCAGGCCATCAGGGAGGGGGCAGTTGGGGACAATCTGACCAGCAGTGGGGGGCAGTTAGGGGCCATCAGGTCAGTGTGTGTGGGGGGGGGGGCAGTTGGAGGTGATGAGGCCCGTACATAGAAGCAGTGAGGGGCAATCAGGCAAGGAGTGGGGGGGGGGGTAGTTAGGGATAACCAGGCAGGCAGGCAGGCAAATGAGCGATTAGGATGTCTGACCACTGGGTCTCAACCGACAGTAGAACATCCCCCAGGGGTCCCAAATTGGAGAGGGTGCAGGCTGGGCTGAGTCCTTCCCCTCCAGTGCACAAATTTCATGCACCAGGTCTCTAGTAAATTTATATTAAGTGAGTTATATTAAGTGAATTATGTTATAAATATTCAAATGGCTGTTGGCAGAAAGAAAGGTTTCCCACTCTTGGCTTAGCTTTCTTGATAGCATTTTTTATTAAGTCTAATTTATCTGTATCTGTATTTGTGTTGGTTGCTTATGCTTTTGGTGTCATATATAAAAAAGCATTACCTACTCCAAGGTCATGGAGATTTACACCTATATTTTCTTCTAGCTGAATAATAGTTTTATCTTCTCAATTCAGATCTTTGATCCATTTCAATTAATTTTTGTGTATGAAGAGAGGTTGAGTTCAAATTTTTTTTTGCATGTGTATATCTAGTCCCAACATCATTTGTGGAAAAGACTATATTTTCCCCATTGACTGATCTTAGTACCATTTTCCAAAATTTATTTATGCGAAAAAGATAGCTGGGACTTTGATAAGGATTGTATTGGATGTACAATAATGTCTCATAGTTTTCAGTATGCATCTTCTTAATTATATTCCTAAATATTTTATTGTTTCAGGTGCTATTATATGTGTGTTTTTTTAAATATGTTTTTAATTATTTTGAGGTTTTAGCAAAGATAATTAGTCAAGAAAAAGAAATGAAAGGCATCCAAAACTGAAAGAAAGAAATAAAACTACCTTTATATTATGATGATATGATCTTACATATAGAAAACCCCTAATAAATTCACAAAATGACTATTAGAGATAACAAATAAATTTGGTAAGGTTGCATAATACAAGGTCAATATACAAAAAGTAGATGTATTTTTATACACTAGCAATACACAATCTAAAAATGAATGAAAATATAATAGCACTTGTCCAACTGGTGTTGCTCAGTGATTGAGCATTGAACCCATGAACCAGGAGTTCAGGGTTTGATTTCCAGTCAGGGCACATCCCCAGGTCGCAGGCTAGATTCCCAGTAAGTGTCATATGGGAGGCAGCCAACAGATGATTCTCTCTCATCATTGGTTTTTCTTTTTCTTGCCTAATTGCCTTTGCTAAAACCTCGAGTACAGTGTTGAAAAGGAGTTCCAAGAGCAGGTATCTGTCTTGCTCCTAATTTTAGGGGGAAAGATTTTATTTTTTTCTCCATTTACTCTGACATTAGCTCTGGATTTTTTGTAATTTTTTTTTCAGGTGGAGGAAGATCCCTTCTATTCGGAATTTGTTGAGTATTTTATGAAAGGATATTGGATTTTATAAAATGCCTTTTTGGTTTCAATTAAGTTGATATTGTTTGCTTTTCCCTTTGGTTTATTACTATGGTATATTACATTAATTAATTTTCATAATTGAGCCAACATACATATCTAGGATAAATTCCACTTGGTTGTGATGTATAACCCTTTTTATGTGCTGTTGGGTTTAGTTTGCTAATGTTTTTTGATGATTTTTTTTCACATATGTGTGTGTGTGTGTGTGTGTGTGTGTGTGTGTGTACATATACACATATACATACTAAAGGCCTGATGCACAAATCTGTGCATGGGTGGGTCCAGTCAGCCCTCCTTGAACCGGGCTGGCGGGTTAGGGGAAGTAAGGGATGCAGGGGGGCTGATTGGAGGTGGGGATGGGCCACGAGTGGTTGGGAGGCGCGGATCGGGAACTGATCAGGTGGTTGGCCAGTTGTTCCAGCATTCTGGTCTCTTGGCTTTTATAGATAGGTAGGTAGGTAGATAGATAGGTAGGTAGGTAGGTAGGTAGGTAGATAGATAGATAGATAGATAGATAGATAGATAGATAGATAGATAGATAGATATAAGAGACATTGGTCTGTATTCTTGTGATGTCTTTGTCTGGTTTTGGTATGAGAGTAACACTGTCCTCATAGAATGATTTCAGAAGTGTTTTCTTCATTTTTTAGGAAGAGTTCGTGGAGGATTTGTGTTCATTTTTCTTTTAACATTTGATAAAATTTTTAAAGAAGCCATGTGGATTTGACTTTCATTTTTTTATTACTAATTCAGTATGTGTGTATGTTTAATCAGTTTGTCTATTACTTCAGTCAATTTAAATCTCTTTTTCTTTGTCAGTTCAGCTAATGCTTTGTCATTTTTGTTGACTTTATAAAAGAACCAATTTTTGGTTTCATCGATTTCCTCCATTATTTTTCTATTTCATTAACTCTAATATTTATTATTTCCTTTTATCTTGCTCAATTCAGGTTTAGTTTGCTTTTATTTTTCTAGTATCTCAAGTGTTAGATTAAATTGGAGTCTTTTTTAAAAGTTCACTTTTATGGCTATAATTTTTCCTCTGAGCACTGCCTTTATTGCATCGCATTAAATTTTGGTTTGCTTTAATTCATCTGAAAGTAGTTACTTTCCTTTGTGATTTTTTTTTTTTTCATTTGGGCTTTAGTTATTTAGGCTTCTGTTGTTAATTTTCACAAGTTTGTGAATTTTCTAAATTTTCTTCTCATAGATTTCTAATTTTATTCTGTGTGGTCAATTAACATATTTTGTATGTCTCAGTACTTTTATATTTATTGAGACATGTTTTATGGCCTAACGCATAGTCAGTTCTGGAAAATGTTTCATGTACACTTAAGAAGGATATGTAATTTGCTGTTATTGGAGTGAGTGTTCTGCAGATGAGTGTTAGGCCAAGTGGGTGATAGCATTCGTACAAGTCTTCTGTTTGGTATCCACTATTGAAAATTTGATATTAAAATAAGTGTTATTGTGAATTGTTTTTTCTCTTTTCAGTTCTGTCAGTTTTTACTTTGTGTATTTAGGGGCTCTTTTGTTAAATACTTATATGTTTGTAATTTTTGAATATTTTTATGTATTTACCCTTTCTTCATAAAATGTCCTTCTTTGTGTCTAAATTTTAGTATAACCATTCCAGTTCTCTTTTGGTTACTGTTTATGTAGCATATCTTTTTATATCCTTTTACTTTTAATTTATTTGGGTCTTTAATTCTCTTATGAGCAGTGTGTGGATCGTATTTTATCCATTTTTTATCATATTTTATCTGCCAATGTGTGGGTCATATTTTACCCATTCTGCCAATCTCTGCTTTTAACTTTAGATACTATCCATATATATGTGTGTGTGTGTGTGTGTGTGTGTGTGTGTGTGTGTGTGTGTGTCTATACATGTAGACACATTGTGTGGTAAGGTATGTTTATATAATAAATTAATTTTTATTGAATGTATGAATATTTGCTGAATGAATGAACAATTCATGGACCATTCTCATATAAGTTCATATAATCAAAATGTTAAATAAAATATTACAATAGCAAATTTAGCAATGCATATATGTGTTTCAAATAATACATATCAAGCCCAAGAAGATATGTGAAGGATGTGAAGTTATTTGAACATTAGAAAACCATGTAATGTGATTTTTAGCATTTATATTGAAGAAAATAAACCATATGATCACAACAATGATCAGGGGAAAAAATTCTTATAGAACAGAATGTTGCTAATATCTGTAATTCATGGAGAACTCTTACATTCTTTCCTTTCTTTTAGGAATGAGAAAGGATGCTTGAAATCCTCTCTTATATTTAGCGTTGTACTGGAGGAACTAAGTAGTATCATAGGAAAAGAAAAATAATTTAAAGGTCTTAAAATGGAAAAGAAACAGCAATACTCATCATTTGCTGATTCTCTGATCTACAAAGAAAGTTCAAAAGATGCTATAACCAAACTTATTCACAGTACTACATTTTTCTAGAGAACTTGCATTATTATTGTCATAAAGATAAATTTTAAAAGAGAAGTATCATATTCTTATTTTATCCAAAAGATAATTCTTTTTAATTCCATTTTAAAGACGATGAATTTTGGGGGAAAACCGGTTTTTTGTTTTTGTTTTTAATTCTCACCTGGGGATATTTTCCTATTATTTTTAGAGAGAGTTGAAGGGAAGTGGGGGAGGAGGGAAGAGAAACACTAGTGTGAGAGAAACGCATCCATTGATTGCCTCTTGCAAGTGCCCCCGCTGGGTCCAGGGATCCAGGCCCATATCTGTGTCCTTGATTAGGAGTCGAATCCACAGTGTTTTGGTGCTGTAACCACGGAGCACACCAGCCAAGGACAACTTTTGAATATTTTTAAAACCAAGTTATATTTTTTTCCTCTAGGGCTACAGAGACTTCTGATGAAGTGGAGAGTTTGCGACCCCCTCGGTTCTTTAATGAAGATGGAGTTATCAGACCTTACAGGTTGAGGGATGGTACTGGAAATCAAATGTTGCAGGTGGGTGAAGAAGTATCTTATAAGTTAAGATTAATTTAGCTTTATTAAAAGTAACTATATTTAATACTTTAAACATATGTTAGATTATTTGAGCTTCTATGTTTTGCTTAATTCCATTTATAAGCTCCTTATTTTACCTAGGTTTTATTGTACATTTATTTACTATGAGATTTTTTTTTCTTTTTTACAGGCATCAAAAAGTTTGATATGAAAACAGTTAATGCATGACTTTGCAACTGAAAGCTAAGACTAGATTTTAGTCTTAAAATTTACAAACTACGTACAGCTGTTTCAGTGTTTTGAAAACAAAGAAAAGCTTTTGTATTGGTAACTTTTGTTTAGGATTTTTAGTGAATCTGATCTTTTTATAGAGTATTGTAGTTCTGTGCTGGATTTGCTAGATTTGTTGAAAACTATTGTGCGTATATACCTTCATAGTTGGTGGTATTTTTTAGCCAATGGAACCATTTCTGTTTAGGGTACTTCCTTCTCTTTATCAAACCAATAGGTGTTTTTATACCAGATATAATTCTCATGTCCAGTTAGGCATGGGTAGGGAAAAAATCAGGACCATTGCTATTCAAATTCTTAGGTTCTTGTGCTTCTCTTTTATAGATGCTCAAGTGGCCAAAACACCCTTTTTGCTTTCTGCTTGTGTCATCCATTTAAAATCTTTTGGAATTTGATAAGTAGTTCATAAAAAAGCCAACATCTTTTAGTAAAGAAAAGTAGCTTTGGGAACATAGACAGTTTGGAGGTAGAATATTTTATCTGTTACATAATTTTCTTACTAGTAAGTTGGACTTTTTAAAAATCTGGATTATATATATAAGGTAGGTAATATATACCTTAAAAATTATACCAATTTAAAAGTAGTTTGTGTGGGTTAGATGTGGAATACTAAAATAAATTATTTTTTGAAAACAAAGAGTCATTATGTTGTATAGACTTGCAAATATTCAAGGTAATAATGAACTGTGGGAATATGACTTTTCCTTTATAAAGCCTTGAAATTTTAAATACTGTCAAGTTTAAAGTGATTAGGGTAAGATTTAAAACTTTAATATTTTGCTCACTATATGCAAAGTATGTAATTTTTGCATAAAATGTGCTTTCATCTAATGTACTAAAACATAACCATTGAATTAATGTGTGATATTTAGTGAAGTGATTTTACATTGTGTTTAAAATGTTTTTAAAGCATCAAAATAATATCACATTGGGATGGAACTGGCAATCAAGTGAGAGACTGTGCTCTCAGGGGCATTTTGTACAGTCTCTGCAGTGTCAGTTTAGCCTTTAGAAGAAATGTTGGATGGAAATCCAGCAAGATGGAAATGTTGCAGAACTAACCTCTGGTTCATACATTTGAAACATATATTTCTACTTAGTATCTGCCTTCTCTTTTTAGAACACAATTAACAGGTTACTAACATTTTAGTAGACGGATTAGTTATCAAATCATCTTTAAAAAACTAAAAATATTTGAGACACTATTTTAATAAACTTATTAGGAAATAAAGATGAATGATAAGGAGAGTTTAGAAATACATTGTCATTATTAGAAAAACAGATTATAATACATAAGAAAGCCATGAGATATCAAACATTTCTTGTGATTGATAAGTTGATTTCATTGACAAGTAAATTTATTCTACACCTTCCTGGTTTTATAAAGCTTTAAACCTTGGGATTCAAGGTTGTTACTTTGACTATATTTTTAAGTATATATATTATTTTTAGTAGGTCAGTCTTGTCATTATTTGCCAAAAGAGCTATTTAAAGGTCTAAAAGCTCACAATCCTTGCCAGCCATTACTTGTTTTTCAACAAGAACAGTAAATACAATATAGCTGGAATACCTTTAGGAATTCACAAGATGCCTTAGGATGTTTGCAGTTAGCATTATTCTCTTAATAAGTGTAAGAATTGGGTTATTGCTTTGGTGGTAATAGTGCTTCTTTGAATCAAAACTCTACTGTATGACTCACTAACATTTTAAAATATATAAATACTGTGGTAAAGAATTGGATGTCATAGAAACAGGATTTAAAATCTCATCAGCTTAGATATAATCTATTTAACAGTGGTGCATTTAGAAAAATTTTAATACTATCAAATATTTCTCCTTTTATTTTCTAATTTTCTAAAAATAATGCTCTGTGTTCACAAATTCTATATGCCCCTGTATAATAATTAAATATTTAAAAACGCCACTTTTGTTATGTACCTATCTGGAAAGTAGTACATTATTATAGTGCTTCCTAATAGTAAGTTGAAGTTGCCTATTAGAGAAATAGAAAAACTTTAATGTATCCCCAGATTACCTTATTATATCATCAAACAATTTTAAATGTAGCAACCAGTAGAGTTTAGTCTTCGTCTATGTGGAATATTATATCCATAATTACTGTCCTACTCAGAACTGGTGTCTGCTTCAAAATTATTTTGATTCCTTGAACATTTCATAAGTTTGCATGTCTTCCAAGGAATTTGTCATACTTAACTAACCATTGTGCTTCTTTTTTCCTTTACCATGCTTACAGAAAATTCAGGTCTACAGGGAATGGATTATGACTCACAGTAGCAGTAGAGATGATGATGATGATGATGATGATGATGTAAATTAGTCAGATCTCAAATGTTAAAATTAATATGTTAATTTTATTTCAAAGTTTCATTAGCATGTTTTGTATGACTACTGTCATAATACCCATTAGCTCATTTTTAGCAAGTTAAAATTTTTTTTCTTTTCAAAACATTTTTTTCTACCCAGTTTCAAAAAGCAAAGTAATCTCATTATTTAAGCACAGAAAAATGTATCATACATCCAAAGTAGGGCATACTATATATTTTGTTTGTATATATTTTGTAGTTTTGTAATACAGTTTGTCTTTAAGATTTAGTTAGACTCAAAGTTTTTGTTAATGTTAACTAGTTCTATCTTACTTTAAATTTCTGTTAGCAAAATGCTGTTTTTTATGTTCTTTGTATATGTTTTGGGTTGTTGTGTAATGCCATTGTGAAAAAAGGAAGAAAGAAAAGGAAGAAAGAAAAAGGAAGAAAGAAAAACCTAATAGCTAGTCAAAATTTATATTTATTTAGCATTTTAAAAGTATTTTTGTCAGAATTATAATAAACATATAACTTGAAGCAATATGAATTTGTTATTCTATTCCAAAATCCATATAGTTTGGACTGCTATTATAAGGAACGTTTATGATTTATCACGGAAGTGATAATTTATAGTCGGAGAATGAAAAAGTTTTCTTTGGTTTACTTTTTATTTCATTTATATATATAATATATAGGGAAACAATGAACATAGTTGGTTTTATGGTCATTATATTTACTTATTAACTTACATATTTATATGCTATACCCCTATTATAAAATGATACAAATTAATTCAGGACATAGAAGTAATTTTATAGTAAACATAATTTTTTCTTGATAATATTGGGAAAATGTTATCTATGTCCCTGTGAGCAAATGTTTTATGTTTTGTGTACTGAGGGATGGTTGGTTTTCTTTTTCTTTTTTTCTTCTTCTTTTTTTTTTTTTTTTTTTTAATTTCAACTTAGTGAAAGTGTCTTGTCCTGTATATAAAATGTATTATTATTTTTTAAATCCTCTAAAAAGTGAATGACTATTGTTAGTAGAATGTTTAATCCCTAATGACTGCAGTGCTTTTGGTTCAACAAAGGAACATTTACTTTGATTCATGCTAAGCACTTTGTTCATAATGGACTTGCATTAAATTTCAGTAAATTCTTACCGTAATTATTCATTTGGGCTTGATTCAGCCAATGATGCCTGAGTATCTTCTAATTCTTAAGTTTATCAGGATTTTCTGTAAATCACTGTTTTCTATTTCTTAGAAAGTTTTTATAAAAATTTAAAATTTCCAACATTGAGCTTAGAGAAAAGGAGCTCTTTTGAAATTACTACCTGCCTAGCTTTCATTCAAATTAAATAGAAACCAAGATCATGTGTACTAGGACTAAGAAATATGTGAATAACAAAGAATTTAATTATTGTTTTCATCAAAGTAATCTTCTTGCTTTTTTAAATTTTTTTTATTTAAGTAATTGAATGTGAAAACAGTGTCCATTAAAATAGTCACTACTGGTATCAGAGACCATTTGTATTTGTCATACACTCACTACTCTTTCACCCTTGGCCAAAATAGAAGCCTTCTAGTTCTACTAGAAGCTATAAAGAATACAGCCTATTGTTATGTATTGTGCATGCCTGAGGAAGGTCTTTATTGGCTTCTTAACATTCCAACTTTGCTAGGTATAAGGCTTTTCTAAAGAGGAAATGCTAAACTACAGTCTGGTTGGCCTGTTATACTTAATTCTATGGTACAAGCTTCATAAAGATCCTTGAAATTTATCTGAAAAAGTTCTGGATATTTCAGCAGTGACATACCATTTTAATGAAGAGAAAATTGGAAGAAGGAGTATATTTATTTAAAATGACTTAACCAATAAAAAGATTAAAACAATATTCTAGCAACTAGTAAACTTGGTTCTTGTGGTCTTAAGGATTCATCATTCTTAACTTTTAGTTCTTAGAAGTGAAATATGTTCTTTGATAGTATAATTGCCCTTGTTCTTTGTGTTTTCCTGTTACTGAGAAATAAACTTTTAAAGTTAACCACAGGTATTATTTTTCTTAAAAAAATAATTATACATAGTTTCTTTAAAAATATTGTACATAGTTATTACAGTGTTATTGACTGTCTTTTCTATACTGTTCTTTAACATCCCTGTCACTGTTTTGTAACTGCAATCTGTACTTGTCCCTTCACCTTTTTCATCCAGCCCAGCCCACCCCCCACCCCAGCCTCCAGCCCCTCTGGCAACCACTGTTCTGTTCTCTTTGAGTCGGTTTCTATTTTGTTGATTTTGTTCTTTAGATTCCACATGTAAGTGAAATCATATGATATTTGCCTTTCTCAGACTGACTTATTTCACTTAGCATAATGCTCTCTGG